TCGAGCAGATATTGCTTCTTTTACTGATCATAGGAAGATGGTTGCTCCCAAAGGCTGGTATAAGCAGGGAACAATTATCACAGCTTCTTCTCGTATTTATAGGTATTTGTATTTTTCATGTTTCTTAATTGTACTGAGAATGGATCACTGATCGGTAGTATCTCATTCATTCAATATTTGGACACTCATTCATTGTTTATAGGTCCCCGTTGTAAAATTCACAGAAAACCGTTAAAACGAATTTCTTCCATTGGATTAGAATTACAAAAAAATGATCCCAAAACTACAAGATTCGCCAAATAAAATTACCCCTAGGAAAGGCTTCTATCACAAAAAGAAAGGGTATCCATATATTTTTCGAATATTCTTATTAAATTTTTTATTACAATATGTTTTGCTCGATGTTTTAGGGATGGCTGCGGACATTATGGAATTGTTTGAGACATTCCAAGAAGATGCCGTGAAATACAACAGACTACTTGTGATCGTTGTGCTCTCTTTGTGGACGGCGAGTCTTCTACAGTTCGCACTTGTAAAAACAGCCACCAAAAAACCGACGAAGCGAAATGGCAGGACGGATTTGTCTTTAGATGAAATGGCAGGTGCTCCTCTTCAGGAGATTTTCATGGAGAAAAATCAACCGAAGCGTACAAATTGTTTTGAGACTGAGATTTGGTCTATTTTATCCACTATTTACCTCCAAGACGGTCCCTTTCTTGTACTACGTCTTATTTTGATAATTCGTTACCGGGTCCTTAGCTACATGAATTTCTTCTTCACGTGTAAAAATTCACTTATCATAGTCCTCCAGATTTACCGCATCATGGCCATATGTACGAACACTCCAGATTTGAATGACTCTACGGCCGAGAGTACTCCAAGAGCAAGACGGAGAAATTTCGTAACTGGAGCAAGTATGGGCTATTCAACTGATAGTGAAACGACACCTTTTCGACCTGCAAAAGGCCCAAAAAGGCAGAAGAGCACAATGGACTTAACCTCTGATACCGATAACATACCGTTGAATCGACCCAAACGCAGAGATCCACCGGAAGTGTTTGAATATGATAACTCACCAGCATCGAGAACCGCTATGACTTCACCAAAGGGTAGAAAATACATGTTAGATCAACATAAATCCAGTTTGGACAAAGAAATGGGTTCTAGAGCATACCATCCCACAATCCACTGACTCAGACAATGGACTAAGATTCAAATGGAAAGTACCAAGTGCAAATGTAGATGACCTAATTATCCAATCATATCATTATCCGAATCCAAATCAGATACATCTGAACATGTAAACAATTTGGATATACTTGTCTTGGCACGGAGTAGACTCTCGGGGATTGGTATGACGTCTATAATTGATTCGAAGTGCTATGGAAATCAAATAATTCAAACATCACGTGTTTAATGTAGACAAGATTTGAAACCAATCAAAAGTATGACCTACATGTACAAAGCCTTTCAAAAGGTGCTGTATGAGTTTTACCCTGCGCATAGAGTCTAGTCATTAGGGAGTTAAGCTTGCATGAAATCAAAACGCCAACCAATATGTATGACCAATCGCTCATACAATTGCATCGATTAAATAACTTACGTTCGCGTTTAGGTTGAAGCAAAGTTGAACGAATGCAAATGGTATATGATTTGTAACCTAGAGCGACAATGAGCCCTGGGGTGATTTTGATAATAAGAGCACTATTTAGACAAACTTCAAGAAATAGATCTACATTAAATTCGATATTACGTTCACACATATACATGTGTATGTGTGTGTGAGTTATTTAGGTGTTTGTCTCATATTTATCCAGGATTTTGACAATTTCGATTTTTCGATATTTACGATATTTCTGAAGACGTTTGTTTAATCGAAAAAGTACATTTCAGGTTCGAAATTTTAGATTCTTCGGTTACATCAGTTCAGTCGAAAAATATTTCGATTTTCTCGATATTTTCGATGAAATTAACTAAAACGAAAAATTGCATTTCAGTTTTCGATACTACATAGGTGCCCGTATAGATATCAAGGTCAATATTGACATTTCGGCTTATCCACTCGAGATAAGCTAAAATTAAGTCAACAAACCCCTCTTTCGCTAACCCTAACGCCCGATAAGAGGCTTCCTGGCCCCCAATGTCCACCCTATTTCCCTCCCCCACCACGCCCCTACCAAGGGTATAGTTAGGGGTGAAGTCTTCTCAGCCTAACCTAACCCCCCACCCCTAAACACTTTGGCGCGGGTCCCGTCTCTCTAGCGCTAACCTTTCGGGAGATAGAAATCTGGCTGTGGGCGCCGTTTTCTTTGATCTCGCCGACACCTCCGGCCCCCTCCCCGAAACATAAACTGCCAGTTTTACCTTTAGCTCCTGGCAATATAACTGTATTGATAAATGACCATCATAATAAACCCCTTTTCTCAAAACATAAAGAACCATAATTATTTTGGTTGTGTTTTGCATTTTTATCGAATCTTTCATGTTTACACGAATTTAATATTATATTCTTACAACATTTTCAATTATGTATCATTATTACATTCATAATTTACTCATAATTTTTAATTTGTAAATACTATTTTGAAAATAGATAACGTACCTTGATGAATAACGAATAACAGTGAAAGTATTAAGAATATTTTGTGGGACTGCTTGCCTACGCAAAGTATATCCAGTGTTCCATTTAAGAATTAAAATCCGCATTTGATACGGTTTTGGCCAAAATGTCAGCAGGATCATAAGTGATGAACATGTTATTAAATGATTGGTCTAGATTTTCAAGTATCCTGTCATTATACGTTCAAGACTACGACAAGACACTTTATGAGATAACGAGAAAGGAGAGCATTTCTAAAATTGTATATAAGCTATTCTTTAGATGAATTGTCGTGGAAAATGGGAATCAATTCGATTGCGTCTTGTATTAAATACATGATAGATAAGTAACGAAAAATGAAAGAAGAAACGCCAATATTGGAAGATTTGTTGTTTGAAGAGTGTTTCAAAATGAAAATAAAAGTAATCTTCACATGAAGAAGAGTGAATATAAAGTAAGAGTGTATTTGGAAAATACAATGTACAGTGCCTAAATTGAAAATGTGGCTATGTTAAGAGGTGCTCGGATTACAACGGTGTTCAGATATATAGGTTTTAATTGATTGTACGCGTTTAAAAGATTATGCAATATACTAATCTGTCCATGTTACATATCTTAATATTTTGTTTCGTTCATTTTCATCAGATTTAAGGAAATTTTGAAAAAAACAGTGTGCATGTGATCGAGTAAATGTGAAAATTGCACCAATTTAAAAAAGGCTTCACATATCACATTTTGATCAAATTTGGTAAGACTTAGTGTCTACAATTATAATGCCAAAGTAGAGGTCTTTAGGGTAAATGTATCCTGGTAGTAAATGGTTCCATGCATAGGAGCAACGATTTGATGAGTGCTTATCTTCAGGACATATTAATTTCGTGATATCAATCTTCTGAAAATTGAGTATTTTACTTCATAATGTTACATAATTTAGTTGTATAAAATAAATTATATTCAGTATTGGCATTTTGAAATATCTTTGTTGCCCTTTGGCCATTTGACAAAAACACACAAAAATTTAAAAATTGTATTTTTCAAAGAGCAATAACAAAGAATGTCTAGGTGTCTATTTATTGAGTAAGTTAGTCATAATAAACAAAGATAGTTTGGGATCATTCTGGATCACAATTCTGATACTGCAAGATATAAACAAACTATAGACATTTCCTTCAAAATTTAGGGCCAATTAATTGCACGTGTCGGTATTTTGTCTACAATTGCCAAATGCGAACAATAAGATATTTTATAAAGATTATATTTGAAATTCAGGGTAATTGAACAAATCTAACAGCTATATTTAAGCTTCAATATTTTGTTTAACATTATATTTCATTGCTTTACTTTATATACATACATAGGCAGGACATTTTCATGACACATGTACACGATATAAATATTGATATATTGTTCATTTGTTATTGATTGTCTGTGATGGGAGCCTTTGCATAAAGTGCCATCTTTCATTGACTCTTTGGATGTCGCGGCATGACATATAAGTCAAGTACAAAAATAAAGCAAGCTACACTACGTTAAACTATTCCATAATTTTACAAATATATTATGTACAAAAACATGTTATTTACATATATTACAAAATATCTAAAGCAATGGGTCACATCCAAATTAGTCTTCAGCCAAGTTCATATTTTTGAATGTTTTGTTAATAAAACACTCAACTTGTTTTGGACGTATTTATCTTTTGAAGACATTCAGGTTGATTTTTATCAAGATTAATTTTGCTGGTGATGTTCTCAAACACCATTTTTCTATTTTCTTGGTGCGTTTTGCCAATTAATCACGAAATCAATTTCATTTACTATACCTCCACAAAAGTAACATAATCTTTCATATTCAGGGTTAGCCTTGGTTCTCATATCTACCCAGCTCTATTTAGAGTCTATGAGAACTTCAATCTCAGTCGGGTAAAGGATTGCCTATGATTTTTTCTCTGGAGGAGTCACTATTGCACACTTTCAAAAGTAATCAGAACTGGATAAAATTGTAAATCACACTTCCATTTGATACACTTTTAGGTAAAACTTGTATGAATACATATAGTCATCTTCGGCAATTTGTTCATACCAGTTAAAATTAAGATTAGAATCTTTTAAAGTGTTATAAACCTTACTTTTCAACGTATCGTCAAAACCTAAACTCTGCATTTCGGTAGTCATATACATGTTATGTAGAAAGGATTTCCTTAGACAATAAGCCCAATCCAATATTAAATAATTGAATATCCAAACATATTCTTATGGGTAATGACCCAGCTTTTCATAAACTGCTAATGCATTTGGTGTTTTCACATCAAGAATGTTTTTAAAAGTAAAGGTGAATAGTTTCAAAGTATGTAGTACCATTTTAATTTTGTAGATGGAGCATTGTATTGTATAATAAAACCTGTAAAGTGGAACACTATTTATCTTGGAGGTGTTCAACTCACACAGGTTTTACTTTATCTCAGATCGATAATGTCAGATATATTCTTAATAATTCTCTTCACCCAGGTCATCCATGTCATACATGTCCTCATATGAGTAGTCATCTGTGGTTGTAGCTGTAGGCTTAGGGGTTGTAGGTGCCGTAGTTGTTGTTGTCCTGAAATTGACAAGGGATAACTTTAAAAGTGAACTTCATTGATGTATGAAGAACTGAAATTACGCAATGCTGGTACACAGTTCAATACATTTGTTTTATTGAAAGTGTGAACTGTCTCAAGAAGATGAACATAAAAACTAAATAAGGTCCATCAAAGGATTAGGCTGAGCAAATGTTTTCATAACACTTTAAAAACAAAAGTGTACCCATGTTTCCTCAATTCCAAAATAGACCGACGAAAGTTCTTTTTTCACTTACCTCGGTTCGTAACTACAACATTTTTTGAAGCTGAAGAAACAAATCCTCTTTGCGAATGGTCCAACTCTCTTTAGTCTCTTCAAGAAGCCAAATGCATCACTCTTGCAGACTGCTATCTCGCTGGTATTCTCCTTTCTGGCCTGCATGCGTCCTGTTCTACAACATTTTCTCTTCAGTAGAGGTATTTCTGTAATATAAATTGTTGTTCATTGATTGAAAGACATTGAATAGTATTGCATTGTAGAATTACATAGGATACTGTTCACAATATATTTTATGGGCGACAATCGTGTTTCAACCAGTGATTATTTGCTCTATTAGTTATTTCTTGATTTTAACTTCTCAGAAATTATCATTATATCAGTGTGTGTCAGACTGACACGATGTTCTATTATGAATTATTGTCATTTCTTGATTAATTGTATCATTCTTCAAAATCTTACTTTTTCCTTTACGTCTACGATGTTGTTCTTTCTTATGTTCACGTCCCGTGTCTTTCTGTATTCTCTCTTCTTCCTGTTCATCATCTGTGTCATCAGCTTCCAGCTCAGCAACACTTTCCTTTTCTACCTGCTCTACATCGGCATCACTGATCTCACCTCCGGAGAACTCAATTTCAGAGATTTCATTGGCAACTTCCTCTAAATCTTCTTCCTAATTAAAAGTAAATGCAACTGTCTAAATGTGCGTTGAAATTAAAAAAAGGACGATATCAAATTATTGTTAATAATTAACTAATTATGTATATCAATACACCTTACCTCTTTGGTAGTCTTGTACATTGTAACTGTGGCGATCACTGGTTTAACTGTTGTTGTCGGTAGTCTGTAAAAAATAAAATTCAACATTTTTATTCAAGATTAACAATAAGGGGGTTGCCCAGAAACATTATGTTTACTGTAAGATATGGTTAAATGATTTGCAATTATTAGCCTGAAAATCGTTAATTTCAACATTGCAAACAAATTCCCAAATGATGACTTTCTTATCACTAATATGCCAAGTTCATATTATTTTAGTGATTCTTTACATTTATAAGGAAGAAGTTCTTAGTTTTTTTTAAAATAGGATAGAGGTGCCAAAAATTTACAAAATTGTTTTCTTATACTGTTATTTTGTTTCCCAATTTGGGAAATAATATTCGTACATCATTTTGGTGATAAAAAAATATTATCAAGTTCAAAATAATAAAGCTTACCTTGGAGGAGAAATTTTGCTGCAGCATTTATTGAATGATATGAAACAAATTCTCCTGGCCATTCCTGCCAACTTTCTGAACTTCATGACAAAATCTTTGGCTCTGTTCCTGCATACTGCAGTTCTCTTGCTCTTCTTTGCAATGATGAATCCTGCTCTGCAGCAGTAATGCTTCAATATCTTTGCTGAAATGGATATGAGTATATAAAGTTGATTTAATCGGAGTGATGGAATATGAATTTTTAGGGAAATGATCAAGGAGAATATCATGTCGATAGGGCGACAGGATTTTGACTTGAATATTGATTCTATTTTCTGCTTATTTCCAAGGATAACACGTTATTATGGGATGAATACAGTTATATTGTGTCATATTTCCTCACCACCTGAAACATGTTATAATTGTTAATTTAATTGCCTGTAAGTATTCAACCAAACCTTAATGTTTTAACATGAACCTTTCCAATAAGCAACTTATTAATAAGGTTTTTTGATTTTTTAAAGCTGATCCTTCTCACCTCTCCCTCTTCCTCTGTGTCTTGGGTGGTTTTTATGTTTTCGTATCATGACCCGTGGTTTTTTCACTTCCTTACTAGAGTCAGCATCATCGCTGTCACCATGAGAGACCTCAACTCTCTCATTAAGTTCATCAACTGTGTCATCTTCCGCTTCTTTTAGATCATCTATCGTTAGTTCATCCTCGGAGAATTCTAGTTCATCAATTCCACCCATAACAATGTCAATGGAATTATATAATTCTTCGTTGGAGCCTGAGAAGGATATTTCTGTTGAGGATTCTGATGTCGTAACAGTTGAAGGCATATGAGTAGGAGATGAAGTAGGTGTTGTTGTCCTGAAATTGTCAAGGAATCACTTTAAAAGTAAAAATAATTGATACGTGAACTGAAACGACTCGGGAAATTCCGATACATAGCTAAATGCATTGGTTCTACTGAAAGAGTAACCTATTGTACAAGATCAGACTGAGCAAAGGTACTCTAACTAAGTAAGATAGATTTCAATACGTTTTCCAATAAAAAGAGGTTTAAAATTGACACGATTGTTTCGTTTTGCTGTTTGCTATTTATGTTGTTTCCTAAACTGGGAAATAATATTCACACATCATTTGGGTGACCTAAAAATGATAATCAAATATAAAATATCAAAGCTTACTTTGGAGGTGAAATTTTACTGCAGCATTTATTGAATGATATGAAACAAATTCTCCTGGCCATTCCTGCCAACCTTCTGAACTTCATGACAAATTCTTTGGCTCTGTTCCTGCATACTGCGGTTTTGTTGCTCTTCTTTGCTATAATGAATCCTGCTCTACAGCAGAAATTCTTCAATAGCTTTGCTGAAATAAAAAATAAATGTATATAACTATATTGTGTCATACTTCATTACCATTTGAAACGTATTACTATTGTTTATAATTGCATTATAAGTCTTCAATTATTGTTTCTGATTTGTTGATCTTACACTAAGTGTTTTAACATGACCTTTTCGAATAAGTAACTTATTGATTAGTTTTTTTTGATTTTTTAAAATTAATCCTGCTCACCTCTTCCCCTTCCTCTGTATCTTGGGTGGTTTTTATGTTTTCGTCTCATGCCTGATGGTTTCTTTATGTCCTCACTGAGGTCATCTTCATCGCTGTCAATATCAGTGATCTCGACACTCTCATCAAGCTCATCAACTGTGTCGTCTTCCGCTTCTTTTAGATCATCTATAGTTAGTTCATCCTCTGTGAATTCCAGTTCATCAATTTCATTCATCACAATATCAATGGAATTATCTAGTTCGTTAGAGGCTGATAAGGATATGTCTGGTGAGGATTCTGATGTGGTTGTAGTTGTAGGCTTATGGGTAGAAGGTGTAGTAGTTGTTATCCTGAAATTGTCAAGGAATCACTCTAAGAGTGAAGATAGTTGATACATGAAGAACTGAAGGGACTCGAGAAATGCTGATAAATAGTTCAATACGCAGGTCCTACTGAAAGTGTGAACAATTTCAAACAGTTGAACAATGAAAACTGAATAAGATGCATCAAAAGATCAGGCTTAGCAAAAGTGCTCTCATTCTTCAACATAAGGAGCTTGACTTTAAAAATATTAGTATATCCATATTTCCTCAAATTAGATCTGGGGGCGATTTTTACACTGTAGCTAACAATTCTTAGATAAAATCTCTGCTTTTAGTTCATAACTTGACACTAAATCCTAAGTTACAGCAATTCCAAAATTAGACCCACCTAGGTTCATAATTACAACATTTTTTGAAGCTGAAGAAACAAATCCTCTTTGCGAATGGTCCAACTCTCTTTAGTCTCTTCAAGAAGCCAAATGCATCACTCTTGCAGACTGCTATCTCGCTGGTATTCTCCTTTCTAGCCTGCATGCGTCCTGCTCTACAACATTTTCTTTTCAGCATAGGTATTTCTGTAATACAAAATATCGTTCATTGAGTGAGACACTATATTCTAGGATAATATTAGAAACAGTTACTATAAGTTTCACTGACATGTACCTTTCAATCACTGGGGATTTGTTATGCCATTAAACTTGCTTACATTCCATCGGTTTTTTATTTTAATTCCTCGAAAATTATCACAACATTAATGCTTGTCGGTTCGACTGACAATGTGTGTTAAATGCCATATTTTTAATTATTGTTACTTCTTAATTGAATTATAATTCTTTCAAACACTTACTTTTTCCTTTACGTCCATGATGGTGTTCCTTCTTATGTTCACCCTTAATTGGTCGTCTCGTATCTTTCTGTATTTTTCTCTCTTCTTGTTCATCATCTGTGTCATCAGATTCTAGCTCAGCAACACTTTCCCTTTCTGCCTGCTCTATATCGGCATCACTGATCTCACCTCCGGAGAACTCTATTTCAGAGATTTCATTGGCAAATTCTTCTAAATCTTCTTCCTAATTAAAAGAAAATGCAACTGTCTAAATGGGCTTTAAACTTTGAAATGAATTTAAAAAAGGCTAATTCGAATTATGTAATGCTAGAAGGACTGTTCCACTTTAATTTATTCCTGTTGTTGTCTGGCTCGCTGAATACAATCTAACCTTGATTGGTAATGATTGTAAAACTCATTTGTTCATAGGTGAAATGAATTATATATCATCTTATATCAATACACTTTACCTCTGTTGTAGTCTTGTAGATTGCAGTTGCTGTGTTTGATGGATTAACTGTTATTGGTGTAGGCCTGTGAAAAATAAAATTCAATTATTTTTATTTAAGATTAACTATTGTAAGATTTTCGAGAAGCGTCTACTTTATTGAGAGGCTTTACTTTACATATAATTAAACATGATAAAAAATGGTTGAATAATTTGTAATGATTAGCCTAATAATGGTAAAATTTAACCTTAAAAGCAGCCTTTCCAAACTGAGAAATATATTATATCAGTTAAGTGACAAAAAATCATTATCAAATTTAAAATACCAAGGCTTACTTTGGTGGTGAAATTTTGCTGCAGCATTTATTGAATGATACGAAACAGATTCTCTTGGCCATTCCAGTTAACTTTCGCAACTTCATGTCAAAACCGTTGGCTCTATTCTTGCACACTACAGTTCTCTTGCTCTTCTTTGCTGTGATAAATCCTGCTCTGCAGCAGTAATGCTTCAATATCTTTGCTGAAATAAATATCAATTAATGTAATTAATTATATTATGTCATATTTCCCGAAGCATGTTCTTATTGTTCATTTTAATTGCACTTTTAGTTTCGTACTCTTGTTTCTGATTTGTCAATTTACACGATGCAATTTTTATTTTGTGAATTGAACCTGCTCACCCATTCCTCTTCCTCTTTGTCTTGGGTGGTGATTATGTTTTCGTCTCATGCCATCAGTGGCCCCAACACTTTCATTAAGTTCATCAACTGTGTCATATTCTGCTTCTTTTAAATCATCCATCGTTAGTTCATCCTCGGAGAATTCCAGTTCATCAATATCATCCACCACAACGTCAATGGCATTATCAAGTTCTTCGTCGGAGGTTGCTGATATTTCTGATGAGGATTCTGCTGATGATGACCTAGATGATGATCTGGATGTTAGTGAGTCTTCAGATTCTTTCGAGTACTTGTCAGAACTCTCCTTTCTCCATCGAGTGTTAGTCATTTTAGCGTTAGCCTTCCATTCTTGTTTGGTGTCATTGAAGCAGTCATAACGATCCTCACCTGGACAAATGGATAATTCAAGACACGTTCATGTGTATTCTGTTTATAACATGAATATACAAACCTACTTTGAAAGTTGTTCCTTATTAGAAATACTTTTTGTCTCGTTCCAAAATTTACAATTGATTAAGCCAGGATGTTTAGTTAGGTGTATTCTCTAGATAGTAAGCAAATACCACAACATACACATTACTTGGGTAAAACAATGGTTTACTGCGTATGCCCGGGTTAAAATTAGTTGTATAGGTGTTAACTGTTTTACCTTTAAAGTCGCAGCATTTTTCAATTGCAATATTTAGGCTGGGCTTGATCCATCTTCCACTATTTGTAGGTAGTCCCTTCTCGCACATCATGTCTACTCTCCGTTCCTTTAGATCTTGGAAACAATACAATCGTGCATTATCAGCCTACAACATCATATTAATGTCCATTAATGTTTTAAAATGAATTATGTAATAGATTTTAAAAGATGAAATAAAATGACCGTTATTCACTTATTACATACAATCAACAAGTCAGTCAGTCAGTACATAAGTTTATATGTAAGCGTCTTTATCTTTAGTTATAACACCACATACCTGAGCACAACATTTTTTGGTAGCATTCAGATTTTCCTGAGCTATCTCTTCAATGTCTGTCCCTTCATCCCCATCTAACTTTGCCCAGAACTGTTCAATACGGTGCCACATGACTTTCCATCCCCATCGATTTAAGGTACCCATCTCTATGTCACTTTCCTCTCTAATCTTTGAACACATGTGCTCCACTCTTTCACTCCAGTCTTTGCTTCTCTAAAATGAATATTACAATGTATATAATTATATCAAATCAATGAGCAGAAACAATTTTTGAACCAGCCATCCATCAATGTCTTGCAAGATGCCTCATCAGCAAAATAGCCAAGTTGCTCAAATGTGTACAAAATACTTAATTTTCATAGGTTTACTTACATACATCAGACAGATTGATTATTATTTTGATATGTACCTCATGGTGTCTGTGTCCTTGTCTCATTCTTTGTCCCCTGTGTGGTTGTAATTTTCCCATAACTGGTTTAAAGACCCTTTTGACTGCCTGTATACCCCGTTCTATATTTCTCCTCATTCCACCAGGGTTGCCATTGCCAGTCCTTTTTATCGTACCCTTTGCATTGTCTAAATGTGTTTTAACTGTTTTGTCAACCATTGCATCCTCATCATCATCCACGTCATAATGTGATTCCTCGTCATCAAGGCCAATCATTTCCTTTTCATCACTCTGTACATCTGGGTCGTTGACATCATCAGTCATCGGAGACGGTACAACATGATTGACAGATTTCTTTGGTATTTTGGGCTCACCTACGATATAAAAAGCGGTGAACATGAATTTCTTTCTTTCGGCAAAATGTACCTTAATTCCAGCAGTGAAGAAATGATGTTTATAAATAATATTGATAGAAATGGTGGGCAAAATTATTTGTATTAAAATCTGCATATTATATGATAGAGTATATCTTTGAAAACAATAAAGAAATGACATTGCAATGACATGGCATATAATGGCGATGCATGAATTAAATCCTGGAGCCAAGTCACAACTCCATTTAGAATTTCAATTACTTTATGGCCCGCTAGACCATGTATAATTTTGAAAAGGATGAAGCTGTATAGATAAAATGTAGCTTAGATTGTGTAAAAAGATAATATTCGATAAAGTATCGTATTATTTTAAGTATCGTATTATTTTTTACCTTGTATACACACTCTCTTTGTTAAATGGTCATCGTTGGCAAAGTGACTGGCCTCATCGTCTGAGATAATAACAGCGCTGAAATCAAACATCATGGAGATTAATATTGTATGAGATCATATTCAATGAAATTGGCATCGATGGATGGATCATAATAAATGGAGATAGCATACAACATATCACACTCAATGAAAATAATATTAAGTTTTTAAAGAACTAGAATTATCAATCTAAAAATATATGAAAATTAAAATTATTTTCATATGAAATGCTTCATGAAAATATTGTAAAAAGGATTTGTACATTCTTAATACCTTAATCTGACACATCCACATTCAGGAGTCGTCCATCTAATTGTTATTTTGGAGATTTGCTTTTTATTATCACCTCGATTTGTAATCATAAAGGGACATTCATCCAATGAGTGATACTTGTCATACGGCTTCTGGCGGAAATTGCCGAAACCACAAACTTTATCTTCGGACTCGGAGACCAGTCGAAATTTTAGGAAAGACTTCTTTGGGTTAAGAGATCTAACAGCAACTACAAATATACAACATAAGTTAAGTACAAAATGTATATTTTTACATAAAGCAATAATCCATTTACACAAACATATTTCAAGTATATTTGATAAGAACATATTAGCAGTATCACCGTCTTCAGTATTTTTGTCATCATCATTACAGGTCATTCGAATCTATCATGAAGCACAACAGTTTTTACTTTATTTCACGATAATTCCCCGATTTGAAAGTCACCTATATCTGACAAAGAATATGGATGGCCATCTGCTTTCTCAATTTTAATAAATTTGAACATTGTTGCATTTTAAATCTTCAGTTTTCAATATATTATATGATAAGATTATCTCAATTTTGTTTTTAATACAAGAATCTAGTGCAAAAGATATGTTTTCAACTTGTGTAATCAATTCCCGTCATTTCATTGGCCTTACAAAAGGAACTTTCAGAAGAATAATCAGAATGGCAGAAATGAACAAACCTTTAACATCCCAGACAATGACCTGGGTGACATTTGAAACATTGTCCAAGTAGGCAAACTGAATGACTTACCATTGTATTCTTTTAATGGCATGAGCTCCTCTCCAGGCTTTGTACCATAGATTATCAGGTCATACATGGGAGTATTAATTCTCCACAGTTTGTTTTCCTCGGGCTTCGAGTATTCTGGTACACGAGGGGGACATTGTGCAATTACTGGAATAAAGAATATAGTTTATTAGAAAGCTATTACACCGTTTTGGAAACAGTTTTTACACCACTCCAATGCGGATCCGAGGAATTCATTTAAAAAACACTATTAATGCATTTACAATACGATACTCGCTGTAGTTTTATGAAAGGTTCTTGATCCGAAGTCATTGTTTACTTGAAGAACGGTGCTTTCTAGCTACTTTGAAGTCAATTGTGACTACAGATATAAACGCACACAGTATAAACGTAGGTTACTTGGTGTATCATATGTAGATTATTTGCACTGATTCAAACCGATGTTCTCACAGTCGATACCCACGGCTCCGGTTGGGATGTAATTTAATTTTGTTTGTTAATTTTTATTTATTTATTTGCCATACACTTTTTAAACAGTGGCACAATCGAAAAGTTCCAGTGCGGCGGTACATATACAACAAATCACATTAAAGACATAATCACATTAAAGACATAAAATTCAATGCAGATAAGTAACATATTATGTTAAATTGTACACATGTTATGAATTTAGAATATCGTTATTAACGGTTACTTAATTTTTTTGACACACTTGTGGAACAAGAAACCATTTACTTCATCCCAGGGCTCTTCTTTTATAGCTTTGATATTAAGAATGACATCAAATTTGAAGCAAACACTGATCTGGAATACAAGTTTCTACTTGCTAGTGTTTTAAAGAAATGATTGTTGTTGATACAATTATCAGGATTTCTTGCCAGACTCAACTGAGGACAAAAGTAAGCGGAGAAAACTTATCATTGTACCAATAAATGCTCGATACTAATGTTATGGAAAGAAATGAAGTTGGTTAGATTTATATAATATCGAAATATCATTTGCTCCCTCGAAAAGTCGATTGCACGTTGATAAAACGGGTACATCTACGAAAATGAGCTGACACCCCACATCAAGTGACAAAAAACAAGGAATATCAAAAAAAAAAAAACAATAAAAGAAACATTAAAGAGAATAATCATTCAAATGTAAAACAAACCACAAATATCCCAAAATGTATCTCCTTGAATGTGAAGAAATGTCGGATTATACTTTTTGTATACCATTCCAAAATGTTATCACAATTTAAACCACTCGACCTTATATGAAGAACAAAGTAAAAAAAAATATTCATTTTGTGCCATCGACAATAGTTGTAGATACTTTTGTAGTATACAAGATATAACAGTCTTCGTTTCAAGTAATGATTCAAAGGTTCAACATCAAAACAGAATGCTTACGTCGCATAATTTGCTTACCTTGCTGAATGACTATAAGACACATTGCCAAAGTTATGGACCCCATACTGGATGTTACGTCCGTGAGCGTCGTGATCTTGAATGTTGACGTTCGGTAAATCACTGCTTTTGTTCTTGCTGCAGAGTGTTCTTTGGCTCAGATCGTCTGTCGCTGTTGTGATACTCTTTAATCTGACACTTCGATTTATATACAGTTGTAGACAGTGATGTCACTCTGAATTATCATGTAATTCGAAGAACTGAGGATAGAAGTCATAAGCCGTTGTGTGATAACAATGTAAATGTTGAACTAAAGTGCCCTTTATCAATGCCATAATCTCAAATACTTTTAAAAATTAGGAAGTAGTCAGATTCTAGGATTTTAAGAAGAGGTCAGGTTCAATAGTGATAATAAATAGTTTCATCTAGAATATCAAAATGTTATTGGGGGCTGTTTTTTTAATTTTATTTCAATCATAATCCGCAGTCCAATTCCAATTACAAAAAGAAAAAATACAAAAAATTAAGAGATCAAAACTTTGTATACGTTGCGTTAATTGAATTTGGCTAAGCCTATGCTGTCTCTTGCACATGTATTTGTATATTGATGCTTTTCTAAATCTTATTTTGAAGGATCGTTTCAAAATTAAGATGGCTGAAACTCTCAAAAAAGAGGACGCAGTTTTATTGCACATTATACCGTACATAAAAAAGCTAACTGCAAGATGTTTGCTGAGGACAAATATTTTCTATATTTACGACTTGTTGGCAGCAATGGCCAGCGGGTACTTAGATTTGGTCCCCGGTGGTCATTGACCCCCGGACGGTAACAGAGATACAAGGTACAGTGATCAACATAATACATACTCAAATCCATTGCACCTGGGCCCATCATTTTAATCAAATTGTCTAGATATAGATAGATAGTAATTATCTGCATTATAGATACATTCATGTTTTAAACAATTTTGAATGCCCAGCTGTGTTTGAGTAATTCTTATGGAACGGAAGCCCGTATTAGAGAAAGAGATAATTTTGAAACAATTAAAGGCAATAATCGAATGGTCAATTGTTATCACTTAATAAATGGTTATCAATAATCAAATAAAATGTTTACAATAACGGGACAATGGCAACGCTACGGAGTAGCATATCCAATTGATGAAGGCGATACAATAACATCCTTGGTCCAAGGGCATTTCACTTCTTTCCTGAATTGAGGAATAAATGAAGTCCTTTGAATGAAGGATGATACAATAATCGTTACTCTAAAATAAATGCTTATTGTAAATATGATTAGTTCGAAGCGTTTTGCCGGTTAAGTTGAAAACATTTATTTCTATTTGTTCATGTGTTATTCATTTAGGGTGCGTAATTTTCAAAATTCATCATTTTTTCTTTCACTTATCTTTGCCTTGGTGTAAACTATTGCATATATTATTACTGTATGTGTGACAACCAGCATTTTCGAACTTTTCGAACGAAAAGTACATAAAAACAACATTTTGAAATTGAAACATTTTGTAAGACTACAATATTAGCCAAAGTTGTTTGACTTTTACATGGGACCTTTAATGAATGTTTTCTTAATGTCGGCCTAAAAGCATTGATTGAATTTGCATGAACAAAATGCAACATACCTATCTCTAAATGTAATATTCCTAGAGGATAAATTTTACCATTTCATATAATCATGTCGCGTGATAATGCATTTCCATTAAATACAAGAGCAAGATCGGCCCACTCATGCTTGAGTTACAATCAAGACGGACAGACTGACGGAGTGCATTTCTTTAACCGTACCGAACGCTTGACATTCCGCTTCAGACAAACAAGTACATCGTGCAGCCTGCAGGTGTTCAACTTCAAAGTGATATATTACCATTTACTATCTATGTACACCACTTGAAAGATCATAACTATTACGTTAACACTGATAACTGAGAACCAGTGTTAGTTCTAAGAATAAACATAATATTAAACACATTACAATACGTATTATCTAATATATTTTATTTATTTACTAATTTGTTTGCTCTCAATATTTATGACAGTGGAGAATGAAAGTTATCAATGCGGCAGAGTGATAGAGATCCAATTGTGAGAGTAACCATTAGAATACATTTAAAAAGTTAACAAACTGCATACATAAAATACGTACATGTATACTCCAAGCGACCGCCCTCCCCTCCCCCTTTACCAAAAAATATTTTTTTATACGAGATTGGTATTTAACTATGCAAACATGGCTCTAAGGTATGCTCAAAATGTACCGGAGAGGATCTAAATTTCCTTTTTACGCTTTGAGTGGGCGTATCATAGGCACAACCCATCCGTAGGCAAAATCGCCCCCCCCCCCCCCCGATGCACATTTGAAGTCAGGCAAAACATTTTAGGCCTTTAAAACCAACAATTGTTGAAAGGATCTGTATCTATTAGTGAATTCGAACCTATAAGAACTTTGAAAATTATTAAAAAAGGTAAAATGGAATTCCAAAATTGTTTTTATGCAATTTGAATCTATTAAGTTTATTTTCAACAAATCACAAAATCAGTGTGGAAAATATGGTAAAAAAAGGTGTTTTTAACAATGGTCATGTTGACTCTTCAAATGAGTAATTTTGACATATTTTCACAGAACCTTGATCAAAATCTTGGGTTTTGTAGATTTTGTAGACTTTATTTCACTTGTCAATATAAGAAATACAATGTGTCCTAATCTTCAAGCTTCATTTCATGTGCCATTCATGCATAAATAGTAAGTAATCCCATCGTACTGGTTGTAAGCAGTGAATGACCTTCTCCCGACAGATTAAGGTACTTCCACAAACCAGGCCCCTCTGAATTTACCTTCATTGTTTAGTATTGACACTATTTTATAATTCAAACATGAAATAAGAGAGGGTCCTAAGTGTGGAAGATAAACAATATTAAAGTATAGCAAAAATTTTAGTTTCAAAAAGGAGGCCATATTGAAAGTGCCATGCAAGAATCCATTCTGTCTTGAATGTATTGCTTTAGGTAGGTGCAACATAGAACCTTCTACAAAAATAGAAAATCTTATTTGGAAAGATATTCTGGACCGAACCTTCATTTACAATAACTATTGTGTCAACGTTTCACTCCACAGAGACATCCAACCTGGGTTCCCATAGATAATTCTGAGCATCATGTTCAAACCTCTAATCAGTATTCAATTTTCAACGATAACAAGATCAAAGAAAACATGTGTCATTAGCAATGAAGCAGTTACATGGGGTGATCAACAAGTTCTCTGCTTAGTCTCCCAACTATATATTGAAGATTATCAATATATGGATGGCCGCCTTGATTTGCTTGAACAAAATAATTATTCTTCAAATTATTTTTATGTAAGTTAATCTTATTCTCTGAACCCCGGGTCTGAACCTGAGTTTAGTTTAGATAACAATTGTGATGTTATTTAATTCTTAGTATTCGATAATGGACACCCTAATTTGCATAATCACAATCGTTATTTTTTTAAATCTTTTTGTTAATTTATCTTTCATTCGTTGACCCTGAAAACCTGGATTTAGGCACCAGTATTGTGATGCTTTATTGACTAATCTCCGAAATATTGAAGATAATCAACAATTCCATAATGACCGCCCTAATTTGTATGATCACAATCATAAAGTTTATCATTTCATCTTATTTTTGACCCAGAAAACCTAGGTTTAGACACTAGTATTGTGGTGCTACTGTGCTGAGTCTCCGGAATATTGAAGATAATCAATGACTTGATAATGGCCGTCCTAATTTGCATAATCACAATTATTTTTGTTTTAATACTTTTTCATCATTTCATCTCATTATTTGACCCTGAAAACCTAGGTTTAGACACCAATATTGTCATGCTACTATACTAATTTTACAAATATTGAAGGTTATCACTATTTCGATAATGGCTGTCCTTATTTTGCATAAAGAATAAAATTAGGTTCTAATCTTGATTTTTTCTTCATGAAAATTCTATTTACGACAGGTTTGTTGCCAGAATCTAATTATATTTACAATATACTGATGGAAATGTACCTTTTTGGCCCAGTCACTCCTTATATTGGAAGTTATAAATATTAATTCTAACGATGGAAAATGTACACCCCCTTCTCAGAATGCCAATTAAAATTCGACATGTAAAACATGTCTCTGGTTGATCAATCTTTGTAGGGTTCCTTTAGATAAACTTTAACACAATACAAAGAGGGCAGCACCTAACTGGATTGAATATCAATACACGGTGTCTCAACATAGACCGTCCCCTCATCAACCATAGTCCTAAAAGATGCCTCCATTAATTGTTATATATCATATGAAAGATTATATTCAATACTGGACATTTTAAACTTCTAAATATATCTACAAAACAACTTTTAACGAAACCTTTCTTATATTGTAGTTCCCACTGACCACATGTACTATATAACCCACATACTGTATTATAGTACTGAGAATAGTCTACACGGTATATGTAGATTATCATACAAGTTGGAATTCACTTCAATAGTTAATGACTTTATAATTGACTCTCTTCCAAATTGCAAATGTGCCCAATTTTATATCAATTAGATAAACTTTGGGTGCAAATGTGCCCAACTCAAACTAGGTCAGGACATCACATTTTTTGTTTTACTAGAAGTAGCATTTAGGTTGATCTGATTACTTTGATTTTTTCTTAAAAATTCTTAAAAGTGTTACTTGATTTGATTACATCACCATATTCTACAAAGAATGAACTTTACCATAGTATAACATATAGGGCACGATGAAACAGAAAGTTGAGTAATTTCGCAAAAAATATAAAATTCTGTATCATGTTCCTCAGAAATGTTTAAGGGGAGGTCACATGACATTTTGGTATCATATTGTTGGGAATGATAGCTGCTTCAATATAAAGATGGCAACAATGTTTCATACATCAGAATATGAGAGTAAAATACAAAAAACTTATGTAGGTCACTTGAGGTTGGGCACATTTGGTACCTAAATTTGTGACCTACATAATGCGGTGGAAAAGTGCCATACCTTAGACTGCAAAAGGTACCCATTATACTTTGAGCATATAATCTGAGAGCCACACTTTGTCTAAATAAAGTAGCCATGTGCCCCGCAAACAGCTATGAAAACCATGCACTATGGTCAATAGTAGGGGAACTTATAACAATTGATGGATGCTGAGGATATATCTTAATGATATTTGCCTAGACAAATTAAATTGTTTATTACACTTCAAAGAACTTCCCAGAGAACTCTAGATCTATAGAACTGTTTCTATATATGTCTCTGTCTAGACGGATATAATTACCGATCTGCTATTAAAACACATTTAATTAATTCGTGCACGGACCTGGAGACGATTTGAGAAATATTACATGTAACTCGTCTTATTAAGCTAACTATGCGTTTCATATTTACTTATTTATTTATTTATTTATTTCGATCTTCACTTTTGAAACAGTATCACAAGATAAAACAATTATTACAACTTACTAAAAACATTCATTTTGAGTATTTAATATAAACTGTTTTTAAAAACTTTTTAAAACTTTTGTCAAACATTGTCCCTTGTTCTTTACCCCAAGTTCAAAGACATCATCCCCTAAGATGTATTTAAGTTTTTCCTCGGGAGAAAGAGAGATGAACTCAGCTACCAAAGCGTCACATTTTGAAGTTATACTTAAGTATCATTCATAAATTGTAACCTTTCTTTGATTAAACTTAGGGTACAATGAATCGCATAGCCGTAGGGACCGGGGGTTCGATGTGTTCGGACGAACCCCCGGTCAGGCTTTCCTCCAAAAAAATATTTGTGGAAAAATTCATTTCAATAACAAGAAACATTAATTCAATTTATATGACCAGTAAATAAAAACATAATAGAGTTGAAGGGCACTTCTCTCAAAAGTTTGGCAACCTTAGGGCACGGTTTGGGATTGTGTAATTTTGGGAAGACCCCGGATCATCATGCCATTATGCAAAGAAATAACAATAATTTTGCACAATTTATTTTCTCACTTAAAAGCTGCTTCATCTCCGGTGAAATAAACCATCTGTCTTAATACTAACAAATTGATTTAGTGCAATATTTCGATTTAAATCTTTTTCAACATAAAATTCTCAATCTTTTTTAACATAAAATTTGTTATATTTCATTTAACATATCAACAACTACTTATTGTCTTAATACTGATGAGAACACATTTTCTTTCAAATCTGTGCGCCTACGTTTTGTTTTATTTCAAACAAAAAATTCTTGCCCGGAGCTGATAAATCCCCAAGAGCAAATATCAACAAAATAATAGAAACATTTTGAAATGAGTTATTATAAAAAGCACACATGTATACAGAGTGTCCCGAAAGTATGGGGGCCTCCCCCTAGGCAGACATATACCAATGTCTTCATGGTATGTGTCATATACATATCCAGGAATCTGTACAGGAAATCGGACATAGACTTATCTCCTTATCTCCGCCACTATTACTGTGATTACTTATCATCACCAAAACTGTTCAAAGTGAAAGTTATACTAATTCTACTATTCACTATAAGGGCCAGCAGTTCGCCATATAGCGTATTGTATTACAGGTTTTTGTGCATTGCAGAGATGGTCTGAGTATCAGAGAATGGTATTTGAACAGCTTACACTTTCCTCCTAGGGGGTTAGAGTCACAATTGTTTAGCTAAAACATGCCTAATTAGGAAAAGACAGAAAGTTTCAGGTCAAAAGATAAACTACGAAAATAGTTATCAAAAAGCCCTAAGCTTAAGTGGGGAAATTTTCCCTCCCCCTCAACCGTTTTTAAAAGGGTTCGTCAATCGTCAAAACGGAAAGAATTCATATCGTTACATTTGGATTTTGATTGTAATCATTTGAAGTATTTTTATACGCATTTCAGGGATACTTTTCCTTGAAAAGTTAATGCATGACGTGATGTGATCACCAAAAGACATGGGCTTTCAATGGACTGAATGCCCATGCCAAAAATAAATCCCAAAACTAACTTCATTTTGGCTGAGACTAACATAAAATGTTTTATGTTAAAAATGTAATAATAATAAATAAAAATTTTATGTTACTCTCAGATTTTGGAGGGTCGATAGATCAGTGTTTTTTATGCCAACAGGGTTTTAAAAAGCCCTTGCTAAGTTTTCCCGGAGACTAGGCAACCGACAGGATGTCGGATGCGATCGAATTAAGTCTTGGAATCACTAATTAGATTGGATGATGAAATCTTGGAGCAATAGTAGACGGATGATGAAATCCCGGCCAAACACCTGCGATCTCAATAGCGACAAACTATATTCACCTGCACTATTATAGCATTTATTTTATATCTTCATGCGGTAATAATACGTTTTTTTGTCAAACTTCGTATTGCCATTGTGTTGAACATTCAGAATTTACTTGGCACTCAGAGTTGGCAGTATCTTTGTTTACCAAGCCACGTGCTATTGTTTATAGAGGGCGTTGTTTCCTGTCACGTGACATCTTCAATTCCCTCCAAATTAGGATACACAAGCGATCGTAAAGCATACTTTGTTGTGTTTATTGGATTAAATTACAGATTTCTTCAACCAGAAGTGACAAACACAAAGCAGAAGTTGAAAGTAAGTGTTGATATATGTCCAGAAACGCCTAGGATCTGTTTCAAATAAGAAAAAGAGACTTTTTACTAAGAAAAATCACACAAGAAATTTTTACAACCGAAAACGTGGTCTCTTCATTGATTCATTGACTGAGAATAAGAGTTTGGATTTGTAGATTTTTTAATTTAGAATCAATCAAAATGAGTAGTCAGCAATCAAATCACACCCATGCTGAAGCAGAACCAATGAATGCTGGAAATCACGACGGTAAATCTGATGAGGGAAGTGACAATAGTGGTATCAAACTGAAAAAAGAGCTTGGACTTCACAATGGAGTTGCAATCATTGTTGGTGTTATTATTGGAAGTGGGATCTTTGTGTCTCCAAAAGGAGTCCTCATTGAAGCTGGTTCAGTCGGGTCCTCGCTGATAGTATGGACATTATGCGGCGTTGTTTCATTGATCGGGGCCATGTGTTATGCAGAACTTGGAACAATGATTCTAAAATCTGGAGCGGATTATGCGTACATCAATGAAGCGTTTGGATCATTACCAGCGTTTCTGTATCTCTGGGTTGCGCTACTTGTGATCATCCCGACAGGAAATGCAATCACTGCACTGACATTCGCTAACTACATTCTGCAGCCTATCTTTCCCGATTGTGACCCACCAGATACGGCTGTGAGGTTGCTGGCAGCTTTAGCGATAAGTAAGTAGATCTGTCGTCCATATATTGTAGATCCACATGAATTTTTGTCTTATTTTCAAGATTATAACTACTTATAATGATTATAATGAAATTGGTAATTATTTTTTCATATTTTTATTTGTTATGGTATTTATACGATACATGTAGTTTAGCTAAAACTGCAGTGTTTTATTAGTTTCTCTGGCACAGGTTATTTCAAGGTAGGTTATTTGATAGTTACTATGTAGGGGTTTTATTGGGTTATAATTATGTGGAGGCTTCAGATTTATTTCGGACTTTGTGGTTATAAATAGAATTTTGCCCCAAAACACCTGATATTGATTGTGCCAACATATATCATCTTTAAAGTCTTGTTTATGTCTCGTAAAGTCAGTAACCTGCAAAAGGCTAATACGCCTACTTAAAGCAGATTTATGATTAACTAACATAATAGAACACAAGTAGAATATAATTTAAACCTTATTATTAAAAATAGATCTATGGTTTGGTTTTAACTCATTTTAATTGGAACTAAGTTTGGCCCACATGTTAAGATACATTGGAGACTGTCAGGCTATCACATTGACATTGCCCCCTGTAAATAATGGCTGTAATATTGGTCACAATATTTCCTTGGCTACAATTAATATGGCTTGGTCACAATTTTGACTCAAGGTCACTCACAATTTTGGCTTGGTTTCAATATTGTCTTGGTCACAATTTTAGCAGAACTATCAAATGTACGTAATATTAATAATAGCCAGAGGGCAGAAAAAAATAAGACCATTTCAAGACAAATTGTTACTATATTGCTGATAAAAACATCAGTCTTAAAATGGAACCTAAGCAGACTGACAGCTAAATATACAAATTATGTGCAAATATACAAATTATGTGTGTCTGTATGTAAAAAGCCAAAGGTTATAGAGTGCAGCTATATTGTGCATGTTGGCATCTATTGTATATGTTTAATTAATAATATGCCATGATTCATAAACTGATATTGATTACTATAAAGATAAATCCAGGAAAACTATTACAAGACTCATCAGATATTCAATCATTGAATTGAATATACTAGCAAAATTGGATTAAAATCTATGATATAAAAATTGGAACAAATACATGAAAGATTAAAAATGCAGTGTCAATTAAAAAATGTAATAATTACAGTATTTATTTGAAACTTGATTTGATTCTTAAGTTACAAATGAGCTAGTGCTCAATTTGGTACCCTTTCCATTTATTCAATTTGCTTCTTAAAAGAGAGCTTCATCTTCACTAGTAGTCACTAGACTGCGTACAGTGTATCCATTTTGAGTTCCTTCAAGAATTTCTAAAATTCTACATGTATATGCATACCAGTGTACCAGGGGCAAACATCTGCCTATCTGGGTATTTCCAGAGTAATTCCCATTCTCTATTCAATTTCTGGACATAGCACTAGCCACTAGTGACGTAATTCATCCATACTGGGAATTTAGGATTGCACTTATATGGAAAATATGAATGGAGTGAAGATATATCGTAAAATAGTAAAAAAAATGGTGAGACTCATGTTTATGGAAGATTTAGAAACAATACTGAGCATTCTTGACAAATATCCTCAATTGTCAATTCGATGATTGAGAGAAGCAGAATTGCGCTTTTAGTACTAGAAGCGTGTGAGTGAAGAAATTAAACTTGTATTCAGGGAGACACAAAAAATATAACCAATGAATAAAAATGATAATAACTTTGATTCCCATTGTGATACCTATAAACTTGGCGAAGATTGTACTTTTGTGTCACCCTGTAGATAATCTCTTAGGGTATACAATAGTTCAAAATCTTGTCCATATTGAATATTCTATAGTAAATTATGTTCTGAATAGGAACAATTGCACTCCCTAAATATATGTGGTATTTTCTTGAATGTCTCAGACTAGACATTGCTCAGAAATATGAACTGAATGGTGGCAAAATGTACAAATATCACTGGAAATGAGTACAGTACTGAAATGACCTTGTCATGACATCAACCTCTCACAAGCTTTAGATAAAGAGAGATTTTGATAAATCAGAATGTGGTTGTGACAGACAAAACAAAAGAAAATAAAAATAAACCTACAGTACAAACTGCGGATACCTCCTCCTGAGGCAACACCTCAAAGGCTTTTGAAGCCTTGCCATTCATAATATATATGTGAAATATGTTGAATTAATAATTGCAATGTAGTGATCTCCCCAACACTGGATTGATTGTGCTGTATCCTGTTGGAATTCATAAAATAACATGTCACCTTGTATTGTTGAAAGTTTGCACCCTCAAAACGGGTTAAAATAGGATTTGCCACCCTGTTGACAACAACATCCCGTTGAGGTCACTTTGACATATAAAGAGAAAAAATGAACTCCTCGGTCAGATGTTTTACATATGTAATTGAAACAAAAAGATGTAATGAGAATCTGAATTTGAAAATCCATACATGCACCTGTTATGTAGAAGCACCACTTCTTGGGCTGAACTAGGGACTCTATTTCAGTAATTTAATTTTAGACCATGAAACCAAACCAAAACATTAGATCTACATTTATCTTGAGAAGTACTACCACACTGAGAGCAAATTACGCATGGGAGATAATCAGAGGTATCATGACAAATATGTTTCATATCTATGATTACCAGTCAAGTAGAATTTACTTTTGGTTCATTTAATCACCTGTAGAATTCTTATGATTGAATCACATGCTAAATTCTTCCCGACAAGTAGCTATTATAGTGAGCCATGAAACTTGTCTACTATTGAAAAATGTTCTCGAATAGATATTATTTGAAAAAGTGAGATTTAAGTTTTGTTAATATATACATACTTCTTGAATGAATTATAAGATCAGAGATATGATAACAAAATGTGATCATAAATTGTAAGTAGGGGTCAAAATTCAGAATTTCAAGTATGATATACAAAATTACTTGTTTTGTGAGTACAAGGTAAAAAGCTCATCAGAACTTTTGCATGTTCATTTGTCTTTTTATTTCCTCTCTTATACTACCAGGACAAAAAGCTGAAAAGGAGAAACCCATATCAAGGATTTTATTATCAGCAGGCAACAGGCAATTTTAACTGTTTTCACAAAATCACCTGTTGTATTTAGGGCTTTTCAACTTTTCCAAGTAAATTTATGATTTCCATTATATTAATTTTGCCTGTTGTTTTCATTTAGCCTGTTGTGAGAAATTCTAGTGAAACCCCTACATATATGAGGTGATATTCTCAAGTTGAGGACTTCTTTGAAGTTAGTAGTCATCAGTCACCATATACTATAATTTAGTCCTCATTGAGAATATTTTTGATAATCTAAAGGTCATGGTCTTAACTACAGAGATTTAGGCCTCCTTGCCAACTAAATACATAATTTGAAATAATGATGCTATTGTTAAACTAAGGAGCTCATGTACAAACAAAAAATTAAACCGTTTGGTAGATCAATTTCAAATTTTCAGGGATGATTCTCAGTATGAAAATCTAGATCTGATTAGTTTTTGGGCATTCTGGGTAAATGTCAAGGCAGCCATTTTGGATTTTCCGTCCTCAAATCTTGTCTGTAAAGTCTTGTCTACGCATTTCCAGGTGAACCGTTTGGTAGATCAATTTGAAATTTTCAGGGATGATTCTCAGTATGAAAATCTAGATCTCATCAGTTTTTATGCATTCTGGATAAATGTCAAGGCAGCCATTTTGGATTTTCCGTCTTAAAATCTTGCCCGTAAAGTCTTGTCTACGCGTTTTTAGGTGAACCGTTTGGTAGATCAATTTCAAGTTTTCAGGGATGATTCTTAGTATGAAAATCTAGATCTGATTAGTTTTTGGGCATTCTGGGTAAATGTCAAGGCAGCCATTTTGGATTTTCGGTCCTCAAATCTTGTCTGTAAAGTCTTGTTTACATGTTTTCTGGTTAACTGTGTGACGGATCAATTTCAAATTTTCAGGGGTGCTTCTTAGTATGAAAATCTAGAACTGACTAATTTTTGGGCATTCTGGGTAAATTTTAAGGTGGCCATATTGGATTTTCCATCCTCAAATTATGTCGTTAAAGTCTTGTCTACTCATTTTTAGGATAACCATTTGATGGGATCACCCATAGGTGGGGACATTTTGTACACATTTGTGTTCTTGTATTATTTAGTTACACATCCAAACTTTCTGAGAATCCCCAGCAAATGACAATTTGATTCTGAGATTAATTTCAGTGCAAATAATTCCAGACTATCAAACAAGTCAATGAAGTTGACATGAATGTCTGACAGTTACACACTAATGTTCAATGAAATTGTCTTCTTATTGGTGTTGCTTTAAATCTAGTCGGGCTATGAATGAATATTGAGAAATAATATTTCAAAAATGTGAATAGTTCTGATTTGTATGTATTATGTAACAGGCAAGGTGACAGAAGGAGATAAGGCACAAGTATTAATAATTTCATTAACATCTTAATTGTTTGTTTATCAGATAGACAAGTGTATCATATTCAGGTAGAGTGTATGATGGGCTGATTTTATCACATGTCTTACATGTATATCCGATTACCTAAATATTCATCCCAGCCCATATAGAGACAATCAGAGTGGGAGGGCATAAATATTCATCCCAGCCCATATAGAGACAATCAAAGTGGAAGGGCATGAATATTCATCCCAGCCCATATAGAGACAATCAGAGGGGGAGGGCATACATATTCATCCCAGCCCATATAGAGACAATCAGAGGGCGGGAGGGCATAAATATTCATCCCAGCCCATATAGAGACAATCAGAGGGAGGGCATGGATATTCATCCCAGTCCATATAGAGACAATCAGAGTGGGAGGGCATAAATATTCATCCCAGCCCATGTAGAGACAATCAGAGGGGGAGGGCATAAATATTCATCCCAGCCCATATAGAGACAATCAGAGTGGGAGGGCATAAATATTCATCCCAGCCCATATAGAGACATCAGAGTGGGAGGGCATAAATATTCATCCCAGTTTATACAGAGACAATCAAGAGTGGGAGGGCATAAATATTCATCCCAGCCCATATAGAGACAATTTTTTTTTTATACATAAATTTATTCCTTTAGTAAACAATATAAGACATGCAATTGATTGCCAAAGTTTTATAAAAAAAACATTAGCGGCAATTTTAGACAATATGAATAGGAATACATTAAAATTAAAAATCTAAAAATCTTTATAGAGACAATCAGAGGGGAGGGGCATAAATATTCATCCCAGCCCATATAGAGACAATCAGAGTGGGAGGGCATAAATATTCATTCCAACCCACATAGAGACAATCAGAGTAAGAGGGCATAAATATTCATCCCTGCCCATATAAAGACAGTCAGAGGGGGAGGGCATAAATATTCATTCCAACCCACATAGAGACAATCAGAGTGGGAGGGCATAAATATTCATTCCAGCCTATATAGAGATAATCAGAGTGGGAGGGCATGAATATTCATCCCAGCCCATATAGAGACAATCAGAGTGGGAGGGCATAAATATTCATCCCAGCCCATATAGAGACAATCAGAGTGGGAGGGCATAGATATTCATACCAGCCCATGTAGAGACAATCAGAGTGGGAGGGCATAAATATTCATCTCAGCTCATATAGAGACAATAAGAGTGAGAGGGCATAAATATTCATCCCAGCCCACATAGAGACAATCAGAGTGGGAGGGCATAAATATTCATCCCAGTCCATATAGAGACAATCAGAGTGGGAGGGCATAAATATTCATTCCAACCCACATAGAGACAATGAGAGTGGGAGGGCCTAAATATTCATCCCAGCCCATATAAAGACAGTCAGAGGGAGGGGGGGGGCATTATTCAGGAATAACTGCATTATTTGTGTCACCACCACAAGTAACATAGTGAATTACTTTTACAGTCTCTAACTTTTTAATGGACTGTGTTCAAGTTTGGAGTTTGATGTCTATAATAATTTGGCATCTGTAACAATTTGCAATATCTTACAAGGTGGTGCCATTTTATATCATTTTACAAAGTGTTTTACTTTTTGTATTAAAGAGCTGTAATGGTAAAGTTATTGCATTTATAGCACAAATACAGTGCATGAACAATTGAACCTCATTTATTTTCTTCTTTCAGCTTTATTGACGTTTGTTAATTGTGCGAATGTGAAATGGGCAAACAAGGTACAGATAGTGTTCACAGTAGCAAAGGTGGCAGCACTGGTCCTCATCATCATTATCGGAGCTGTGTATCTCGCTAAAGGTATGTAATTGGAAATGTTTTTGTTAAGTTGTAATCATGTGGAAAATGGAGTGGAATAGTATGGAACTAGCAAGAATTAATGTAAATAGGCATTTATGTTTTCAATACACTATATATAGAAATTATAGCTGAGATTGAATGTTTCCTATACCAGCATGTGGAAAATCCGTCACAAAATTGTTCACTAAAATTGCTCTTATTTGAACAATTTTAATCCAATTAACACAAAAATTGTTTTAAAATGTGTAGAAATTATCTCTGTCATCTAATTTTACTAGGTTCTGCATCAAACGTTGTATCCATATTTAGTAAAATGTCAAAAGGTAGCAAAAATGAAAAAATCTCTTGATTTCAACCGATTTTAGAGCCTGGAATTCAAAAGGTTAAAGCTTGAAGGGTGGCATCAAGAGAAATTATGGCCTTCTATTAGATTCTTTCTAGTTGAAGACAAAGAGATGTGATGAGTGTCAGAATGGAAGAGTAGTTACCTCATATTAAGTATCATTTATATTAAAGAAGGTATTTATCAAAGTTCAAGTTGCAGATGATTTCCTTAAAGTTAATTTTTTTAAATTAGGCTATTTTAGGATATGTGTTACAGGTGTAACACTTTAATTAACTGATAATTGAACTTGCATTTTTTTATTTACAGGGAATACAAAAAGTTTTGAGGATCCATGGAAGAACTCAAATACAGAACCTGGGGCCATAGCACTTTCATTTTACTCAGGGTTATTCTCATATGCAGGATGGTGAGTAATTGTTTTGTGGGGGTTCATTATATTCTAACCAATCAATTTTCAGAATGTCATTCATTTTTTGTGTCACCCTGTAAAGTTCTCAATGTTGTGGTAGTTCCTTGTTCTTGAGTGGATCAAACTAGGTTTTATCACTAAACCATTTCAACAACAAAGTACATGTACTAGTCCTTTGAAAATGAGTGTTTTGGTGTTCAACTTCTGTTTCTAATTTAATTTTGTAGTTTCACTAGAACCTTGGAGCTCTAAATAGCCATGTTTTTCTGTCAGTTGAAATTGATATAGCTTATCTTTCAGTAGCATTTTGTTTGTAATCTATTATAAAAGCAGAATGTTTATGTTTTGTCCAGGCACTTAACTTGTGTACAGGATCCCTCTGTCATCACACAAAATGGGTTCTGCCTTACATTTTTTCAAAGATTTCAAAATGATATATTTACAGTAAAGCCTGTGCCATTGTATACACTCATCTAATCTTAATCCATTTTGGATTTTTTATTGAAGCCTCATATTATTAAATCTTCTACTGAATTATGATACCAATAAATATTTGACCCAATCTTATCTAAAAATTTAAGTGTCTGAATGAAAATCAAATTAATTTGCAATAGCCATATGTGGGGTAACCAAAGCTGACTTGTCCTTAAAGAGTAAGTTGTCAAAAATAAACAGATAGTTTTCAACATAAATAAATTAATTATACTCTGGTGTAAACACTTTTTGAGGATTGAATGTGTGCAAAACATTAAATTTACATTTGTCAACCATGTCACTATACTTAAGATAAATTGCTCTGAGGACCAGCATTGGTCCCAAAAACATGATTTGACAGCGCAAACATGAATCAAAATGAACTAATATGTCAGATATGCATGCAATTGTTGTATTCAAGTATAGCATCTGCCACTTATATTAGTTTGAAAGAATTGATAATGAATTAAACATTGTTTAACTGTTAAAGTTGATAGTTGTAACATGTTACTGCATTGTTAACAAGTAATTAATGGTCACCTGTAGTACATGTTATACGTTCTTAGCATTGTTCAACAGAGTCATTTTGGATAAGAAGCAAGATGCAGCCTTTCCTTGTATTCGCGAATGCCACTAACAGCTACCGGCTACGCCTATGAATTTACTTAAATTAACCCGTTAGTTTGAAGTGAGCAACCCCTTTAACAGCTAACAGGGATCACATGACTTTTAATTATACAATTGTCACATGATCCAATACAATTAAAACGTGTCTTGCGTCTATGCACATGTTCTAGATGTACTTCCGCTATTTACAATCCAAATATGTCGATAGTCAGTGCTAGTTGGTGCTTTAATAGCCAAATTAAATCATTATTTAGGTGAGTTATTGCTTATGAGGCGAGAGCTGGCAACTAACGGGAAAAATCCATATTATTATTCACTGTCATATTCCTCACTCACTGAGTGGTCTATGTCCTACATGTGACTAGAAGATAATATGCCATATTCCCCTGTGTGTGCTTCATGTACATGTATTCATGTCAATAGAAATGAATGAAATATTTGTATGATATAACTTTCATAGCTTTTATTGATATATTGAATCATAACATACAAGTTCTTGGGTCATAACAAAAAGAAATAGCCTGTCTAAACTGTTTTCATTTTGTGAGTTACCTGAAAAATCGCTAATTTAATCATTTCGAGTTTACAAGTCACAGATCTGTTAAATTAATTAGATTTTGACAAATTTTCAAAATGTTTATAAGTGACATTTTGGAATTTTCAATAATGGTTTCAGTCATCACCTCATATGGTAAACTTTGTTCACAGAGTGTCAATGTACAATATGTTTCCTAAATCATTTTTAAATGAAACCAATTTGTCAAATCAGCATGTGTTATTTGATCTCTGACCTTAAGTAAAAATACTTCCTGGCCTTAAATTAAATGACAGAGCATATCTTTTCACCCCTGGATTTTTTATTCAATTTGGTGCAAATTCTCTGACTCAACTCCAAAGTTCAGACCAATTTGGTCAAAGTGTGCCAATATCTTTTGGTTTTTATTGATTTAACCTAGGGGTTTTCAGGTGGGTGCAAGCCTATTTTTAAAATCTCAAGTGGGTGCAGCATCAATGCTAGGGACCCCTGGATATATTTACAGAATATCAAATATAAAAGTATCACAGAACCCAAAATTCTTTATCTTACCTCTGCATTAGTTCATCAAACAAATACAAAAAATGGCAAACCTTAATGTTGTTTTAAACGATAAACCATAGAATTGTAAATACAAATGTATTGTATCGTTAATATTGTATATTTTTAATTGAGTTTCTTTTTCATTTCAGGAATTATCTCAACTTTGTAACTGAAGAGCTTCAAAATCCTTACAAGTAAGTTTCCATCGTGATGTCTTAATGTCTTCACTTGATTTGGGTCCACTGGTTAAGCCTTGTATTTTACATTTAAATTCAATTCATGTGTACATGTAAAGTTAAGAGTTTTTTTAATGAGGAAACTAAAGATTTCCTTGAATAAAAATTTGCGAAACTGATATATAGGATTAAAGAGTATATACTGTGGAGGCACATAACATTTAAACAGTGATAAAAATTATATACAGCTGTACTTGAATTATTTTTAAGTGTCCTTTTGGATTTCAAGGTGAAGTGTTTCATGTTGATAAAGTTATTAAGTCATGTACAATAAGTAAGCACAGAACATACAGTATACTCCTGATTCACTAGGACTTTAAGCAATAATTGTCAAAATACAGTAAATGATAAATCTTTGTCATATAGCACCTCATCAAAACTATCTTCTAGGAGGTTGTTTGGCTCTAAATCATTCCCTCGACACCAGGAACAAATAAAAATAAAATGCTGAAAATAAAACAAAATAAGAGCAAGAGACTGCACTATTTCTTAAAATACATGTATATCGATGTTATGCATTTATTAGAGGTTCAAAATTGTAAGAATTGTACTTATGACCTCACCATTGCTGAACAATCATAGTAAATTACAATTAAATGTGCCATATATGAAGTTCACTGGGTTTTTTTAAATGATAAGACATTACAATTGATTAATGTTTCATTTAAGGTTATTTATCAAATTAGAGACACTTGACATCATAGTTAATTGCATGCTGGGTTCAGATACACATATGAAAAAGTGAAAATATAAATACACATGATTCTACCGAATTACATTCCTAACATAGATGTGACATGTTGGGCAGATCATTTTGGGCAGGTTTTTAAACCGCCAAACATTAACCTCATTTCTTTAACAAACACAGTTGAATATGTTTATATTTACAATTCAATTTTTCACAAATACCCCCTATAGAACATGTCTTGGGAGAGCTAAATCCTTATACAGTTCATGACTCTGTCAGAGAGATCACTTATTCTGGAACAAAGCTCAACAGACGAGTTCCCCTTGTATTATCGTATGTACATTCAGTGGGTTATGTTTATTTAAACTTTTTTGTCATTATTCAGTCATTTATAGGCTCACCTTATGCTAAGACACAAAAATTGAATCCCTTGATGTTTCTTTTTTGAGGGAATTCCCCTGGTACTTTTCCAATTTAAGTCTATTTAGTAAAATATTATTTTTGTAAATTTTATTAAGTTTTTATGAGAATCACTGTGAATTCAAAATCTCAAGGTCTTTCTTATAAGAGTTCATGTGTATCCTTCAGAGAGCAAAGTCTTGATTTTTAACCTGGCTGCCTCTCGTTTGAATCAAGCCTTAAATTCAACAAAATAAAAGTTTGGCTTTCTAATATGGTACCAAAGTTAATGCTTTCCCCCACAACCTGGAGTACATGTTTTGTTACAATGTCACGAGTCACCTTTACTTCTACCAATTTACCTAGTTGTAAGTTATGCAGTCTACAGTCTACTTGATCTTTGATATGCTATTCGTTAATCACAAGTTTTAAACTTTTTTTGACATAACCTCATTCAAAGATTGTTTAACATTACACAATGATCAAAGTAAAATCCAGAATTGTGAATCCTAAATTCAAATTTAATTCATCTCTATAACAGTGTCAATAAAATAGTTTCGTAATTTTAAACAGGTGTTTTCATATCCATATATGACATTGAACAAATATTTCACTCTATTGAGGTGAATACCTGTACATCTTTCACAAGTGATATTCCACGAAGCCCGAAGGGCAAGTGGAATATCACCTTGTGAAAGTGCTACAGGTATTCACCGAAAATAGAGTGAAATATTTGTTTTATTATATCACTGTCTAGCTAAACATCCCTAATATTATTAAGTCATAGGTTAACATTTGAAATACATTGAATCTACTCGGTTCGTCTGCCATTTTGACTTAATTGAATATCGCCAGATATCCCACGACATGTGACCCGGTTTTGACCAATCATACTGTCGCTAGCTAGATAGTGATATAATAATTCATGATATTAAGTTACTGTCAAACCAGTGTTTACTGAGCTGTTCGGAAATGACAGACTTTAACAGAAAAAGTTAACACAATCTTAGATTCGATTTTATTCAAGCAATTTTCATCTTTTGAGATTTTGATGCCTTTGATGACGGAATTAAAGTTATGTGGTATAATGAATTCACCTTTTTGTTCCTATAAGGAAATGCATTTAGAGCTAAATACTGCTAACCCACAGGATACATCTACATCTGTACCTATCTGCCATCATAATGGGTAATAAAGTCCTTATCAAATGGACATCACATGAAGTTCATCAAGTTAATTTTACATAGATATGATGTGTTGTGAGATATTAGCCTCTATCAAGCTGGTAAGGAAATGGATAGAATTAATTTTGGATTGCTGAATCAGAAATTGAACAACACTTCTGTGATATTTCTCATTGTGATGAATCATGTTATACATTAATTCTCAGTTCAGATTCCATGATATTGTCAATAAGATTTGCTAATGCCTATTGTGTAATACACGGACATTACAGTCAATAGATATATGATTACTTCACACCTTGTGACATCTGTAACTTACCTATTAGTCTAGCTACAAGCTCCTGTGTCCCCCCCACCTCTGATTTGACACACACCTTCCTTGTAGCTAGACTACTTCATATCTCGAAAGCTTAAATCAGAGATGAAGTGTCCTAAATTCAGAAAATGTTGCTTGTGAAACTGAAAGATGGATATCAGAATGGATTATCTCCATAATGTTATATCATACCCCATCCCTTGGCCATTCATTAATTTAATACATGAAGTTCAAATATGCTGCAGCAAAGCATACATTAAAGGTCCCATACAAAGTTTGTAAAGAAGTTTTTGTCGTTAGTTTACTGTTTTTCATGGCTTTCAAAGTTATTATATAGATTTTCCCCCAAAATGTTTTTGAAAAAAAGTTGTCAGCTTTTTATTTCCTCAAATAAAACATTGACTTTGCATATTTTTAGAAATCTTCCAAGGGCAATCTGGATCTCAATGCCCCTAGTGACGGGAGTCTACGTGCTGGCCAATGTGGCATACTTTGCTGTCCTCACTCCTGAAGAGCTCTTAGAATCTAATGCAGTCGCTGTTGTGAGTATAGCTCTTGCCTTAAGAAAATAAAAATCTCACCTTAGGAAGCTACAATATTATTACTAAATGTATTTATTTTTCAGCATTTTAGAGTAAATAGTGAATATTAAATATATGGAGGGCTATTTTGATTTCTTATGTTACAGACATTTGGTGGTCGGATGTTGGGCCCAATGGCATGGATAATGCCAGTTTTTGTAGCTGCATCAACATTCGGGGGCCTCAATGGTGCCATCTTTACTTCAGCTAGGTAACTAACTTAGATGGTTTAGAAATAACGATTTTTAAATAATAGTTTAATGCTTAATAGTTTGACATAATATTCGCTGTTCTCTTAACTAGTTACATTTATGAAACATCATAATAACAAGATGGAGGAACTGTCAAAGTTCAAGTTTGGCAAAAAAAATTGTTTTTTTGATTTAAACCTACCTATACGTCAAGTTTCAGGAAATAACTTGATTCAAAGTTACAGAATAAGTCAAGAATAAGATTAAAGCTTTTTGTTTGGAATTTGGTTTTAAAAGAGGAGGCAATTTATATAAGTTTGTCCCTTGCTTTTGTTACATTGACAAAATTCTAGAATATTACCAATGTTAATTTGACATGGACTAACATCAATGTGACAAAGGCGAGGGACCAAATGACCAAATATATGAATTGTGGCTTCAAAAACCAAATTCCCAACTCCATGTATATTCTGAAACTCTTTTTCTAAATTTGAGCCAAGTTATAATCTACAACTCGGTTTAAATTGAAAAAACAAAACATCTTACCAAACTTGAACACAGGCACTACCTCCATTTTGTTCCTTTGATGTTATATTTCTGTTATTCATTTGTTGTTTGTACTTTGAAGTGAGCATGTTGTAATATTTTAAAGCATTATCGAAAGTTAATTCATTTTGGCATCTTTTGCAGGTTATTTTTTGTAGGGGCAAGACAAGGTCATCTCCCAGAATCCTTAGCACTTATAAATGTCAAACATTATACTCCACTGCCCTCTTTAGTATTTGTGGTGAGTTAAAAGCAGACAACATTTTAATGTTGTTAACCAATCAATAACTGGAGAATATTCAGCTCTACCTTCATCCATTGCAATCTGGCTCTCATCCATGACCCACCCAATATAGTTTAGGTGCATAGATTGCAATAAGTATTGTTAGTTGCTTTAAAACAGTTCATCAGTGCTTGTTATGGAAATGCATGATCATTTTTGACAAAGGCTTCAAAAAAATTCAATTTGTCAAATTTAGATATCATATCACATAGTTCATGAGTTCATTTGAGTATGCGGCATTAGTTCATAATAATCTAATTGACTTGGTCTCTAAAAAGCTGTACATGCCTAATTCATTCTTATCATATTGCATGAGAAATTATTCGTATGAGGCCTACATTTTAAAATCAATGCATGGAATTCATTCTTGAATACTCCATTACTCTGGCTTGAGTTTGCAAATAAAAGAGTATGCTATGTAAAATTATGATTTGTTTTAATCCATTAACTTATCTCTGGCTGGATAGTATTCATTTGATAGGAGCCAATTAAAACATTAGAAAATCCAATGCCGCTGAATCATGCTATGTTATAAATAATATGCTTCATGCAAAATGCTCAAACAATTCATGGCTGGTCACTCGTGTGACATCCTTCACATAATGCAAAAATAGTGCTGCAATATCCCTATTTACATATTCATTATTCAGTAACAAAGTATATTAGTTTAGTAGATACATGTAGTTTGCAGATACTAAAATCTGACATGGCAATTATGTAAATGGATGGAGGTCTGCCAGTATTCTCCAGTGAAAGGCCCTTTGTATTGGCTTTCACTTTTTGAGTTGATTAACTTACTTTGTAATTAATTTTTTTTGATTAGAAGCCTTGAATATCTGCCTATTTTACCAATGCCTCTAAGTTGGACATGTGATTGCTTTACGGTAAAATCTGTACATCTGAACGCCTCTCTATTCTGAACACCTCTCAATATTAAAACCTTTTCTTGGTCGATATTTCGTTATCTCCCATCCTTAAGAAATCATAAGATGGGAACACCTGCTAATCAGAACACTTGGTTTGTCCGTGTGGCGTTCACATAACATTGAAAATTTGCACGGGTTCAGATCTGGTGTTACGAGTGTAAAAGAATCACACTGCCATCTTTTAGTGTCCCAGAACCATGGTGCGACACAGGATTTTTCGCAATATGGAAAATAATACCAAAACTTGTTTTGAATGAAATTCTGACCAGATAGTCAGAAATCCTAATGTGACGCACCCTGCCTGGCACATTAGTCCTATCGGTTTTGCTAACATGTGTCATTTCATTCATTTGTAGTTGTCCATTTCTATATTCATTGATAATGACTTAATATAGGTCTAGTTGAATGATTCTTCCATATGGTGTTAGGAAAGCCTACAGTACATAAATGAATGAAAAGATCCAAGTAAAACATCAAGACTATTTACTTGGTTTGGTCTGCCTTAAATCAGCATGTCTGTTCAAATGTAGAACTGTTTTGATGACTGAGTTAGTGAAACAGAATTAATTACATACAAGTTTTACTGTAGTGATGTTGATTTGATGCATCATGTAGAAGAGTTGAATACTTTGAATGAAATGACACTTTGTTGTTATGATAGATGTTTTATAAGCTTTGTTATGTCCCCACCACATAGTGTTGGGCCATATTGTCGTCCTAGGCGCGTCCGTCCGTCCGTCTGTCTGGTTGGTTGTCTGTCTGTCTGTCCGTCCGTACGTCCGGCAGTTTTCTCCAAAACCGCTACAGGTATCACCTTCTAATTTTCAGGAATAACTTATGAGTGCCTATAGATGTGGATGAAAAAAATTTAACTCGAAACCTACTTCCTGTCGGCCATTTTGAAGTCAAATGCTAAAATCCTTGTCTGCAAACTTTAAGAAAAACTGCTTCACAGTTGCTTTTAAAACTTTAACATCTTGTTCAGCTCACTTCATTCTAGATCTGATTAGGTTTTGGACCTGCTAGCTCAGTCATGTCAGCCATTTTGAATGTCTTAAGAAAAGTTAGCGCGCGATAATACTTTGTATCATATTGAATGGTGTTTTTGAGTTTTCATACTTTAACTATTTAGTAGCTTTATAAATAATTTCAGATGTACTTTGCTGTAAAAGCCTACTTTATTGTTAACAGTAGTTATATGTGATAATTTTGTAAAAAGAAATCAGCAAAAACTCATATGGACTTTTTTATTGTCGGCCATTTTGGATTTTTCGGTCCTAAAATCTTGTCTGTGAAGTCTTGTCTGCGCGTTTTCAGGTGAACCGTTTGGTGGATCAATTTCAAATTTTCAGGAATGATTCTTAGTATAAAAATCTAGATCTCATTAGTTTTTTGGCATTCTGGGTAAATGTCAAGGCAGCCATTTTGGATTTTCCGTCCTAAAATCTTGTCTGTAAAGTCTTGTCTACTCGTTTTCAGGTGAACTGTTTGGTAGATCAATTTCAAATTTTCAGGAATGATTCTTAGTATGAAAATCTAGAACTGATTAGTTTTTTTGCATTCTGGGTAAATGTCAAGGCAGCCATTTTGGATTTTCTGTCTTAAAATCTTGCCTGTAAAGTCTTGTCTACGCGTTTTTAGGTGAACGGTTTGATAGATCAATTTCAAATTTTCAGGGATGATTCTTTGTATGAAAATCTACATCTGATTACTCTTTTTGCATTCTGCGTAAATGTTAAGGCAGCCATTTTGGATTTTCTGTCCTAAAATCTTGTCTGTAAAGTCTTGTCTACCCGTTTTCAGGTGAACCGTTTGGTAGATCAATTTCATATTTTCAGGGATGATTCTTAGTATGAAAATCTACAAACAGATTAGTTTTTTGACATTCTTGGTAAATGTCAAGGCAGCCATTTTGGATTTTCCATCCTGAAGTCTTGTCTGTAAAGTCTTGTTTACATTTTTTCTGGTTAACTGTGTGACGGATCAATTTCAAATTTTCAGGGGTGGTTCTTAGTATGAAAATCTAGAATTGACTAAATTTTTGGCATTCTGGGTAAATTTTAAGGTGGCCACTTTGGATTTTCCGTCCTCAAATTGTGTTGGTAAAGTCTTGTCTACTCATCTTCAGGATAACCATTTCACGGGATCACCACTTGGTGGGGACATTTTGTACACATTTGTGTTCTTGTTTATATTGTATTGTTTGTATTGCTTTCAGTGGTCTCCCCAGCATTAAAGCAAGTGGGCGCAGCACCCACCTGAGATTTTGAAAACAGGCCTGCACCCATCTGAAAATCCATTTGCACCCACTTGAAAATGAAGAAATCATGAAAAATAGGCATATTTTGACCAATTTTGGTCTGAATTGTGAATATGAGAATTTTGCACCCACCCGAATAAAAATCCTGGGGAGATCACTGGCTTTGTTTTTATTGCTTTGTTTTACTGCTACTCTGTCTGTGATCCTATTATGTAAAAATATTTACTTGCATAATTATATAAAATTGTCTCAGCCAAGTTTTTATAATTCCTATATTCTTTCTATGTGCCTGCTTAATGGAGGAAAGCTGCGTTAATTAAATGAACTCCATAATGGGTTTATAATGCATTATGGGAGATTTTTAAAAAATAAATATGATTTTGCCATAAATGATGGGAATCAAGTCGCAATATCAGTACATGTATACATGTATATCCAGAAGTGGAACCTTTTTGTGATATGGGCTGTCCCTGAATTTCAATAATACCTCACAGTTTTTTTAGAAAGCCTTAATACACCTCATGTCTCATGATCCCACCGTTCCCTTAATGCATTATAAGATGGTACCCTTCTTGGGATACAGTATAAGACCTTACCCAACTTCTTGTGTTCCCTTTTGATGCATTCTGGAATGCAATTCTTTTTATTTATGTTGCATCCTGGGACAAAACATGTACCTCTGTTGTGGAATAATCATAACCATTGTTTTATTTAAGTAGTTTAGTACCTCTTTAAATTTTCTATATTTCTTAGACTGGTTTTTGTTGGGGCGCGTAATGGCCATTTCCCACATGCCCTCGCTCTGATAAACACCAAATTCTTCACTCCTGTGCCTGCCCTCTTTTTCGGGGTAAGTCAGCATAGGCATCAAGAATGATATAGTTTGTTCTTAATTCTTAATGCCCATGACCGCACATATTGTAGCATGTATATTTGTTTTCATTTTATGTTGTATTTTTTGGTCTAAATGTTTAGTATATTTCTTTTTCTCATTTTTTTATTACACAAAAATAAGCATGCATACTACTTTTCTGTCTAAGTATTGCTTAAAAATGGCTGGATACGTTTATATTCTGTTTTTTTTTAATTTGAACCAGAAGTTATAAGATATGCATGGATGCATTTATCGATCACAATGCTTACAATGCACAATGTGTTGCCATACTGATTTTGTTCATATTGTTATATTATTAAAAGAAGTAAGAAAAAATCATGAAATGTTTTGTTTCAGTGTCTCATGTCACTAGTGATGTTGTGTACTAGTGACGTCTATGTCCTCATTAACTACACAAGTTTTGTTGAATCAGCATTTATTGGGATCTCAATCGCTGGATTATTGTACCTCAGATGGAAACAACCAGACACATTTCGACCAATCAGAGTAAGGCATTTATTCATGTTTTTCAATGCATGTTCATGTGTGTTCAGTTATTTGTTGAACATTATGAATTCTGATCATTCAAAACGTTAATGCTTCTTATATGGGTTAAACTTATCTGCCATTTATTTGAAATATTTAAAAATAAATAAATATCACCATGTAAGCCCAGCAAATAGTGCCAATCTATTTTTAAGAAGCTCATAGGTAAATGTGATAAATCTGAGACAAGTAATCAAACCTGGAAGAAAACCCATAGTCAAAAGTTATGCCAATCTAAACCAATGAGAATCCCGGAAATGCAATTTGTAAAATAGAAGTTTTTCCAAGCTTTATTTCAATGATCCAGTCAATTCATTGTATCATGAAATAAACAAAAGAAGTTACTCCTGTTTTTTTTCAGGTTAGTCTTGTGTGGCCAATTATATTCTCAGTGATCTGCGCGTTCCTGATCCTCTTCCCACTGTTCTACAGTCCCTTTGAGTGCCTCATGGGAATCATTATGACGGCCACTGGTATCCCCGTCTACTGGCTTGGTGTCAGTTGGTCCAAAAAACCTAAATTGATTCGCTCATGGATTCGTAAGTATTTCTGTAGATTGTCAAGCTCTGTATTTATGCACCATTTAAAGGTTTGCATGAATGGTGCAATTTGTCTTAATCGTAAAGTTGATTTCCAAAAGAATCAGAAACTTAGTATTAAGACATGTGTGAGTGAACATTTTCTTGCTTTTTTAATGCATTTTTTTATCTCTTTGTGGAAAATAAGACCTCATTACTGATGATTTGTGTTATAAAATTGTGAACACCATTTACATGTTTCTTGAACTCTTTCTTAATCCAACAGTATGTGCTCTTTATTACTTTGATTGCAATAAGACAATCGATTGATTCAAGTATATTATAAACTATCATTTTACTTTTCAGAACGTTTCACAATATCTGTTCAGAAGTTGCTTTACTGTGTATATCAAGAAAAAGAAGACTAGAGCTACTTATTTAAGTGTAATGGTCAATTTGATTGTGATGCTGTTGTGACACCTTTTGGTGACATTTACAACTAAAAGACCGTCAGCATAACTGTTAACACCATTATGGAATAATGCATATGTACCAAAGATATGATATACAAGACATTAAATCTGAAATGTATCATAGCAAGATCACAAGCACTGACTTGAGTATGGATCTGAATATGTTGATAGATACATGTTCAGGGCCAGGCTGAGAAACAGGGATAAAGTAATGAGTATTAATGTTTGAACAGTATTGCTTTTGTGGAAGCCATTTTTTCATGAACTTTTTGAGAACATAAAATGCTTGGATTTTTAGAATGTATAATTGAACAATAATTGGTAAGCTACTCATGCTCTACATCAGTTTTATGACATCATTTCAAAACCATTTTAAGTAACAGATTCGTTGAGCTGAAGAAAATCAGCTGAAATCCAGAATCTTTGGAATGAAAAAACATAGGGCTGGCATAAAACAGGTTTTACCTTTGGAAATGATGAATTTGAATTGATTCATCATGTTTTCCTAGAAAAGATATCCTTTATAACTTAAATGCACACATGTTGCAAGTGTCTATGTCTTATATATTGGCCCCATTCCAATTGAGAATATTATACTCATAAGATTTTGAAATGTCACATCTTTTCTCATGAAACATTGATATCAATATTTGATTTCTCCTCGGCAACATAAATGCAATATATAATACCTCAAAAAGAAAAAAGAACAAGAACAGTTAATATTTGATGAAGATACTGATAGAGACAAATTACCTAGATGCGAGTAGAAATAATCTTGATTTAAGTCATTAAAAATTCAAAATTCAGTCAAAGTAATATCATATTTGAAATCTACATGTAAAATTACATCTAGAAATGTGGTTTTAAAAAGCGTTTATCAACTTTGAAAAATTAATTTTCTTTGAAAATGTGACTTCTAGCTCGGGGAGATTCCCCATAGACCCCATGCTATAAAATCACAAAAAATGAAATATCTTTTCTTTTAGTGGACAGATAATATTTTGCTTTACTGGACATATTTTCATTCGTATAAGTATCAGGCACATAAGGGTTATATGAAAATTGAGCCACTTAAATTGATAATATTCAAGTTTAAGGGAACTTTCTTATATACCTGCCATGTTAATTGACCCGAATCAGCCACCTGGTGGTGAAACTGGTAACTACCTACTCGCATTTGGGTAATTGAGATGGACAAAAATAACAATGAGCAATCTCGAAAATTGTTTGATTTTGTTGTTTGCAGTTCTTTTCTACCCTCCTCGTCCAAAGTAAACAAATTCCTTATTACTAACACACCATGTATTGTTACAAATGCAAATTGGCTTAGGGTGAGTTGAAATATGTTTGTGCTTGTGTATATGATATGTATAGGGAATTCTCTTATTTTTCTATAAGCTTGAGTTTTGGTAGTACATGTAATGTATAATGTTATTTTTTGGTAACAGTACATATTAATTGTGAATATATGTACTCCCTCAATGGCCCATGATGTGCAAAGTTTGTGAATTAGAAGTTATTAGATACTTGGCAATTAATGTTTACTTTTATAATCATAAGTACTTTATTTCATTGCATATATCTGTGAAGTTTTAGGTGCAAAAACATCATGTTTGCCCAGATGTGCATTTCTAACTGCCACTTAGCCCCATGTAAAATGACATTTTGTTATTCTCTGATTTGAAAGCTTTTATTTTACTATGAAACGTGCTTCTGAAGACTATGAATGCAAGGCTTATAACAAATATACTGGTTTTTATCGCACTTTGAAAAAGTGCTATATTGCCGTCGTCTTGTGCTGTTGGGCGGGTGGGCATGCGGGCGGGCGGGACATAAACCAAATCTTGTCATCAAATTTCCAGGATAACTGCTTACCTGTTCAACTTGAAATTTTTACAGATGCAAGAGCAGACTAGTACCAAGATCTGATTAGGTTAAGGGCATGCTGGGTAAACTACGTGGCGGCCATTTTGAATTTTTCAACAAATCTTGTCATCAAAATTCCAGGAAAACCACTTATCCGTTCAACTTGAAATGTTTACAGATGCAAGAGCAGACTATTGCCAAGATCTGATTAGGTTTTGGGTATGCTGGCTGAATTACATGGTGGCCATTTTGAATTTTTCAATTTGGCGGCCATTTTGAATTTTTCAACTTGCTCCAAATTGACCAAATTTTTTTTTAAAAACATCTACAAGTTCTCAGAAGTTCAAAACTGACCTTAGATTTCAGATTTGACCTTTCATTCACCTTCAGTGACCTTGAAAAGGTCAAAAAAGTTGATTTTCTAAATTGATATTTTGGATTTAAATTTAGGTCAGCTTAATTACAAAACACCTACTGAGGTCTGAAAAAGTTAAATTTCAAGGTCGAAGGTCAAGGTCATTAAACTAGGTCACAAATGATGTTATCCAAGTTTCTCAAAGTTTGAGACTACAAATCAATTCTTGTCATCAAAATTCCAAGAAAACCGCTAACCTGTTCAACTTGAAATTTTTACACATGCAATAGCAGACAAGTGCCAAGATCTGATTAGGTTTAGGGCATGCTGGGTAAACTATGTGACGGCCATTTTGAATTTTTCAACAAATCTTGTCATCAAAATTCCAGGAAAACCACTCATTCGTTCAACTTGAAATTTTTACAGATGCAAGAGCAGACTATTTCCAAGATCTGATTAGGTTTTGGGTATGCTGGCTGAATTACATGGTGGCCATTTTGAATTTTTCAATTTGGCGGCCATTTTGAATTTTTCAACTTGCTCCAAATTGACCAAATTTTTTTGTAAAAACATCTACAAGTTCTCAGAAGTTCAAATCTGACCTTAGATTTCAGATTTGACCTTTCATTCACCTTCAGTGACCTTGAAAAGGTCAAAAAAGTTGATTTTCTAAATTGATATTTTGGATTTAAATTTAGGTCAGCTTAATTACAAAACACCTACTGAGGTCTGAAAAAGTTAAATTTTCAAGGTCGAAGGTCATCAAATTAGGTCACAAACGATGTTATCTAAATTTTCCCAAAGTTCCAGACTACAAATAAATTCTTGTCATCAAAATTGCAGGAAAACCGCTAACCTTGTCAACTTGAAATGTTTACAGATGCAAGAGCAGACTAGTGCCAAGGTCTGATTAGGTTTTGGCCATGCTGGGTAAATTGCATGGTGGCCAGTTTGCTCTTCAAAGTGCGATATTTATCACTGCGTGTCTTGTTGTAATTCATATACTGTAGTTATTAAAAAATGCTTAATGATACCATTGTGTATAACTAAGGCCAAAAGGAAATTGGCTTATTATAGAAGTAGAGAGCTATATATTTTATTTGATAGAGGTGATCTATGTGCATGTGTTAAATTAGTTTGTTCAAATTCTGAAGTGATCAAAATGGCGGCTGTTTGAATTCGAATCAAGACATCTCCATATATGGCAGAATATTGAGTTGGAACCCTGGGAGCCACCTCGTCGGTGCTTTCACTTTGATTTTGCATATCATATAAGGTCAATCCCCTAGGGGTCAATCGTAAATTTCTTCATCAATACAGGGTGTAATTGGATCTAATCTAGTCTAACGGCTTGATTTTAAACTGAATGAGAAGCAATAAGATGATTGGTGCAATTCAAAAAGAGAAAAACTACAGCACAAGTTCTGTTTCTTATGGAACAATCTGTTTTCATTGTCGTACTTTAAGGTCTTCCAAATGACTTACATTAAAGTAATTCATTGTGCATACATTGTATATGTAATTCATTGTGTATGTGAATACATGCAGTCGAATAATATATACCTCGATGAACCTCATTGATTAAAGCAGGCCCAAAGCCAGAATTTTCCAAGGGGGGTTCACTTTTCCAAAAAATTCTAGGGGGGGTTCACTTTGGCCAAAAATCACTCAAAAATAGTCAGAATGGTGAAAAACTGCATGATTTTGAAAGAAATTTTGTCCAGGGGGGGGGGTTTGGCCCGGGGGGGGGTTTGATTTTGCATATCATATAAGGTCAATCCCCTAGGGGTCAATCGTAAATTTCTTCATCAATACAGGGTGTAATTGGATCTAATCTAGTCTTACGGCTTGATTTTAAATTGAATGAGAAGCAATAAGATGATTGGTGCAATTCAAAAAGAGAAAAACTACAGCACAAGTTCTGTTTCTTTTGGAACAATCTGTTTTCATTGTAGCCCCCTTGGCTACGGGCCTGTAACCTCATTGATTAAAGCCCAGTATGTATTGAAAAACTTGTTAAAGTCTCATGTCTATCTCCACCTATTTTACAAGGTCATTTTATGCAATATTAAAATGCATAATATCAAGAGGGATGTTTCATAATTCCAGGCACACTGTCAATATATGAGCTTGTCAATTTTGTATTGTCTTATGTGTGTAAGCAATTAAACCCTTTAACATGTATGTTGGTGTCAGTTTGTCTTGCCTCTAATATTGTGTGCCATTTTGTCTTTACTTAGCTGTTCTTTACTCTTGTGACAATTTATAGATAACTCAATCTTAGAACTTTTACGATGTCACTTTTAATGACTTCACAATTTTTGAATAACACATGTAAGAGAATAGTAATTAAGTTTGGAAAATTATATGTGTACTCATTTGGAAAATTATATGTGTACTCATTTTGCGTTCTCTCGATCTTTTAAATAGAAAGCTAATTCTGCCATTATACCTTCAGGGACCATCAAGGCAAAATAGTTATGCCCTGTTTTTAGTGTCCAACATTTAGCGTTGGGCAGTCATCGTCTGTAACGAGTTGTTTCACCTTTGTAATCATTGCTATGCAAAGATTATGTTAATGCCTTGTGTAGAACATGTTGAAGTTCAAGTATGGGGCGTTGGGTCTTACGCTATTGCAGAATGAATTGTATATTATGTATATGATGTGTAAATACATGTATTAAGACAACTATAGCATCTTGGAGATACTGAATTTTGCAAATGAATATGAGGATCTCATCTGGTTTTACCCTTTTAAAAAGTTTGATCATACAAAATGTTATACTCAGAGGGTCGAATTGTTACTGCTAGCCTTTGGGCTTCAGTGATTTTGGAGCAAAATTCATAAGATTTGTTGAATATACAAGATAACTGAACAGTCTCCCATCAGTTAGATGTAAATATTAATGTAAATATAACATATCCAGGATTAAACTTGGGAATAATTAAAACCATGTTATGTATCATATTCATTGGTAGGGATCAAATATTATTCTGCAAAAATCGCAATATGTGTTGTTTCTACATATTTCCCTTAGCCATCAACAAAAAAAATAAAAACCCATAGTGCTAGATGGCAATTTCAGTATATTAAGTTTATTGAGCGTTGTCATTGTTTATCATCATATAATTTTATTGTTACAGGAGACGGGAGAATGATATTTGATCCATACCTATGATATTGTAAAAACGGAAAAACTATTTGCTCTAACGCTAGTGCCTTTGATTACCTATTACTGGTACTAGGGCTACTGTTGTTGTCAGGGGACAGGTTATATAACTGCTGTTGAAATATTGTTTGTATATGTACAGCTGTAACGGCTGTAAAAGGCATAACAGCTGAATTCATTGAAATGTACAATTGTTATTGGGTTTACTGGTTATTGTGTATTCCTGATCCTGAATTTAGGCCACAGAAATAAACTAAAGTGGTTCTCATTAATATTTGAGTGCAATATACATTATGAAAGAACTATTTTCACAGCTAATTTTTGTGGCCTAAAATGTTAATGGTTTATTGTTAAAATGCCTTATTATTGTTGTATGTTTGAATGTTATCTTAAAATTGGTGATTTGGTGCTTCCAATGTTAATAAGTCTCATGTTAAAATATAGATGTCAGTGTAATACATGCTGCAATATGACACCTTTTGGTGGAAACAGAAACAAGTTGTCAAAATAATTCATGTTGAAAAGTGCGATAGATCATGTTTGGAGTTTAACAATGTTACAGATGTAAGTGATACTGTAAGGGACCTCATTTATGTAGATGTGTATGTATTATGTCAATACTAAATACAAATTTAGCTTCATGTAGATGGATAAACAGTCTGCTCTCCAATATCATTCTATGTCCTGTATATGTGATGAAATATGTAATAAACATATGTCTGAATATTAATAAACAATAAAAGATTTTGTTCTATACAGTATGGGTTACATACATGAATAGTTTTTTTTAACAAGTTGGAGTGTGAGTTTCCCCCAAAAATTGTGGCAATTTTACAAATATTGCCCTTATCATTCCATATATTATTTCAGCTTAATTCCACGTGTCTGAATTCCCTATTTAAGTCCCCTTTTCAATGCTGATGATTTTTACATTTGTTTGTTATTCTTCAATAACTTTTATATTTGGACAGACATCTCAGTTCTTTCTCCAAAATATGTAAATATTATAAAAATTATCTATCAAAATGTAAGAAAAACATTGGCATAATTTCTAAACCAACTTTTAACAATTTACACTTTCAAATCAAAATGCTGTAATTTGACGAAAAGGGTTCTCCAGTAACATTAAAAGTAAACCATTTGCAGTTAGTAAGAGAATCTGATTCATTTGAAGAATGGTACCAGGCACCAGGGATATATCCTCTTATGTTAAACTCAATCTTATTAGCCTTTTACCTTTCACTTTGTTACCAGCTCTTGCTGTAATATTCTTATGCAATGAAACATGATCAAAGAACCCTTTAACATGAGTCCCAAGACCATTGTACATCTTCCTTACTTGTCCTTTCTTAATCAAAGGAAGCTGTTGTGCACTGTTTTCTTTTAACTGTCTCCATAACAATTCCATTTGTTTGGTTCCTATTGGTTGAGCTGTCATTGCCGTGGTGATAATCATTGCATCACTCAGTTTCTGGGTATTTGGCAGGAAGCTTGATAAATGAGCCAACCTTACCCTGGATAGCTCAGTCCTGCATAAGCCAGTGAGGTACACATCTTCCCGAGGTAATGATTTGATTTTATCAACAATACCCATAATGCTTTGCATCACTTTAACAGGCATAATGTAACCGGAGCTCCCATCCACAAAATCGGGGTATTTCTTCCCTGCAAACAGTTTTAATGGCACAAAATCGACAGAATTCGGGAACCTATTAGTGTCCAGACCAGATATGACTCTGCCTGCGATATATTTCATATTGGATCTTCTTCCAGGTGTTTTAATCAGCGCAAGGATTTTATAATAGTTCACAAAACTGTTATCATTTGTTCTTAGGACAAATCTAGCCTCTTTACAATTATTTAGGATCCATCTTAGACTCATCAAACTCTTAATTACTCCGATAGATGTTGTGTATCCCCCTCCCACTAGTAACATATCTGCATAACGATTATTTTCAGCTTCAACTAAAGTATTAAGTGTATAGTTTCTAGGTTTTTCCAAAACAAAAATCAGTTTAATATTCTTGTCACCAAGCTGATGTGTTGAGCCCCAAGTGTGTCTCACCGCGAGCCTCTGTTTGATATTCCAAGCCTCCGAATGAACAACTGTCACTAAGTAAACATTCTCTGTTTTTGCACAGGCTGGAGGTGACTTATACACTGGGAAATGTACCTCATTACATGTTGATTTGCATACGTAGTTGTGAGGCTCTGGGATCAAAGCAAGGTATATGGTAAAGCTAACACAGATGCCAACCACTACTAGGAACTGGAGCATCCTCTTGATCGCAACTTTGGGCTTTCTAGCCATCATAAGTCCATATTTATCCTTCCTCTAAATTTTGATCACTAAAAGTCATATCCCACATGTATATTTTTGTCTATGGTATGTTATAATTGCATGTTATCAGGTGTTCAGTTGAACTTTAACCAGTTAAATATTACAAAGATGTTAATCATTAAATCAGTTGCAAGATACTTATGACTTGATATTAACTATCAAAGGAATATAATTTTAGTTCATTTGATTTGATTTTAAGAACACCTTCTATCATCAATATACTTAAGATGGAAAACCATTGTTAAAATATAACTTTTCATGCCATTTATTAGATAAACATCATAATATTTCCTGGAATGAGGCTTATATTTATATGTAAGTGTACTGGTCATGCAAATTGTGGCCTTTAATTATTTTTGGGGGTATATAAAAGGACATGATCAGAGTTATGTAGATGCTTAAACCCTCAATGCAAATACCTTATGGGATCATTTTTATGTTAAAATCAACATGACAGATAGCCAAATGTCAGGTTATATTTTTATTTTTTTTGCTCTCTATATATATTTTTACAGAATGCTAGTAGATGAACATTTCTTAGTATAGCCCTCTTATAGGTAATTCACATAATACAAAAGGTAATTCACATAATACAATAGGTAATTCGCATTGGCAACTCACATAATGCAAAGACAGGCGTACATAAGTAATCACATATCATAAGCTCAAAATGAAATTACATGTTATTCTAGATATGTAATGTCTAGAAATCAAATTCTGCCATATCTTCAATTAAAGGATCACACCAAAGCATTTGACGCACATTTGCATTTTAAATATCTATATTTTTGACAAAATATTAACAGTAGAAACCTAAAAAGTGGGACCCATCTCTGAGTGTAACATCTTGATAAGTGGAACACTACTTGATGTACAAAATGTATTCCAAATACACATGTTTTACTGTACACTAAAATCTAAAACAATATCAGTTACCACAAAAATATTTTTTTCTTCTTTTCACAACCTTTATTTTACTTAACAGGACGTTTCGGATCCTGTCTGGATCCTTTTTCAACTGTATAAAAACTGAACTGAAGCGCTACAAAACAATTAAATAAAAACAATATAACGTTTTGTTTTGTAGCGCTTCAGTTCAGTTTTTATACTGAAAAAGGATCCAGACAGGATCCGAAACGTCCTGTTAAGTAAAATAAAGGTTGTGAAAAGAAGAAAAAAATATTTTTTGTGATTTGATAATCCAACCTGAAGAACATGTTTATGCATATCAGTTACCATTTTAACTGAATTTCAATCATATTTTCTTTCTCTATATGTTGTAGTGATTCCCTGTGAGTAAACACTCAGCTTTTTCTAAAATATAAGCTAGATACTGCATTGTTGTTGCATTTCTATATATCAGGTTGGAGTGTTGTCTAGTGCATTTTATTCCTACTTGATTCCACTCATTTCTAATGTATGTATGTATATATTTATTGCCCTTTATATAAAGGAGATACATGTATACAAATTATGTAAATGTTAAATTGAAAATAATCACTATTTACAAACAAACAATATTGCTGTTTTTGACTGACGACGACGCCTAGCTACCGCGTAGACGCACGTCGCCGACCAAAATTGGCCTAGCATCTAATTGTAACGCAATTATAAAAAAATGACTGTATTTTACAAACATTCATTGTTTTTTTTTTTTGTTTTTTTTTATACTGACGACGACGCCTAGCTACCGCGTAGACGCACGCCGTAGGCCTAGATAGACCTGTTACCTAACACTCTTGAGATTAATAAAAACATGACATTATGGATCTGCATTTTCTATAAAATTAAAAGGAAGACATACATGCATCTGAACGGCTGCAATTTGTTGTTGCTTTTTTGTACTGACGACGACGCCTAGCTACCGCGTAGACGCACGCCGTGGGCCTAGATAGACCTGTTACCTAACACTCTTGAGATTAATAAATAATGACATTATGGATCTGCATTTTCTATAAAGATAAAAAGGAAGACATAGCATATCATCATACCTTCCCCAAGGTAGGTACTGCAGTACTGTATGAAAGTATGAGATGCTTTCAATATCTTGTAAGCTAGTAAAAGAAATATACAATTTTTGTAAATTGAAGAAAGGTGGTGTTGCCCTATGGTGCAATTCTAAATTAGTGTGTATAGTAAGTGTACATAAATATAAATACAAATATGCGAGTAGAACTAAAATGTATTTATAGCTGCTTAAGAGATATAATCGTTTGTTGCAAATACGTCAGGCTGCCGCGTTGACGTTGCAACTACCAATCAAGAAAAAACAAACATAAAGCATTCCTTATAATTGTACCTTCCCCAAGGTCGGTACACTCAGAATAAATACTTATTGCATATTACCCCCTGGTCAGCCCATGTTCCTCCCTTGAGGACCACCCTTTCACGCTGATAAAGTTACATTAAGTTTGTAAACTTGTCAAGTACCGTTGACGACACAAATATTGTTGCATAACTATATGCCATATCTTTTAAAAATACAAGTAGTTGTTCGTTTGTAAAGTGCAAATCTTCAATTCCTATGCCAAGAATGTTTTTAGTGTTCATTTGGATACCCCATTCGCAGCAATGATTGCTAAGTTGTTCTCTATAAATAATATATATATTTGCTGGGCATTTAAGTAAGAAATGATCTACGTCTTCTTTTTCATAAGTGCTGCACATTGAGCATATAACTGATTTATCTTCGGAACCTCTATATTTTGATCTAAGCGCATGTTCATCTACTAGCAGTTTCACCATTATTTTACAACTACTTAAAGCAAAAGGGAACAGTCTTGCAACTCTCCACCATATAATTGGCCTCAGAATTTCAAAGTTACCCATTCTAAAATAGTTTAGGCCCTTGTACATTAGTGATTGGAAAAATGTCCTTTGCATCTGAACGGCTGCGATTTGTCTATACACAATATTCTTCCACCTATTTTTGGGGATGAACATTTTACAGTCTACCATATTTAGAACATGGTTATATAAATCGTACCTTTTTGATGTCAGTAACATGCATTTTATTGGAGAGAAGGTAATAATACTATTTTACATTTCTAAACAGGTGAGGAGACCACCACTGTGACGTAGTATTACAATATTTTGATCCGATAGCTCTATTTTTTATTTCTTTTTCCTATTTTCTCATCTAGTGTCTCCCCTCTTAATTTTTTTGGGCAAATGCCAGAATATACAGTCCATGACATGTGCATGTCAACCAGTGAAAATCACACTCTCTCTACTTTATGTTATTTTGGTATTAGTCTGTATAGTTTATTAACAAATATATTATTCTAACATACACAAGTCACAGGTCCCCTTTACAAAATCTTGGTCCCATTTGATACATTCTAGGCCCATTAGAGGGATGAGAGATCCCCCTCAAACCATTAAACTAGGAGGGCTAGAACACACTTGAAGAATTCACAGTAAATGTGATAACAATGTAGTTTTCTGTGTTATAACTAATAAATGCATTTAGTGAGGAATATTGGAAGTTCTGAACTTCCACCAAAAAAGTTAAAAACCAATTTATCAAAATATTTGGATGAATTGAATAAAATAATATTCCACTGAATTAAAATATTTTGATTTTGAGTTCTATATTCTACCATAATGTGTGATATCCAGATAAAAATGCTATATGTATAAATATTAACCATCTCATTATTTATTCACAATTAGAATCATAACAATTACAAACAAGGCATTAACATGCAAAATGTCACCACCTACCATTTGTTACATTCACCAACCACCAAATGCATTTGTGACAGATGCCAACTGCCATCCGCCAACCATCAACTGCCAAACACCATCCACAAAATGATTGGGGGACCATAACCATATGTCACCACTTGTTGTGGTGACATAAAACTGTCATCATGATGAACTGCCTTAAATCAACCTTGAATATTTGGAGGCAGACAAATGCAGCAAATGTTTGTAAATCCTCAATCCATCACAATTATGTCAATCTAAGGAAATGATATCATTGATATTTGATATTAATTGTGTATTGTTTTATATATCATTCATATGGGTAAGATACCAAACATATGTGTGTGTAATATCAAAAAATCAGCATCCATATGGATGTATAATTTTTTAAACTCCATGCATTAACCCTTTCCCGACGTGAATATATGAGGAAAATATGGGACTGGTGACGGATAAGTAAGAACAGTTTTTAGGGAATAACTGTAAATTACCTATATCCCAGGACGTATGCTCTAAATTTTATCACCTAAATACATTTTTTAAAAAGGGCTATCACATTTTAACAACTTGTCAAAATTTGGTGTAAAAATACTGAATAGAACTGGAGATATTGTTATTTCATTGATGCATATAAATAAAAATAATGGTGCCAAAAGGAGCCCATCGTCCTGAAAGGTATTACATTATAGAGCTCCATATGGAGCCTATCGTCGTGAAAGGGTTAAATAAACCCATCCAATGTCATATATATTCCCTGGTCCATTCTGCTCACACATATTGCTATCAACTCATTTGTGAAATGGATCACTCCAAATCATATGATGCTAACTAAACCTTATGATGATACACATGTAATGAATTTAAAATATTTTAAGAATAAATGAATTATAAACTGATGTAACACATCTTTTTGTAGTAATCCAGACAAATTAATTGGTCATATTTAGTAAATCCTATATATGTTACATGAGCTATTCTCGTAAATCCTAATAGCTACTTTGGTTATTGCACTGCAGGTTTGAAAACAGTCTTTGGAAAGTGTCTGTAGTAATACACTTGGAATAAAATTGAAAGGTCAACGGAAACTTGAAGTATTCCACATACCCAGAATTGTGCAGGGGCTGAACGGATTATAAAATAAATTGTCTTAAAGACGTCACCACTTGTCCACATAAGCACCATCTTTATACTGGAAATAAAAATAAAATATCTCAAGAACATATAGGTGGAAAAATATACAATGATGGTTCCCCCTCCCCCTGTTCGAAAACTGAAAGCCCTTGAAAGCCCATGATTGTGCTTACAGTAGTATGGAGTCTGGTCAATACTTCATACCATAATTAATCTATTTTAAACATGTCCCATACAGAACATATTGCACATATCAATGAAACCTTCAAACAATGAATGGGTGTTGGGCACAACTATATTGTACAAGGACATATTAAATATATTTTTCAATCTAAAAGTTTAGCATCAACACAGAACACCCATTGACCCTAAATCCAGAGAAAATAATTGTATGAAGATCATATTTCAGATAATACTCAAATCAATATGTTGATGAGTAGATAATCAAGCATACAATATTTACAATGATTGTAGTGCAATACAATAGACAACCAACTTTATTAATAACTGTTTATTCATAGACTTGCTATTGTTTTTTAATCGATTCCACACATCATACTATTCCAAATTCAATGATAATTCTCCTGAATGTTGTTTTATCAGCTTACAATTGCCTATCTGAATAACATAATGTTTTTTCAACAGATTAAAATTCAAATAGGCATACAGCAGGCCCGTAGCCAGGATTTGCCAAGGGGGGGTTCATTTTTCAAAAATTTCCAGGGGGGGGGTTCACATTTGACAATTTTGGCCCAAATATGACTAAAATCACTTGAGAAGTGCTCAAAATGGTGAAAAACTGCATGATTTTGAAAGAATTTTTGGCCAGGGGGGGGTTCGCCCGAACCCTGCGAACCCCCCCTGGCTACGGGCCTGTACAGTGTATGTTCAGTACATATAGACAAATACACGATATTCAAAAACATGGTCATTAACATCATTATCTCCGGCAATGCATTGCTTCAAGTGGGACTTTTCATTGGTCCGTTGATTAAACAAAACTCTCTAAAAACCATTTTTTGGGTATTGCCGGGACGATAGAGTTCATACTAATATCAAGTTACAACCCTCACAAATAGAGGTGTATGCAATAGTTCAGAATGACAACAATATTCTCACCTCCCCTGTTGAAGAGCCCCAATTCCGGGAACAGATTTTTTACATCCAGGTTTTTTGCCCATTGAAATATACTTGAAGTGATGCATTCCGGGAGATATTATGTTAATGACCATGTTTTCGTCTATGGCGTATTAGTCTATTGATACAAGTCAAACATATACAGTATAAACATGAAATCAAGCCCGCGTTATATACACAAGAACTTGCTTCTTGTTTCATATCGAACTATCGGATCGTTGCTTCCGGGAATGTTTTCGATGACGGTAAAACATTTCATATATATTAAACGCTTTGCAGGTTGTCAAAAGGACATATATTTCTATTGATTCTGCAAATATACATGAAGAAGAAGCTGAAATGATGAGTTCAAAATCAGACCCTTTCAATGGATGTAAAAAATCTGTACCCGGAATTTGAGCTCTTCAATACGGGAGGTAATAGAATATTTTTGCCATTCTAAACTATCGCGTATGTTACCTACCTCATTCCATCAGTGGACTTATTCTGGAAGTTTTTATAAAATTGTGGTGTCCCTAAGAGTGCTTCGATGAAGACTGCGAGGAACCCTAGAGTTTCTATGTATACTGGCACCTCCAGGAATATATTAGTGAGGAGACCAACCACGGTTGTTAGAGCTAAGAGGAACTGCACATAACTTGAGAAATCAGTCCATCTCCAGAAGTACTTGCTATCAAAATCTGGAAGATGGAAGAAATATTGAAAACTACAGATTTTGCCTTTAAAATAACAGTGATACACCAATAAAACATTTGTGCATGTAGCATGTTTAATACCTCTATTTAAGAAACTCCTCCAAAAATGTTTTCTGCAAGAGAAACATAGGAAAATCAACCTGAAACCTAATGTTTTCATACCGCAGGATTAATTTACTTACACAGCAGCTAAGAGATCAAGAGGCAGAAGCCATAATTAGCTGCAGTGCTCCCCAGAGTATATTGAACCGCACCCAAAAATCGCCAAATTTGGGTAGATCAACTCCAAGTCACCATTCAAAGAGCTCTCGTGTAACTGAACCTAACCGTACCCATTCCAGAAATGTATACTCAACTGAATCTGATAGAACCACTCCTAAACCTACCCAAGCCAAAGCAAATTGCACACACACCAAACCAACAACAGCCAGTCGTACCTCTGTTCACATTATGTACTCTAGTAATGGGAAAAATCTTAGTGCCTTGATGCGACAGAAGTCCCCCAAGGAACTATCGGTTACCAGTTCAGTATACAGTGGTGGTAAAATAGCAACAGCAACACACAGCATACAACAGGGAGACTTACCACAGTCAACAGACTTTAAATTCCTAGGATTCGGTACCAACAACATCAAAACAGATAATCCCCAAGACATGGTGTATGAACTGAAAAATCTACTACAGACAGCCACAAATTTCCACCCTAAATCTAAACTTGTACTATGTGGAATACACCACCGTGACGATGATGACAACCCCAGGCTGATACGTCATTGGAATAACAAAATAGATTATGTGAACAATGAAATGCGAATATTTTGCACAAGAAAGGGGCATGGATTTATTGACATAAATGAAGTGAACAATTCCACTGATGAAAACCCCTGCATGAAAGTCTTAAATAAGGATAGACTGCACTTCAACTCAATCGGTCGCAACAGACTTGTAGATACCATGCTTTCCATCATAAATGGAAACTGTCCTAAGACCTATGCCCAGGCTGTAAACCCTCAAAAGCCCTACCATCAAGCCAAGTTTTGAACAATGAGTGTGATGCACATACAATAGCTGACAATATACCATTACAAGTATGTAGCACAAGTGTCAGAAAGAGTATAGGAGATGTACATATTGTAAATAATAGTAATTCAACAATACAGGTAAACTCTAATGGGAGTAATTCTGAAACACACTTAATGTTTTCAGGAAATATTCAAGATAACTCTGTATCAAATGAATGTAGGATTTCAAATGAGAAAACTCAGTCTCTAAATGAACACTTTTCAGTTTTACTTTGGAACATCAATAAAATTTCCGATAAACTTCATGATGGAAGAGATATACAAATGTTTTTCAATGACTTTCAAATCATATTATTGTGTGAGACATGGCTTTCACCAGAGTCTGAAATTTCTTTTGAAAACTACACATGTCACAATCTTGCAAGAAAATCAAAAAGCATGACTAATAGCCATTACTCAGGAGGACTGGCAGTACTGATTAGTGATGTATATAGTAAAAATGGTATTGAAATTCTTTCACAGTCACATGACTTTTTTGTGTGGTTAAAATTCAATTCCAATCATTTCAATATTACAGAAGATTTGTATTTATGCTTTGTATATTTACCATTTAAAGGTTCTTCATATGAATTTGTAACTGGTTGTAGTAATATTGACATTTTAGAAAAATCTTTAGCTTATTATCAAACATTAGGAAAAACTATTATATGTGGAGACATGAATGCTAGAACTGCTCAGTTACCTGATTTTAACATTAATATACCTGGCAGTAATGGTGATATACCAATACCAGTATATGAAAATAGTGACACTGTTCATAATTTGCTAGATATAAACGAGGTCTTAGTTAGTAATCGAACTTCTATGGACAAAAATGCAAAGGCAGTCTCTCAAACTCATGGAAGAGAATTTTTATCACTATGCAAAACTGCTAATATGAAAATACTTAATGGTCGCCTTTATCAAGATAAAAACTTAGGGAAATTTACATGTTATCGCAATGTTATGCACAAATCTAACAAAGACCCCAACTTCGGAAAATCAGTTATTGATTATGTTGCAGCTCAATCAAATACTATTTCCTTATTCACTGATTTTAAAGTTCATGATAGGCGTGTTGAGTCTGACCATGCACCATTACATTTTTCTATATCATTAAAAAGTGAAACTGATAATCAAAGAAAATCATCAAATTTTCAATCAGAATCTCTGAACATTAAAACATATAAATCATACAAATGGGATCCTCTAAAGAAAAATGAATTTAAACATAAGTTATCTGATAATATAAGTAATGACCTTTTAACATCATTTTACACTGAACTTGGATGTAATGATATAGGATCTGACGAATTAGAAAATAAACTCCTAAATGTAATTCATTATGCATCTTATGACACTTTCCAATTTAAAAAATTAAAAACCACAAAAAGGCATACCTTTCCGATTAATTCATGGTTCAATGATGAATGTAAATCTTAAAAGAAACAAGTCCATGAGGCAATAAAACTTAAATTTGACGATGATATTATAAATAGTTTAATAAAACAATATAATCATACTAAACAACGAGAAAAGAGAAGGTTTAAAGCAGGAATGCTCAATAGTTTAATTCAGAATAAATGCAGATACTCTACAGATTTCTGGAAACTGATAAATGCAATGCCAGGAAATAAAATTAAAGAGATGCCAGTCCCATCTAAAGATCTATTCAACTTCTTCAAAAGTCTATCTAAACCTCCAAACATAGATTATTTTGATGATAATGCACTTGAGGAAATGAATCATTTTGTTACAAAATATCAAATTAATCCTGGAGATAAAAAATTCAAACTTTGCAATGATACCATCAACATGAAAATTACTCAAGCCGAGGTTCAATGTGCTTTGAAAAGGGTAAATGCAAACAAATCAGCGGGTATTGATGGTATTCCATCCAATATTTTAAAAAATTGTGAAACCCTTGTTTCTGATTTTACAGCACTTTTTAATGCTATTTTCGAAAAGGGAGAATATCCAAGTGACTGGAGTATTGGTATGCTCAGTGCACTTTATAAACAAGGCAGCCGTTTTCAAGCTGATAATTATAGAGGCATTAATGTACTGGCCTGGGGTCCGTTTTTGAAACCATCGTAACTTACGATTTGGTCGCAAGTCATTGTTCATCAAAACAGAGACAAATGGTTTTCTCGGAATCGTAAGTTACGATCGTACGAAAAACGAACCCCTGTATAGGGAATTTATTTGACTCAGTTATTCAAAATCGTCTTGTCTTTAATGCTGGAGTGCAAAATTCACCAGACCCACTTCAGGGTGCTTACAAAGAAAATAGACGTACAACTGATAATATTTTTATTTTGCAAACATTAATTAACAAATTCAAACAGCATAAGAAACCATTATATACGAGGGGGGATTCATAAGTAGTGGGACTTTTCTGAGGCAGCAAGTCCCTGTGTACATATCTCAACCAAATTTGGCACATGAATGGACTAGGATATAAGGCATTGTTTGGTAAAATTTCGATTTAAATCATTTTGTTCCCTAGCAACAACGGTTGCTATGGTAACCAAAAGTAGGGGTTAATGGAGCAGTAAAAAAATGATGGGCTTGATCAACATAAATATGCTCATAAATATCTCAAAATGACAATTATTTTCAAATATTTGGTTTCATATTGTCTCAAGCCTTGTAGTCATGACAACCGTCACATATATTACATCATCATGCTATTGTGATGTCACACAAAGCAGTGACACCAAGACACTGCCATTTTCAGTCCTTCTTGGACGGAGCAAAATTTGCTTAAAATAGCAATGAAAAAGCAAGAATCGCATATAAACATCCATGCTGTGATTAAATTTAATGCTTTGAAGAAGTTTTCAGTACTAGAGACCTATAGAGGTTTGATGGAAGTCTATGGAAAAGAAGAAGTAAGAAAATCTACAGTATATAGGTGGTATTCTGTATATGTATTCTGAATATGCTGTGAGAGCCGAGATGACCAATCTTGGAAAATATGGTTTTGAGGGTGCATACCTAGAATGGTTGAGGAGATGCCAAAACTGCATTGATGTCATGGTCGGATACTTTAAGAAAGAGTGAGATTGCACCAGAAGGATAAGGAATCAATAGTCTTGCACAGAATTGATGTACTCCACAAAAGGACTCGCTAGAAGTAACGGATTAGATCACGTCCTGAATATCAGTTGAGACTTGTATATTTAACTAGCAATAAGTGACATACGATGTGCTCCGTGGACCCTGTTGTGACGTCATGATTGGAACTCTCACTTTACTGAAGTTGGGTGTAACTTTTTGAAATTTTCACACAATGATTATCACATGTTTGTGGTTTTGTGCTCCAAGTTTGAATAAAATCTGGTTGATATAGGTGAAGTTATAGCATTTGTCCCACTACTTATGAATACCCCCTCGTACATGTATGATTGATTTTAAGAAGGCTTTTGATTATATAGATCGCTCAGTATTGTTATATAAGCTGTGTAAAGCTGGAATTCACCCACATACTAAAATGTACAGGATTATAGAGAATATGTACTCCAAATCTAAGTCATGCCTTAAATTAGAAAACGGAATCACTAAAACTTTTGACACTGAAATAGGAGTTTTGCAAGGAAGTGTTTTAAGTACATTTTTGTTCAATCACTTCATGGATGACCTAAATGAAGTATTACCACTAAGATGTGGCGTTATCGTAAAAGATACCAGGTTCAACCATCTTCTATGGGCAGATGATCTAGTACTCATTTCCGAATCGCATAATGGACTTCAGTTATTATTAGATTCACTCTTCTCTTTCTGTAAAATTAATAGACTCATAGTTAATACCTTAAAAACAAAGGTACTCATTTTTAACTCTAAAGTTTCTGCCCCTTTCACTTTTAATGATCAAGAAATTGAACGTGTAAATAAATATAAATATCTAGGAGTAATTCTTACTGATAATAATAAATTTGATATCAACACAAGTTATCTCAAAGAACAATCACGAAAGGCAATATTCAAAATCAAACAGCAGTATAAGAAATTCAATGACGTGCCACCTGATGTTGCTCTTCACCTTTTTGATTCATTAGTCAGTCCAATACTATGTTATGGCTGTGAAATTTGGTATGACAAGAAGCAGATGAAAGCGATTGAAACAATACATTTGTCCTTTTTAAAATCTATTTTAGGTGTCAAAACTCAAACAGCTAATCCCGCAGTGTATGGTGACCTTGGTAAATTTCCTTTATCTATCAAAATTGAATTATCAATTGTGAAATACTGGTTAAGACTTATTAAACTACCAGAATCTAATATTTTAAACCAGGCTTACTTATATGGACAAGAATGAATTAGGATTTAAATCTTGGTCTGGAAAGGTTTATGATATACTTCATAAATGTGAACTAACAGAGTACTGGGATGACCAAAGCCAAATTACAGACCACTTAGTAAATTTGGTTGACAAGAAATTAAAGAATATGTTTGTAGAAAATTGGAAAAAGGACATTTTGATATATCCCAAATTAAGAACATATAAGCTGTTTAAGAAAGATTTTGCATTAGAACCATATACAAAGTTAGACAATAAAAAATATAGATTAGCAATAAGTAGATTTAGGTTGAGTTCACATCAGTTAAAATAGAAACAGGAAGACACACAAAGCCAAAATCCAAACCTGTAAATGAAAGATTATGTAATATATGTAATTGTGTAGAAGATGAATTTCACTTTATCATAAATTGTACAAAGCATTCTCAGCACAGGCAAATATTTTTCAGCAAAATTTCTGAAACATTACCAAAATTTGATTTAAATAGTGATAATTTATTTACAAATATAATTTCAAGTGATAATACCATCGTACAACGGCATCTTGGTAAATTTATATATCACTCATTTAACAATTTAGAATAGTCAGCATATTTTGTACATCACACTTAAAAATATTCTGCCTCTCTTGTACAAGGGCCGATCAAAAAGTTTCTTACCGTTGGCTCTCAATTTTATAATAAGAGGAGTTGGAAGCTCAAACTTTAACATGAGACAGGGTAGTTAGTTTGCTTGAAACTGTACGAGTTTCATATAAATTGGTTTATTGGTAGTGACACAAAATCAATTCATATTTTCAATGACAAAGTTAGGTGGAGCAGCGTTATATATAAAATATCTGCTGAGTTGTGGTTCTGGAAATTTACCGACATTCTTTCAAACCTCTCATACGAAAGGCCTTAAACATGTGTTTTTGGATCGAGTGGACAGATATAGGAAGTGCATTGCAACTGGGGTTGAACATTTTGAATGAGAATGAATATTAGCAGAAAAACTAATTAAACATGATTAAACTACAGTCTGTTGACATATGACACTACTTAGTGTTAGAAATTTCTTTGTAAATGTAGAAGTAGTTTTAGTTAGTCTTAGTGAGTAGTTGTGACTAATGTAATCATGTAATGATACAATATGTCAATAAAAGTTATATATATAAATAAATGGGACAAAAACACAATATGTAAAGCAAATAATTACATTTTAGTTTTTGTATTTTGTTATATTTTACCACCTCTTTAAGTGGCTCTAAATGATAGAAATGACTTAATATTGCAGTTTCACTAGATTCTTAGAAAAATCACAAGACTTGATATAAAAAAGTTAAAAAGGTGCATATAACACCTTCATTCCATGATCTCTAAACATTAAACAGTATTTAAATTCACCTGAATCATATATATTTGGAAAAATATATCTCAAAAACCGAAAATATTATTTTAACCATTTTCATCGCTATCATTCTGAGTTTCTTTAACCTACTGCATGTTGAATTTATATAATTTATTTAGTCCGATCACATGGACTTTCTAAAGAGTCCATAGAAAAACATAATCATTACTTAAATTATAGATTATCTTCTATTAGTATTACCTGTGAATTTTCTATGAGTAAAATTATTTTTCCAAGTGGCATGTTCCATATCTACCTGAAGGCTTGAATGTTGTGATACACTGCCATCTGAGTAAATATTCATATGTTTATTTACATATACAAGATTATCTATTCAATGCTTTCTTAAATGTACCACTACTTAAGATTAATTAAGGTGTGTATTATATATGATTTAATTGGTTGATTAATTTAACAAATAGCTAGCAACACATGCAGTAAGCTAAAGCGTGATAGCATGAATTTATGAAAATTCTTAATATAACGATTGTAGAAATTCTGGACAAATGAATTTGTAGAAATTCTGTACATGTGAATGTGTGAAAATTTCAAGCATATGAATTTGTGGAAATTCAGAACATTATGAATTAGAGGAAATTCTGGACACATGAGTTTGCAATTCTGTGGACACATACATTAAACATATAAACAGTATGTGTGCTAATGAGTTTATGTAGAGCTTTTTTAATGGTATACTATTGTGACTAAGAAGGTGATAGGTAGCAACATTTTAGAGTTTATAAGGGTAAATCACAAAAGTGTAAAAAGTCACCAAAATATTTCAATGATATGTACCCAAACTATCAGTGTATCTATTGTTGAGGCTAACAAAAACAACTTTTTGGCAAATATGTACATGTGTAAGCAGAATCTGCTAAAAATCCAGTCTGTTATTCTTATCAAAACATGCATATACTGTGTTATTGATAAAACAATATGTCAGTCAACATTTTGAGCATGTTATTCAATCTGAATCTGGACATCAGGCCAGTAGCCAGGATTTGCCAAGGGGGGGGGGTTCACTTTTGACAATTTTGGTCCAAAAATGGCCAAAATCACTTAAAAGTGCTCAGAGTGGTGAAATGAATGGTGCATGATTTTGAAAGATTTTTTGGTCAGGGGGGTTCGCTGGAACCCATCGACCCCCCTGGCTACGGGCCTGGGACATCATTGTGTAAAGACATGGCATATCAGTAGCCACTTGCCAACATTCGTCAATGGGGCAGAAGGCCGATTAACAATGTTGCCAAAGTTGTGTGAATCTTGACAAAAATGACAATTTTTCCAAAATGAATGCCAAAATGTCAAAATTTGGGAGTAAAGGACAAAACAATTTTTTGAGTGTTGAGAGCATTAATTTATAAAAAGCTGTAAGTGTAACCCCTGAAATTGGATATTGATATGCACTTTGTGTTCATTTATCTCCATGGTGTTACAACAATAACAATACGGATGCATTCGCTGCTGAGATTAGCAAAAAGTCCCAAGAAACACTTGGTCAATGAATGACACAACTGGCCCATGTTATGAAGATGTATTTACCCATGTAAAAAATAAAGAGGCAATCTCAATTTACTGCCTGGACATTAAGTGAAGCTGCACACTGACACAGTAAAGGGTGAAGCCATGGGTAAGGCAGGTCATAGGGATACTCAAAACTTGGGTTGTTTAGAGCATTTCTCGATCTTAAAGTACTACTTGGTGGATTTTTCACTATAGGGATGTCACAGTATCCAGATATTGTCTCATCCCTCTGGACTTTGTCTCATGTTGAGATTTTGATTTTTGATGTGTGATACCATTAGTTCTAACATAGCCGTACATAACTGCCCTTTTAGATAATTTTTAACTGGATGTTAACACAAATAGTACTTTAAACAAACATATATGTAAATACATTTTAAATTAAATACATGTATCTCTAATTTGAAAAAAAACATTTGAAAATACAATTACATAAAATATTTAAAATTTTTAGTTAATTTCTCAAAACTTTTTACAACCACAAATTGTTTGATTTATAATTACTTCTATCTCTATCTAAATCCTCTTCAAATGAGCAAAATAAGAAGATTTAGAAAAAGATGAAACAAAATAATTGTGTAGTATGACACCTTATGAATTTAAAAATAACTATTTACATATAAAATATGATAATTATTACACCAAAAAATGCAACACTAAAATAAAAAGAAAGGTTATGTTATACCTGAGAATTTTCTAGGTTTCACTGGAATGATGTCAGATTTGTTTCTAACATTGACGCAAAGACGGACCATGACAAGCATTGTAATGTTCATGATGATGCTCTGGAGAAGAAGGGGCGTCTCAAAATGACGTCCAAACCTGAAATAAATTTTGAAACATTTTAGCTCTAACATACAATCAAGCAACATCAGATATTTCGGATCACATTTCTTTGCATACATAGATCAAACATATAATAGTTCTTCATTGCATTCTTGAAAATAAAGTAAATGTGGCTCCTGTCTTTTGAGGGTGACTGCTGCTAGGAGCAGCTTTAAGAGTTCACATTAGATATCCTGATCAATTGTACTAACTAATAAGAGCAATAGGTAGTCACGGAGACACATGAACAATGTCTCGTCAAACTCAAAAGAAAAGAATCATAAATAACAGTAAAACCTATCTCTAATGAGTGAATGTTGATGGTGTGAGGTAAAAGTGCTCACATTGAAAGTAGTATTTGTACTTTCTGCATGCAAGGTAATTATCAGTTAGAAGTATTCATTTTAGAAAGTTATTAACATCACAAACAAGGCATTAACATGCAGAATGTCACTACCTGGAAATTGATGCAGAATGCCAAACACCAAACAACAAACACCAACCACTGCCACAAAAGATGGAGAGTAAAAGTGCTGAATTAACTTTCTTTAATCCTAGAAAATCAGAGTTGCAAACCCCACCAATGATACTTGGGGGTGATCAAATTCCAAAAGTGATCGAACACAAACACCTTGGCTTAATTTTTGACCAAAATTTGACATTTGAACCACACATTGTCTATGTCACTAACAAAATTGACAAGTTATTAAACCATTTAAAGAGTTTATCAAGAAAAATTAGTGGTAAACACCTTCAGCTTATGTTTAATTCATATATTTTACCACATTTCGATTTCTATGATATATTATATGGCTGCGCAAACTCCATGGTTCTAAAATGTCTCGATCGTTTATATTATAAAGCAGCAACTATTTGTTCAGGTGTCATTCATGGCTCTTCCACAATTAAAACACTTCAAACATTAAATTGGCCAACTCTCGAAATTCGTAGAAAATTACATAGGATGCTTCTAGTTTTCAAAGTCAACAAGGGCAAGGCACCTCATTATACTCGAGAAGTTTGGAGAGACATCAGGTCTATGCATCAACAAAGAAAAGACAGAAATAGCCATAATTGGTGAAAAAACAAATCAACGTGAAATAGAAACCCTGTGTGAATCATTGAACTTAAAATTAGAAAAAAGAAAAATTAAACTCTTAGGTATAAACATTCCTATGAATGGGGATAAAATAGAAGACATTAATTATCAAGGAGCTTTGGAAAAAATTGAAGCCCAAATCAAAATGTGGAAGCAAAGAATGATTACACCGATAGGGAAAATTCATGTAATCAAATCACTAATGATCTCTCAATTAACCTTTATGCTAGCAGTTTTACCCCTTCCATCAGATGCATATCTTAAAGATGTTGAAACAAAACTATACAAGTTTATATGGAATGGCAAAAGAGATAAAATTTCAAGAAAAATATTACAGTTAGAACTGATCAAAGGAGGACTAGAAATGGTTAACCTAAAAGCCTTTGCCAAAAATGCAAAGGTTAAATGGTTAAGAAAATATTTCAATACAGATGACCAAGGTAAATGGAAAACTTTATGGAAAATGAAGCTAAAAAACTATGATAATAAGGGAAAATGGAATTGTAATGCTAAGGACCCAAAAACACTAGAAGACAAGGTGAACATTACAAGCATAGATGAAATACTAAAAATATGGTGTGAGCTACACTACAAAGCAGCAAATGAACTTGTCACGAAGGAAGAAATAAAACATCAAATTATATGGAATAACAGCTGCATTCTGGATAGAAAAGAAACTATAAACAACAATGAATGGGAATCTAAGGGAATAAGGCATATACATCAGTTATATAAAGAGAACAAATTATTAAGATTCCAAGAACTGGAAACCAAGTATAATTTAGCTCATCAAACATTCCTAGACTATAACAAAATTGTACTATGTATACCATTATCATGGAGACAAAAAATGGTGGAAGGGGGAGAAATTTGTACAAACTGGAAGCCACTCAGAGAACAATTGCCAAACATCTCAAATAAAAGCACTTATAGGATGTTTAAAAGACAGATAAAAATACAACCAATAAAAGCACAAGACAAGTGGCTTAGGGTGCTAAATGTAAATGAGGATAACTATAAAGAATGGGATGAAATATACACCACTTATAAAGTGATAACAGAAAATGCGAAACTTAGATACTTCCAGTTCAGATTATTACACAGAACAATTTACTTCAATAAAATGCTGAACAAAATGAATATAGAGGGAAAAAACACGCCAATGTGTACAATATGTAATGAAAACCATATAGATAGCATCGAACATGGATTCCTAGAATGTACAGCCACAAAGGACTTCTTGAGAACGTGCTATGAGGAAGCTGGTGAAAACATACCAGAAAATAAAGACATTATTTTTGGATACAGTAGAGAAAAAAGACAACAAAATAAGCTACTGATCCATATGAAACATTTCATATACTTAAGAAAATTAGGAGACAAAAGACCAGAACTAGGTCCTTTTAAAATATACCTCCAGAGTCAAAAAGAAGAAGAAAAATACATAGCGAAGAAAAACAACAAAATGGAACAACATGAGACACTATGGAATATCTGTAGCAGACTTTTGCGTTAATATCATCAATTTATACAAAGTGACAAAAATCATCAATCTTCCTTTCTCTCTCTCTCTCTCTCTCCTACAGTAAACAACATTAATAACCTGTAAAAAATAATATGTGAAAATAAAGATTTATTTATAAAAAAAAAAAAAAAAAAAAAAAAAAAAGGCACCTCATTATGTTATTTCCATTTTTGACAAATTTAAAAGACCCCTCACAAGAGGCCTAAGGTCAAACCTACCGTATCTAACTCCACTGAAAAAGTCTTCTATCAAATCTAGATCATGTATTTATAATTGTTTATCTGAATGGAACTCAATAAATCCGTCCTTCAGGGAATGCACTAATGTTGATACTTTTAGGAGAGCATTAACAAAGAGTTTGGTTAGCACGGATGTAGTTTTAGCATCTGACTTAAACATGAATAGATCATTTGAAATTTATCTAAATAGAATTAGAGTAGATCTAATATTTAAAGCTCACCTACACGCACACAATTTTGTAAATGTTCTTTCTCCCGATTGTGCTTGTGGCCACATTAATGAAACCACAACTCATGTATTCTTCTCATGTCCTCTTCGACAAAATTATCTAATTACTTTGGAACAGCAGTTTTGTGATCTTGATCTTGGCTATAGGAATTTATGTAAAAATAGGCAGGAGAAATTACACTTCATTTTATATGGCCATTGAAACACTCTCGTATGAGCAAAATATTGATGTTTTGAGGTTAAGTGCAATGTTTATCAGGAACTGTGTTGAGGGACCCCAGGCAGACTAGTGACCCACTATTATTTATTTTTATCAGATCACTTAAGCCCTTGTAATTTTCTTTAATTTACTTTTGTCAAAGTGGCTTATAATGTTTTTTAACAAAGCCGCTCATATGTATGTATTATTATTACTTGATTTATGGAAATAAAGTTATGATAAAAAAAAAATTAAAAAAAAGATGGAGAGTATAACAATACACTGATCTCCCCAGTATTTAAACAAGTGGGCGCAGCACCCACCTGAGATTTTGAAAATAGGCTTGCACCCACCTGAAATCCATTTGCACCCACTAGGAAATGAGAAAATCCTGAAAATGGGCATATTTTGACCAAATTTTGTCTATATTGTGAAAATGAGAATTTTGCATCTACTTGAGAAAAAACTTTGGAGATCACTGCAATATGTCACCACTTGTGGAGGGGACATAAAAATAAAAATATCTGATAATTAAATAGACATTGCGAATGTCTCACTCACCAGAAAAGAATCCTGAGTGTATTAGCTATGAGCAAGGTGAGACACACAAACGTTGAGAATCCTTCAGAATTCTGGGTACGTTTTATATCCCTGTATTGTGGAATGTACGGAATGATCCCGCCAAATACCATGGCTCCTGATGCTATTGATATAGCAACATTCATTATTGTCACTTCTGGCATATTTTCTAGCACCTTTTCAGAAATGTCATTGAAGTTTAAGTCATTGAAATCCATTGGTATTCGTAGCTTCATTCGATGATGCTCAATTTTGAAAATAATTGGATGACATCATTGTTTCGCTCACCTACAACCACAAACATATAATATGTAAATAATTGGATCAAGATAAATTTTAGTTTTTAGATTTGACTGATCCAGAGAAAAAATGAAATGGACTTAAGGTGTGGATTCTGTTATGTCCAGTCGGTTTTGGATCCCTATGATCAAAAACATATTTCTCTTAAAATAAACCCTGTATCACAAACCTGCCACTGATAAGCTTATTATATACAACAATGAACAGGTTATGGAAAAAAAAACATTCCATTTCTTCATGGCTTCTCGCAATCTGATTGGTGCATTTGCGAAAAGTTAAAGGTATAGCACATCCTTTTAAGAATTTTGCAGTATTATCTGGCCAGAAAAGCAAGAAGGTATCATAAATGTTGGCCAGATCGTTTTGCAGTAGGATCTCGGGGGCTCGAAGAATAATTCAGAAAATGACACCAGATTGGAAAATTTCAAAAAATGTGACCACCTTTCAAAACGAACAACTCCTTCTACAAAATGGTACCTGCTTACCCGTGACAGATTTTGCACTAATTTATAGCTGATATCTTCATCTTTCTATTTCTACTTGTTTGGTTCAAGTAAATAACCTAAGGACGCAGTAATTTGACTTTTAATATGGCAAATATTTTTCACTTGATCCGGGCTCTTGGGTGTCCAAATATCATTGTAATTCTGACGTCACATTTGAAATTTCTGGAATCACAGGAGCACCATTCAGATTTGGACAGACAAGAGCCCGGAGATAAAATATCCCTGTTTTGGCCTCTTATCAACGCAGTATTGCTTGAATAACGTTCATTAGTCATTGAAAAAGTTAAAGAATAACAAGAAACTTCGAATGAGGTATGATTTGTCTCATATTTTTCGGAAATGGCTGCACAATCGTCATTTTAAAATTTTGAAATTATTTTGGTGTCTCATCTGGATTAATATTTATTGAGCTACTACAAAAGAATCTGGCCGGGATCTATGGAAGCTATGGATTATTTTTTCTAAGTTTGTTATCAGTTATCTCGAACTTGTGCCACTAGCCTAAATCAATGTCATCCCTATAGTCAAAACAGAAATGTTTGTGACTACTTTGAATTTAAAAAATAAGCAATCAAATGACCATATTGAAACAGTTTATCTAAAAATAGAAACATTTATATTTATCCTAACTTTTGTATATTTTAGTTTGTTTTGTAGTTTAGCTATCATATCTGTGTCCTCTTATATTTTGATCCGGGATTTTGATACTTCTCTGCCATGTTATTTTCGGAAAAATTAACATGACTGTGAAACTCCTTAAATTACATAAGGCCACAGCTTTGCTGCACATTGGGTCAAGATTGCAGTAAAAAATCCCATTGACGACCATTATAACGTTTCATTTCATAATATATTCACGGGCACAGATCTAGCTCAGCGAAACAGTGCCCAGTGTTCATTGGAGTCTTGTCTAGCTTGCCGTTACAAAATAAGCATACGGTGACCACACCGTTTTTGAGATAACTGAATCTGGAGAGAGCTACCACCGTAAAGCTACCTGTTTCAGAAAATTATTCTGCTCTACATAGTCTCAAAAATCACTCCGCCATCTATAACAATTCTGTTTCTAACCAAACTTGTAAATGTTTCCTGATAGATTAGTACTTACCCTATCGAGAATAAACCTTGATTCATTTATCAAACACTAGATGGCGCTGCGACGGGACAGAAAAGGAGAAAAAGCTTTTTTATACAGAAAACCAAATAACCAACGGTAACCGCTAGTATCCCTACTCCGGACTATATTCTAATAGTGACACGGTTGAATGATTTTGTGCCAGAAATCTTGTTTTTCTTAAACATTAGAGTGTTTCAAGACTTTTTGTGCAATTTAAGCCCAATCGCACCAATAGAAGAGCTTTTATAGCTGCTTTGTTAACCCCGGGGTCATTTATTTTAGGGCCATGCAGTTTTATACATAACTGACCATTTTTGCAATAGAAATACTGCTACTCACTATGGCTTAACAAAAATTCACAATATTTAGCATGTCAAAACGTTAATTCGTACTTCCATCATGTTTATTGCCAAAATCACTGAACCATGAAACAAAAAAATGGTCAAATCTAGTCATTTTCGGTCAGAGATTACCCCAAATTAGCCATTATTTAGTGATTAATTTTCAGTAAATGAGCTTCTATATTAAATTATCATATCAGTTTTGCAAAGCAATGTTCTTGTTTTAATTACATGCTTGTTAGTAACTGTTTTCAGCCATATTTGGTCAGTCTATGGGGTTAAATGTGTCAATTTTGTCATATATTTTCAAGAAAAATTCAGACACAAAGGAAAAAGCTGTATTACATGCTATGATAATGGCTGAATCCTTAAATTCGGTAATAATTTGATAAAAGCCTGTCAACAACCTCTTAAAACCAGCACTAACAGCCCTCTTGTGCTATCCTGTAACAAAATACAGGCCAAAAATGGTCAAAACCTGTGATTTTTAGGTAAAAAATGAAAAATGCTGAATCAGCGAAAATCTAAATTGCTAATTCTTCGGATGATTTGATTTTTCTTAGAGATGCAAGGTACACATTGCTAAGAAAGTGTAATTTTTACAAAAACAACGCTATTTCCCACCCTAGTACTGTCACCACCCTGTTGCTAATAGGGTCAAGATTGCAGTAAAAAATCCCATTGACGACCATTATAACGTTTCATTTCATAATATATTCATGGGCACAGATATAGCTCAGCGAAACAGTGCCCAGTGTTCATTGGAGTCTTGTCTAGCTTGCCGTTACAAAATAAGCATACGGTGACCACACCGTTTTTGAGATAACTGAATCTGGAGAGAGCTACCACCGTAAAGCTACCTGTTTCAGAAAATTATTCTGCTCTACATAGTCTCAAAAATCACTCCGCCATCTATAACAATTCTGTTTCTAGCCAAACTTGTAAATCTTCCTGATAGATAAGTACTTACCCTATCGAGAATAAACCTTGATTCATTTATCAAACACTAGATGGCGCTGCGACGGGACGGAAAAGGAGAAAAAGCTTTTTTATACAGAAAACCAAATAACCAACGGTAACCGCTAGCATGGGCATTCATCTAGACTAGTTGAAAGCCCATGCCGCTACTACTTTTTGCAAGGCCTGACTTCGTCGCTAACATGCTAAATATAAGAGTTAGCTGACGTTTGGGAGTCTGACTTACCTTCCAAAGGTTAGAACCCGAATCTTAATGAAACCATATCACCTTTGTTCCGTCAACCATGGAGCATTTGCCACAACATCCAAGAGGTAAATCATGGACCGAGAAAATGAATGATTTCCTTGTAAGTTCCGGAAGTTTCAATACGAAAAATTACCGAACATATATGAAAACCGAATATTTGTTCGTTGTTTTCACGATTTACAGGTTCGTATGTTCTTCAATGTTTTGGTCTAAATTATAAAGCATCACCAACAGGTCTTACTCTATTAATCGACTAATACAGCAGACGGCTCATATTTCTACGTAGCATTTCGTTCAGACAAATAGTGGGACTGTAGATCACGCAGTTTCGTTCGTTGCGTACTTCACTCGAAATTGGTAATTTTATATTGGCTACTTCACTTAGCTTGGCGGATGTAGAACATTGCTTAATATTCTTTTAATTTTCACACCAGACATGCTTGGTTGACACGTCAACAAAGTAAAGTTCAAGGGTCAATGCGTTATTTCGTGATAACTACAACGCCTTCCCGAAAGTCAACATTGATGAAAAATGAAAAAGTTGGAAAAGCATTTACACTAATTTCTATCAAATGCTATGTTTATGCATCATCATCGACGCAACAAAGGTGATATGGTTTCATTAAGATTCGGGTTCTAACCTTTAGAAGGTAAGTCAGACTCCCAAACGTCAGCTAACTCTTATATTTAGCATGTTAGCGACGAAGTCAGGCCTTGCAAAAAGTAGTAGTATCCCTATTCCGGACTATATTCATTATACATTACAGTCAAATTTTTTATTCTGTCAATCAGTTCATATGGTTAGAATAAGGAAAGAATGTGATGTAACCACGTGTCTACTTACTAGCTTGTTCTATGTCATCCATCGGACTAGGTTACATCGTGGAACGCAGCCAAACACGACAATGAAGCCAGTATTCTGAGGTTATAAAATCTAAATCTAAATAATTTCCCATTTGCAGCCCCTTGGAGATTTCCGGAATTGAACAAAGTAGCGAACGTTCCGATCTTTCAACTTTAGTTCGTTGTTTTTTCACCACCTTATGTGTACTGTTTTCATTTAGGAGGCGGTCTTATTTGAATGCATCATTACAGGTCTTTATGAATCAATAGATCAATAAACAGCAAAATACAATTAGCAGTTTCTTTCATTGCGTACTGCGCATGTTAGGCACGAAAACCATTTAGCAGTTTCGTTCGTTGCGTAATTGGGCCTTCTATAATCAGTAGCAAATGCTCGGAAAACATTTTCCAAAATATTTACTTCCGATTTCCTTGAAGACATGATTGGGTGACACGTCATTGACACTAGATTAAGTCACATGATCGATACAGTAACTAGTCACGTGATCAGACATGTGTCACGTGTCAGTCACGTGAGCTTGCAAAATGGACGATCTAAATTTCCAAAAATTCGTCTAAGATCAAGATAGATATGCTGTTGCCTTCAGCGTCCTGTTCGGCTGCGTTCCACGAAGTAACCTAGTCCGATGGATGACATAGAACAAGCCGGTAAGTAGACACGTGGTTACATCACATTCTTTCCTTATTCTAACCATATGAACTGATTGACAGAATAAAAAATTTGATTGTAGATTACTATCTGAAATATACAAAAGTTAGGATAAATATAAATGTTTCTATTTTTACATAAACTGTTTCAATTTGATTGCTTATTTTTTAAATTCAAAGTAGACTAGTCTAGAGTCACAAACATTTCTGTTTTGACTTTATTTTAGATCTAGACTACTAAAATTTTTAGCCTACCCCCCTAGGATATTAGATCTACTTTCATTACCTCTGGATCCTTTGTAAAAAATACTTATTTTCATAATGACATTATACCAAGGGGAAAGATCTGGATGGGGATCTGTGTGTAAAAACTCACCATATCAACTTAAATCCAACAAAACCGAAGATTTTTTTAAATATTTTGCCAACTCTCAACTTCCGGTTTTTCCACCTGGGCATGCGCAGAAGTATCTACAGGCAACTTCCTGTCAAAAAGTTACTTTTCAAAAATTGTAACAAAAAGTACATTTCAGTTTGATTTGAGATAGTATTGTATTATATAGACATCACTTCAGTAGGTGTAAATGATAGTTAAACCATTTGAACCAGTTGTCAACGCAAAATGATTTCGATAAGGATCTGTGCGCGGAATCAAAATAAATTCCAAAACTTTTCACAATTATTTTTCAACACATGCCCTTCAAAGGATACAAAATTGTGCAAAAATGACATTGTTAGGAGGTTCTTACACAGAAATGCATTAAACCAAAAACTGAAAGAAGATTCTGGACGCCATAATACACAAATTGCAGAACAGAAAGACAAGCCATTCTCTGAACTTTCACTGGGACAGAAAGGTACCTACGTTGTATTGCACATTTGTACTGCTAGAGGTCTACGGAATGCGTGTACAGATTCTGAATTGTCCAAAGGTCCTGAATTTGGACAATCCTAGAATTTATCCCCATACAGTTTATCCCGAACTCTCGTGCAGTGATATATCACTGCGGCGGGCAGGTATCTCATCGTAAGCATGGTAACTTCGTAATAAACAACTGACGTGATTGGTTCTAGTCCCATGCTCAGGTCGCGTGATTGTAAAATTTAGACAATTTCATTGGTTGAATAGCGTTTATTAACTAATAAACAACACGTGCGGTAAACTATTATCAACAAAACTTTTACTCAGAATTCATTCCGCGGTGATTTCTTCTCATATTTCAATAATTATGAAATATTTTGACAAAATAATGTTTGGGGAACATTCATGAATACATATTTTAAAAGTTGTGTGAAAATTGACCACATATGCGATGAAAAGGGGAACTATTTTCCCCAAATTTTGGGGATTTGCTTCATCTGCCCGCCGCAGTGTCTATACCGAGACACTGCATTGGAGTTCGAGTTTATCCCCTACATATAGTATAAGTTTTGGAATATCGATCGGGATAAATATTTTGTCAATTTGTACGATCTTAGGATTTTGATCGAATCTCCAGGGGGAATCCCAAAGAATAATCTGAATTGATTCTTCAACATAAGTTCTGTTGTTTATCATCTTTCTCATGATGACTTATTATTCACATTTGGCAGGCATACATGTACAAACCTGAGAAAACATCCAATTGGTAAATTATATAGGAAAATATAATTCATACCTCTAACCATGTCTATCTTGCATCTACTGGCCAAATTATAGTGCAAATGTAAGACTATTGCAAAATTCAAAGAATGGGATGCGCTCCATTTTCATAAATGGTCCAATCAGATTGCCAGACACATGCACATGTAATCGTTATTTTACTTTCATTAATCTGGTGCATAATCAACTTTGTAAAATGTCCCAATATGCATGATTGCACTTGTTATCTCTTTTTACCAATGGTATTTTATTTCAAGATGGATTGTTTATTTGTGTTTCAGTTGCTAGGACAGGGAAGGATGCTTCTTACTTAACAGTCATTGTAATCGGAGTATCAATCACAGGTAAGTGTAATCAATAGATGACAATACAATCGAATCTGGGTAATTAGTACGCAGGCTGTAGCCAAGGGGTTTGATGGGTTTCTTTCAAGCCATTTTTGGACTAAAATTGTCAAAAGTGAACCCTTCTGGAATTTTTTAATAAGTGAACCCCCATCTGGCAAATCCTGGCTATGGCCCTGGTACTAATACAGTACTTATCATTTACAAGTTTCAAACATGGATGTTAATAAAAGGGCACATGATTATCATATGTGAGTGTACAGTACATCAAAACCATCTATTTAGGGGTGGATAATTACAGGGTGTCCGGAAAGTAAAGATACAAATACTCTAATTTTAAAAGATTTAGTTTTTTTGTAATGAAATCGCTACAGATTGTAGAGGAACTACATTACAATGCATCTACCAACTTTTATATCACATAGTCTAAATTTGTTAAAGTTACAGTTGTCATGGCTATGGTGGTGAGGGGTATGCGGAGCAGTTCCAGGATATCGATAAATTGCTAAAATATAACCATTTGAAATAGTGTTTATTATTGTATTTCTTATCAGTTTTTTGTTTTGTCCAATATTGTATTATTGCTGCCATAGTATTCTCTTTAGTATAACGATATCATTGATACATATCAGAACTATGTAATGTCACAAGTATAATCAAAGAAAAAGAGTATATAAGTGCTTAGAAAAAGGGTCCCTGGATTAATAGGAAAGTCAATAGTGCATCTTCACAGTCAATGCTCCAATGCACAAAGCAAAAAAAAATTCTTTCAATTGAATATCTTGACATTAACCTTTTTTGTACAATGGCCCATATTTCCCTGATAATGTCTCGTTGGACTTAATGAATATGTTAAAGCAATTTGTGAGAAGTTCAACATAAAAATGAGACTCGGCTGGATGCCAATGTTATCAGCAATCTTTGAGACTGACAGAAAAGGTTTTGTCAGGTCTTGAATCTCTGGTCAAAATGCACCAAGAATGTTTAAATAAAGGTGGAAAATACATAATACTGGATAACAGTAGCGACTCCTGTTACCATAACAACCATAACTGTTTTATTTTGAAACAATTTGTCATGAGAGTTGCAGGATAAATTGTTACAATGTCATTCTTCTATCTGTAGCAATTTCATCTCACACCAAGTAAATCTAATGAAATTAGAGCATTTGTATCTTTAGTTTCCGGACACCCTGTATAAATGATCACAGGTGTTTATCAAAAATGTGTAATTTACACAACTTAGTGTTAGGTGTCAAGTCATTTTATTTCTTGAATAGTATTTTTTATGTCACCACCACAAGTGGTGAAATATTGTAATAGTCTCCAACTTTTTTGTGAATGGTGTTTGGCATTCAGTGTTTAGTGTCTGTAACAATTTGCAATAAAATACAAGGTGGTGACATTTTGTCATGTTAATTCATGTCATACCAAACAACTTAATCATACCCTCCCCTTTAACAACTAATCCTTGCATTCATTTTAGGTGCTATGTTCTATATGATTGGAAGGGAACTATTTTCTAGAGAGAGCCCTAATGGTGTCTACAGCACTGCATTGAAAGATTGCACAAACGATGTTAGGGTATGTGACACCACATATCGTATATACTGGGTGGGCCAAAAATGCTATAACTTTTTTAATTTTTGATACAAAATCATAATTTGCATACCAAATGAAACTTGAAGTTGTTATACCTTTATAGCTAGTTATCTAGCCATGGATCATGAATTATACACTTTTACTTGAATAAAATATGTCACCAGCGTCTCACTTAAACATGTGGTGTGCCATGAAAAATAAGCATAATTTGCAAAATGTTCCTGAACTGATACGGCCTGATGACAGCCAAGCTAATAGGCCTGATGCAAACTCCAGTGAGCATAGGGTATGGGAATGTCTCCAGGAGATTGTATTAAGGCACCCTATCCAAAAATTGCTAACTAAAACTTAACTAACATTTCATTGATACTGCTAAATCAGCAAGGCGACTAAAACTAAAATCGATTAGCAAATAGGGTGGCGGACCAATTGAACTCCTCTTTTAGATCAAATATAACCCACGTTGAAGGGCTTGTTACATTAAGAACCCCTGGCTCTATATAACTGCAAAATCTGGGGTGTGTAGGTTGGAAAATAAAAAAGTTGTAGTCTTGAAAAAAAGTGGTGTTTCTTTGGCCCACCCTGTACATACATGCATACAATATATGTACATACTGTAACTTCACCAAAACTGAACATAAATTCCTTGCATTTTATTCTTTTCACTATTATATACTTGTCCAATGTTTGAAAAATGCCACACCTGTACAATATGATTTTGGATGCATATTTCAGTTTAAAATTTGTATATAAGAGAAGTCAAGAAAGGTATCTTTAATGATTGAGCTGATAGAATTGTTTTTCAGATAGAGGCAGCTCTAGGGAAGCCAATAAAGGGTTATGGAGAAACAACAAGAAGAGGGAGACGTAGGTTTACAAGGTGAGATATAATTATGTGTGGATTCAGACGAATAATTAATCTCCCTCAAAATTCAAAATATACTAGTACACAATAAATATGAAAGTGGTTTTATACTTCAATGAATAATTTCCCTTTAAATCACCTATTTGTCCACCAGTATACCTGTAAATATCCTTGATGATTAATCCTGTGTGTCATTTGTCCAATGTGTGTTAATCCACGGGCTTTCAATATTCATTGAATGCCCATGGTTAATCCAAATTGTTCCAACTTTGAAATGTCACAACGATGATCTTTGATTGATGTATATCTTACATGTATGTTGTAATCTGTTACGTATATTATACACGTGCAGATATTGAACAAATATTTCACTCTATTGAGGTGAATACCTGTACACCTTTACAAGTGATATTCCACGAAGCCCGAAGGGCAAGTGGAATATCACCTTGTGAAAGTGCTACAGGTATTCACCGAAAATAGAGTGAAATATTTGTTTTATTATATCACTGTCTAGCTAAACATCCCTAATATTATTAAGTCATTAAGTCTTCAGATATTTTTACGAATCTACTCGGTTCATCTGTCATTTTGACTTACACTGAACTTAATTATTTACACTGAACGAAAACAAATTCTTTGAAAATTCCCGGGAGCGTGGGATATCGCTAGATATCTCACGGTTGTCTTATCTGATTAGCATTGCCATTAAATATCGCCAGATATCCCACGACATGTGACCTGGTTTTGACCAATCATACTGTCGCTAGCTAGATAGTGATATAATAATGGTGAATATTACATGTACTGTATTAGTGACGGATATATTTATTAAACTATTGTAGTCACTCGGAGTATGAAGTAGAAGGGGTGAAGCACATAAGAATGAAGTTCTACATTGAAGGACCACACAATAAGGGAACTGTACACTTGGAAAAAGTGAAGGTTTGTAAAATACCAAACAGTTTACTATGCTCTTTTATCTCAAAATTGACAAAGTTTTATGTCCCCTTCAGGAAGTGGTGACATTGTTTAGTCACCATATTTTGCAACAGAGAGGGTAATTTAAACAGAAGTCAGTAGAGTTTGTGCTGAGAAAGGGTGTCCACTAGAAAGAGAGGTGTTCACTAAGACAGGTTTTACTGTAGTCCTCTTAACATTGTTTGTTACACATCACCTTGAATAAGTACTGTAGATTTGGTTAATTTGGTGCCCGCTTTAATTTGGCGAATTTGGCGAAATTGTAAAATTCGCCAATATAAATCTTCGCCAAAATTTAGAATGAATCCCCGGGAATTATCTAGGGTATTTTGTCCAGTGTATTAAGGTCACTTCCGGTTAAGTTTTTTCCAAAAATATGAAAAAAGTCTCATAAATTGGCTCAGAACTGGTCAGTCACCCATTAATACTCAGGGAAAAACTAGAAAGGAAAAGCGCGATATAGTAGCAAAATCGATCGAAGTGCAAAATGTAAAGGTTGATCTCACAAAAATGTACAAACATGGTGAATATCGCCAGTGGTCCTCAAAAGAAAAAATGAACATAGCCAAACATGCCCAATTTTTTGCATATCCGCCAAATTAAATAGCCGCCAATATGCCAAAAATGGCAAAATCGTCAAATTAAGTAGCGCCAAATTAACCCAATCTACAGTAACTATTAATAAACGTTATGTTTTTCAGGACCCCAATAATAAATACCAGTACAGATATATGTTTGTGGATTTGGACAACTCTAATAGGTCTATTATAATAGAAGACAATAGACAAATGCTAGATAATTTATTGAAACAAGTATAGACTACAGCAACAAGCATATAGGCCTTAACAACAAGCATATAGGCCTCAACAAGCATATAGACCTCAACAACAAGCATATAGGCCTCAACAACAAACTCAGCGTACAACAAGATACAAAAGATATAGACAACAATACTATAACCCTGGAGACTAGCAAACGTAATATCTGGATGGATGATATTTGACTGCATTGTGTAATATTGAAATATAAATGTCCTTCAGTGGTGCCTCATATGCAATGAAATGAATTACAAAAAATGGTCTACATGTACCATTGTAAATTATATAGTGTTCTCTTATTATTTGCTTCATAGGCTTACAAACTGTATACTAAGTGAAAGCAGGTTAACTCTGGATCAATGGTGAGTATCAAGCGAATGTTAAGGCCGTCACCTTGTTGGACGGGAAGCGTTGAATATATAAAGTAGTTTCAGTTTACGTTCGATGAGAACTAAAAATATCGAAACGACACTTCTCGTCCGAAATCTTAAATGGCGAATGTGAGAGAGAGATAATTCTTTCTTTGAATAAATAGGACCCAGCTAATAATCAACATATTGTGACATTAAAATTTTAAAACGTCTGCATAATACATATAGAGTGTAATACAGCAACCCATTTTCATTTTCTACACATGAAAATAAGACGCAAAATATAATATACATGTAGCTGGTTTCAACCAATAAAATCTGGCCCATGCATTGTTTACCACATTATAAGAATTTTGTTCCCATTTAATATTGTATGTTCGTCGTGTTTCAATGACCTAGAATGCTTTTTTTTACCAATAACATCACCATGAACATGGTGTTTATTTTCCAAACGGAAAACGTGTGGTAATTTATGGATTCCGAGGATGCTAGATAAGATTTACTTAGTCTAGCCAATACAGTACACATTCAGTGGCCATGGAATATGGTAACATAAAATGAATAATGATAATTGCAGTTAGACCATGCACAGAGGGAATTCGCCCTCCCCGCCAAAAATTCAAATCATGCAGTCTCAACATTATGTGCACTTTTCAAGTGATTTTGGCCCAAAGTTCCAGAAATCTTTTTAAATGTGAGACCCCAGAACTGGAGCTTATGGGACAAAATATTTCCAAACTAAAAAAATAAATAAAAATAAAAAGAATTGAGTCCAACTGTGTTGGACGGGCTACAAGCCGTCGCCTATTCACAGGCGCGAACCCACTACTGCTCGACATGAGGACTTTTGTCTGCTGCGTTTCCGCCCTGGACCTGTACGTCCCTCCTTAGACAACCTGGGCACCCTAGGCTCCCCAGGGGTGACCATATTGATGCCGAGCTTAGTGCGGACGCCCGATCGACATAGAGCACCGACAAGCAGGACTCCCGCCCTCAAACCGTTCCACAACCCCAGCCTCCAAGTAACTGGATTACAGGAGCACGCCACAACTCCCAGCTGACATCTATTTGTTCATTTTAGCGATTTATCCAATTGGAATGGTATGCATATACCACAGACCGTGCACACTGGCACTACCATTCACACTAAAATGTAGTGAGCTAAAACAAAAAAATAAATAAAATAAAATAAATAAATTGGTAATCATATTGTAGAGCTGCATCTGTCCATGACCTTATCGCTTTAACGTTTCAATCATGTGAAAGGCATTCTCAGTCATAGTCTGGGTTTTAGAAGACAAACGAAACAGGGAATACTGACTGACTGAGTTGGGTTGTGTTAAATTTTGGCGATTTTGGACCATTGATCTTCGATAAACTGGACAACTCCAAGATTATATTAGAATTTTATATGCATATTTTACACCGATAGCTTAAAATATCTCTTGATGCATTGCAAATCATACATGTATGTACAATTGTACATGTGTGTGAACAATGTAGACCTTTATTAAAATTGTATCCATATCTTTCTAAAACCTATGTATATGCTCTTCTAATTACTTATTACTTAAATGCCCGGGTAATGATGAATTAACGAGGTATTTGATGTTTTAGTGACAATTTGATAATTTATTGCAAAAAAGGAGGTGGCGTAGTACAGACACCTACTGGTAGACATCACAACTAAAACACAATCTTACAAAGACGGACATTTGGTTGTGCGACATATTCTTCCTTTAATAATGCTAAAATATAGAACTGACATACAAATGTGGGAATTTCAATTTACGTTAATGAACTTCATCTTGATAAATAGGTGGCAGCATTGTATTGTGTTATAATTTTAAACGAGTGAAGCGAGAACAAGTGAAGACACAATATTAGTAAAGTAGACAGATAAGCACCAGTATGATAAAAAGCATGATGAGGGTAACATTGATAAACTTTTAATTTAGAATATTCACGTTTGAATTATTACTTTTTATCTGACTTACAAATGTTCAATTCATGAAACAGAAAAAATGTTACATGTGTACATACAACCATCACGAATCATCATTACTCCATCGTCTTATTCGTGTAAGCGCATTCGCATTTATTTCCATATTTTTAATGGCCTATTTTGTAATTTTTGAAATGAGAAATGTGTCATTTGGAGGGATTATCTTAATAATATGATTTTACAAAATTCGAATTCAAAATAGGTCACAGTATTTGTGGGAGTGAATTATGAAATCTAGTTACTAACCCTCAAAAATATTCTCATCCAAAAAGTTTTCAACCGGGATTTTTAATTTTGCAATACATTTGTTATTGAATGTTGGATTTTTTACTATTATAACTTTACCTTCCTTAAACATGGTTTTCCACTTACAACAATTTAAAGTGTTACCAAGATATGATATAATTGATTCATTCCATAAGTTCGTATTACTCGAGGCAGACTGCTTATAATTACTGTCTTCGAACTTTGGAACCCCTGCTTGGTGAACTGCAAGGTTAGTGGTAGTAATGTCGAATGTTGAAATGTCTGCTTTGTTACTGAACATAAGTAACCAGTTGTCAAAGGCAGGAAGGCTGATGACGAAATCGGGTACGGCATCCCACGGGAAACTGGTTTTACTTGTGATGAAGTAATCCTGTGCATCCGATCGACCGAGTTTGGTACCTTGGCCGCGTTGAATGATTTCCTCATCCATTCCTGATATGATTTCAATAGTCCCATTACCTGTTGAATAGAACTTTGCCTCGTGCCTTCCTCCGAACACTATAAACCTCCTGATGTTGTGAGCTCTCGTGAATCTCTTAATTTCCTTGAGAGAAGTGATGAGTTTCTCAATATGAAATAACATATCGCCGTACAGAATGATAAACATTAATTGTCAGTTAGATCCTATCAAATCAATCAATTTTATTTTCACTCGTTTAATTGTGAAAAATATTAAAGGTCTAATGCCAAGTAAACATGTTTTTATCACTTGTTTACTATTGTCCACGACTTAAAAAATTATTTAAGAGTTTTTAGAAAAAACTTTTATATCCCAAAAACTCAAATTTCCAGCTTTTTTAAATAAAACTCATCAAATATTCCTATATACAGAGTTAAAACACAAATCCTTTTAACACCATTGCGAAGATTGATTCGAACATGACTGTATTCACGCCTTCTATAAACTGTAAACAAAGTCAACATTTCACCCGGGGTATATTCGCGAACAAAGCCCCTAGTAATATGTGTAATGTGTGACGTCATAACGGCGTACCGTAGTAATCGCGAACCATAAAATGTTTTCAAACCCCTTACTTCCTTCGGTCGTTCACGGTACAGAAAACGTTTGTGCCTAGCCCTGCGGGGTGTATTCAACAATATTACCCCTGCTTTTCGGTCTATATTTCTTAAATAAAGTATAAACTATGATAATAACAAGATGTCAAATCTAATGTGCCAAAAATGTTTAGCATTTAAAAATTACCATGCCAATCTTTTCTAAATATGATAAATTTCCAAAGTAAACCAATTTTGATTGTCTATGTGAATTATCGCTAGCTTATTAAAAAATATGTGTGATCTCTCAAATTTAGTTTTAAATAACTTCACGATTTTCCGAACAAAAAGCCCTTCAAAAACCACTTTTAAGAATATAAGATTTCCACATATCACATTTTGATAACATTTGGTAAGACTGCAATTTAAGTCAATGTGGTTTAAACTTTATATTCAACTTGAACGTTTTCTGACTATTCTTGGAACACACTCATAAAAATAGAAACATTTTGATATCTTTTGAACTTTTTTGAAATATAAGTTATATCTCAATTGTGCAGTTGTCCATAGGCCCAAAGGTTACCCACAAATCAGGCAATTAATGTTTAGGTGGAGAGTTTCTCTGACAAAGAACACAGTGTCCAACTCAATCACATGATTGGGCTCTGGTCGGTAAGCTCTGGTTGATATTTGTTATTTAATGACTTTATTTTGTTAATTTATTGCAAAAAAGCAGGTGGCGTAGTGCACAGAGTACAGACTCCTACTGGTAGACATCAAATGACACAAAAATGCCACCAACATAATGTTGCATAACTTCTTTTATAAGATTTAATATAGGCTCCATGGAGCAACTCCACAAGATGACTAGCTCAAGTAAATGCACTTTTATGAGTAGCACAAGATGTGTTCTAAATGTCGTCCATTCCTTTGCTGGCACATATGGATTCTACAAAAGATAGTCCATTCAATTAAATACAAAATGATATAGTTGTCATTTATAAAATGAGTATACCTTATTATACCGTATCATACCCAAAATTATGTTAAACAAAAGGTGGCATTTTTATGCAGAATCCAGGAGTGCCTATAAAGGAGCACAGGAAGGTATATCGAAGTCCTTTTTAGTCCTTTATGGGATTCTTTGGGCGTCCTCTCACCCAGTATAAAATTTTGTACCATATAACATATTTTTGACCATTTTGTACCATATACGATAAATTTTCACTCTCTTATTCTGTACGATAAACCATATCTCTATACATTCCCATGCAAATATGTGCAAATGATAAATACATGAATAATACACTGCTATAACTAGAAACTGCAACTCCACGGAGTAACAAATCCCAACGAACACTATGACATATACATGAATCTGTATTTGTCACAATGTAAAATTTACTATCTACTCTTCCCTTGAGAATATAATCGGTAGATATCAAAATACATACATTAGAGATATATCAGAATTTCCACCGATTTAAGAATTTTTGGTGACCATTTAAGAGTTTCTTATTTGCATTCTACTCTAAATTACCTTTCATTTGACTAAAATAAAGCTATACAGGGTGGTCCAAAAAATGTGAACCCCTGCAACTGGCCATATTTCCCTTATTACTTGCAGGAATTCTTTTTTATTTTCACATGTTGTAGAGGAAGGTCTAAAATTTATGTTGGTACCATACATTTTTCTTACTCTTGAAATTTGCAGAAATTATAAGCCCTAACCAAACATTACTGAAAATGGACAAATTGTGAATTTCAATATCCGCGATTCTTCAACCCTTTAACACCTTTCCCCTGAGAATTTTTTAAGCTGCAGTCTTAAAGAACTAATATTTTCTGACTTTGTTCAATTTTAAATCCTGTACACTATGGCTTAAAACTAGCATCCTACATTTGTTAGTTGCAAAGTTTTTGTGATCCAAAGAGATGTGCTAAGCTTCCACAGACGAAAACATTTTCCAGTGAAATCATGAACATACCCCTATATGATCTTGAAATGTCAATATCTTCATAAATCATGGACCAATTCTAATGATATATGGCTCAAAACATTGAATATTGGATTTTCTTTTGATTTTTAAAGATATTTGATGAAGGGGTTATCAGATTCCTGGTCACACAGGGGGCAATTTCCTTCCATAAGAGGTCCCCCTCTAACTGTTGGTGTAGGTAACATACCCCTGAACTGTTGAACAGTTAAAAATGCTTCAAAATGATCAATGAAAGTGTGAAATGTGTTTTCTGCTTGAATAATGTCCCTTTTGTCATATGGTAGGGTTTTAAACTTGTATCTCTAACTGAAAGCTGTTTAAGATCATCCAATGTGTTTCAACAATTTCCGTGAATCACATTTGTAAAATTTTGTACCATATCTAATTTCCAGGCATGTTTGTTAAACGCTTTCTTCAAAATATAAGACTGAGAATAAATTATGGCATGTGATAATATGAGTCAATTCATGCATGTCTTAAGAAAAATGTAGCCTGTTGCAGGGGTTCACTTTCTTTAGGACCACCTTGACACAACTTTTTGGAGACTTTTTCCAAATAAACGTTGACATTCACAATTATCATACTCGCCATTGCCAGGATTTACATGCTTTTCGATATAACACCAAAGTAGGATTTTTTCTATAAAGATTCAAGGTCAGTGGATACGGAACAGTATTGAAAGGCCAATAAGAGAAAGTTCTTCTTTGAATATTTTTAAGATGAGATACAAAAACTATTTGATAGATAAAATTTCTTTAGACTAGACTCTTTATCACCAAATATATCAATCTGGGTCTTATTAATTACAATTCATCATCTCCAGCAGTATTTGTCCTAAGATTATCACCATGCTATCATACTTCATTTTACCGTCACTTTCCCTTGCTCCAACCCAACATCTATTAATGTGCTCTTATTTATACTTATTTATTTTATTTACGCTATTATTATATTCAATTTATGTTTAATCAAGCAGTATATACACCTATTTAAGTTGTCCACTGTAAATAATTTGTATTTTGATTTATTGTTATATGAAGGAAATAAGAAATGAATAAAAAAAATAAAATAAAAAATACTTAAGAGAGATTTAAGAATTGACGTAAATTCCCGTTGGCAGCCATTTTGAATTTTCTGAGGCACAAACCAGAAAACAATACCATATTTGTGATCTACCCTCAATTTCCTTCAATTTGAGTATAATATAGCCATACTTTGAAAAGGTCAGAAAACTATTGCAAAATCCCACATTAAGGCGGCCATTTTGAATAATACGAGGCCCAAATAAGAAATACGAGACAACATTTGCAATCTACTCTATATTGGCTTTCATTTGAGTATAATAAAGCTATACTTCAGAAAGATCTAAAAATTAACCCCAATTCCTTTTGGGAAGGTAAAGACCTCTAGAGAAGGAAAATATGTGATAGCATTGCAACAGTTGTAGCTAAATGGGTGTTATCACCCATTTTTCAAAATGGCCGCCGGTGCACATGTAACAATATAAGGTTGGGTATATCTAAGCACACTGAGATGCAAACACTGTGATTGTAGGACCTATGTATGAGTTTAAAGAGTCAAGGATTTCATTTATGTCTACATCTAAGTCATCAAACTTTTACTTTTAATATAAATCCAAGATGGCCGCCAAGATGGTTGCCAAAACGAATATGTAACTATTGATTTAAGCTTAAGAACACCTAAGAACAGTGATTTTGGAGCCTATGTCTACATTTTAAGGTCAAGGATTTAATTTATGTCTAAATCTGAGTTATCAAATAATTGTTTTTTATAAAAATCCAAGATGGCCGCCAAAATGGGTGCCAAAACGAATATGCCAAAACTCTGATTTAAGCTCAAGACACTTGAGATCATTGATTTTGGAGCCCATGTCTACATTTCAAGGGTCAAAGATTTCATTATGTCTTAATCTGAGTCATCAAATGATTACTTTTTATAAAAATTCAAGATGGCCACCAAAATGGGTGCCAATATGAATATGTTAGTATTGACTTGAAAACACATAAGAACAGTGACTTTGGAGCCTACATGTATGTCTTCGTTTTAGGGGTCATTTCATTTATGCCTAAATCTGAGTCCTTAAATAATTACTTTAATACATATTTTCACCAATTTTTAAGCAAATCCGCCCACTAGTATTTGACAGACGGACTGACGGACGGAGGGGTTCACTATATCCCTACCGAACTTCGTTCGTTGGGATGCATGATCAACCTATATGCTATCATACCATCAATATGATGCCTCTGCAATACTTGGTAATATACCAAGAAACACAGCGCTGAATACAGTTAGAGTAAGAAGAAAGAAAACTAAAAGGAAACGATCTAATATTTTTGCAGTAGTTTGCCATTCCAGTTTCCACTTGTTTCTATCACTGTCTTCGTTATGCAGTGCATCTTCTGTGTCATTGGGTACATCTCTCCTAGGCATTCCTACCTGAATGACTTTTATATCAGGTGTATCAGAACTATCTCGGATTTGCGATTTATAGCTGAGGCGCCCTCTTTGGGGAGAATCATACACAGAATCTATCATCGGTGCGTCAGCTGTATTTCTATTAGAATTATTTGTCTTTGCTTTCTTCTGAGTTTGATAAATGCCATATTTTTCAGATGATTCCAAATAAAAATTGTTTGTTTTTAGACAAAGCAGTGGAGCCATGATTTCAAATGTGATGTACCGCAACCAAGATGGCGGCCGCCTCAGAGCGTCGTGGTGGTGGATTTGTAGAATAATTACTGTTAGCATTATAGATGTCGCACTAAGTGCCATCACTGACGTCAGATATATTGCTGAAAGAACAAAATAAAACTATTGTCTGAATAACTAAAATTAACCTAGAATGAAGAAAAGAAGTAACCTTTCACAAAACGATATCGACGAGGGCTGGAGGGATGGAAAATATTGGTCCTCACCCATTTTATTTAGATGAACAAAACAACACAACTCTCTTCTTTGGAATTTGGACAAAGAGGATTGGCTCCCAGAATCGAAGTCGATATTTTCCAACAATGAAAACGCCGAGATGTCGTTATTTTCTGAAATTTTAACCGATTATAAATTCAAAATAAACAGTTCAAAAGATTCGAACCAATATCTCGATCATTTCCTGTGAGTTTTGGAATTTTTCGTTAGGAAATAAGACCAAAATTCACGATTCAAATGTTGAAGTGAACAAAATGGCGGCTGTTGGAATTCAAATTTTGTAGCACGACATGCCCATATATGGGACAGAATATCGATGTTGCACTCTGGGAGCCAATCCCCCTTGGAATTTGGAAATTATGTTTCAGTTATGATGAAATCGTCATACATTCATGAGTGAAACATCGCTATACTAATATATACACAAAATTATTCCAAAATTAGAGGTTGCAATTAAATGCTGGCAAAATATAGTCACTTGGATGCAGTACATGGCTTGCATGAGTACATGTAAGTCCATCATCTAGTTCCACGAACGGTGACATAAAACAAACAGATCCTTTGAAATTTATTATGGATCTAAAGAATTCAAACCCCTGCAATTGCGTTTAGCAATTCCTCAAAAGGATGATAATCTATGAGCAATATTAGAATTGTACTTTTGTACATCTTGAAGTAGCTTAATAGTCTGGAGAGGAAATTACACACTATTTTTCAGTACAATGTTCCCCATCTATCAATTTGGAGTAGGTGCTTAGACTATGTATTTATTCTAAGTGATATGTCCGGGAAAAGATGTAGTAATTGAGAATTTGGATCTGTTTTGCAAAAAAGATGACATTTTATACAATTATGTAGTTTGGAGTTGCTATTTATGACTTCATTTAACGAAACTAGACACAGACAGTGTTCTATACATTTTGGTATCCATATTAGATATTTGAAATATATACATTTCTTCAATTTACAACAGTCTTGCATTTTGTTCAGGAATGGACATCAATTGCAAATGGAGGGGGTACAGAGATATGTAAATCTAGTGAAATCTAGACATTAACAGTCTGAATGTCAGATATTTAGGACAGCAGATATTATAAAAGTAAACTATTTAAACGGAAATTACTCGCAAATAATAATAATGGTCAAACATTAAAGCAGAAATTACTCACAAATGGGGGTAATAGTTAAATATGTGAACGGAAATTATTCACAAATGTAGGTATATAAAATAGTCAAACATTGAAGTGGAAATTACAAATGAGTGGTACATAGTTATACGGCTTGTATGATGGTCAAACTCACAAATGAGGGTTTATATATTTTAGTAAAACATCTTAGCGGAAATGACTCACAAAATGTGGGTATATAAAATAGTCAATTGCAAACATTTTTAAGCGGAAATCACTCACAATTCACAATTGAGCACGGTATAGAGTATAATAGTCAAATTATATAAAAGTCAAATGAGAATTGTATATAGGCTAATAGTGAAACATTTACGTCGACATTAAAAATGACTCGGTATAAAAATTACTTACCAATGAGGGGTATATAGTCAGATATTTTTGGAATTTGATCCGCCACTAATAAGAGGAATACAGAGAACGACAAAAGCACTGTTATACCAAGCGAAATTTTTTCGCCGGCTTCTGGCGGAAGTAGAAATACAAACGTCACCAGCACCGTACTCATTGCACACGGCACTACAATGTTGATGATGTAATACAATGGCTTCCTGCTCATATAAATTATGAAATCAACTGTAGGGTAAGGGAGGGCCCCGTCTCCATCAGAGAAGTAGTCGTCGAAGTAACGGACCCCGGTCTTTGTGATGTTCCATTCTCCGTTCTCTGTATATTTTGTTAACCCCACTCCTAATAGGTAAAAGGAAAATGTAAATGAGAAAGTCGGTGCTTATAACAGGGGCGGATCTAGGAACCAACAAGGGGGGGGCCAAATTTAAGGTCAGAGAATAAAACGTCCGCGCTTGCGCGGAAAAAAATTTTGGGCCCCTAAATCCAAAAGTGGGCCCAAATTTTGAAATTTTGAGGCCCATTTTCTTCAAAATTTGGCTTAAAATAAAAAATAAGGCCTTAAGGATGTTCCCTGGACGAAGTTGAAAACGATGAACACCAACCCCTAATTTTTCTTTTCAAAATGTGAAGTACATAGCATAACTAAGTGTTTCTGTGAGTTTAAGAAAAAGTTAAATATTCAAAAGTGTGTTTTGGGGTGAAAACCTGATTTTTAACATGGGTTTCAATGAGAAAGTGCCACGCCCACTTTTGTCAAATATTGACACTTTAGAGGCCTCTTGCTCAGAAAAAAGCACACTAACATATGGTTTTTAAAGTTTTAATATTCTTTGTTGCCCGTGAGAATCCCAGAAAACCATTTTTGAGAAAAAGTTAAATACTATTGAATATTTTCCTATCTGACCAGGGAACATCCTTAAAAGGCCCAGTAATGACCAAAAAGGCCCACTTTTTGGGGCCTGAAGGCCTTGTTTGGCCCAAAAACTTTTTTGGGCCCAAGTTTTTTTTTCTGGGCCCACCCAAGGGGGGGGGGCCGGGCCCCCAGGCCCCCCCCCCCTAATCCGCCAGTGTATAACATTCACTTATATTAATGAAATCTGCATTTGATTCCTCAAATGGACAAGTAAAGTGATGTTTGTTGAGTGGAATTCATAAGACTGATTGAATTTGAATATGTAATTGGGAAATCAAATAGTCTTAGTACTCTCGTTACATAAATGAATAATCCGATGAAAATAATTAGAAAAAGAATTATCTTAAGTAACCCTACGCAAATGGACCTAGTTTTGGGTTACACCATTTGCAGCTAAGGATTAGGACAGTCACAACGAAACATGATGACTTTAGTAATTATTATTCCAATTAATCCTTTTTTTATAGATTTAATATCAAGAATATCAGAAAATTATAAATTGAAACAACTAGGCTAATATAAGACCTAGTTTGGCGGTAGGAACCGTGAATTATATATCGACCAACCCATATTTGAACATCATAATAGAGATCTCTCTCATATCTGTACAACTTGCTTATTATACCCTTAGGCTATTTTATAGAAATTTCACTAATTTGAGTCATTAATTGCTGAGAAAATATTTGTCAAAAATGTGACGTTTTTTGGGACACCCTATATATCATTAGTTCATTCAGAGATGGAATTTATATCTTACCATCAGTGGCATTTGTCAAACTCTGAAGAATACCCGAATACATTCCATTGGCGAAACGTATAAAACATTTCTGCCTGTCAAATGGAAAGTATGTGATGTCAATAGAGCATGACGTCTCGAATGATCCTCCAGGGGTCCATAAAACTCGTCCCGTAGATAATATTTCTACTTTGAAATCTTTGGTGAATGAAGAGTCAACCAATTTGTTGGCACTGAAAGATTGCAAGATGCATTGATTTATCAATGTTTCAATCTAACCATGGCCAGAGAATGATCAATGTTAAACAAATCAAAAACCATTCATAAACCTGTCTAGAATTCTTAAAAGTGCTTCATAAACGATATATATAGCAGAAAGAGTTTGTTCTGAACGGTTCTTTCCCAAATGATAGTTTTTAAATTACTGTATTTAAAAACATTATTGAAACAGGAAATCTCTCAGTGTCTAGGCTTAAATCATCATGCAGCATAATGCATCATTGCACAGTAGTAGTAGGAGGTTGTATTCCCAGATGAGGTAAACGACGTGTCACGTTTTGTATTGCTCAAAACCGATCAAATCTCTTGAAAGCCCATGTCAAAACCAAGGCTGAAGGGTTGCAGCCTACTAGAGAGATTTTCTAGAGCGCACCACCTGGTCACAGGCAGTTGAATTATTTGCGCATGCGCACTGATTATCTAAAATTGCGCGTGCGTTTTTCGAGGAATCTTGATGTTCAGAGCTAAAATCTGAAAGATGAGTTTATATTCAGTAAGAAATGGTTGTAATGCTATATAGTATTAGGTTATAATTTACCTGTTCCCCAGGTTGACGTCAGGAAGCCACACATCCTCAGCTGGGAGAATCATTTCTGTAATGTTAGAGAACTCGCTCGTGTTCCATCTGAGAAACTCGTCAAACCAGACCTATAATAGAGTATACAAGCAAAAACTATTTCATCACTGCCACGGGGAACATTCTAATGATCAACTTTGGATTAGATAGTTATAACCAATAATCATATGAATGATGGTGCATGTAATACTACAGGGTGAGCCCAAAAAATCCAAATAAATCTTACTATCAAATATCCAGTATGGGTTTTTTAATTTGTCAAAATTAAACCGGTGTAAAAGGGTAGGTGGTCCTATGAAATTATGGTCCTACTTTCCATTGATTTATATGGTGACCTAAATATAACTCTTTCCCTTATTATCTTATACACAATCAGGGCCAGTAAGGGCCGATTAGAAAGGGGACCATAATCCCCAGGGGACCATAATTTCTTTCACACCGGGTTCAATGTTCTTTCATTCTACCATGTCTCATCAATCACGATTTCATGGCCATTTTACAAAACATGCTCCAAATGCCAAAACATACCAATACTAGCATCACCCAATATGAACCGCCAGAATTTTATCTTTGGGACTTTTTCAAAGATAATGTGGCATTTTGAACATGTTTTGTAAAATGGTAATAAAATCGTGAAACGCGGTGGATTGAAATAATATTGAACATGGTTCAGTTGTGCCAAATATGACTTAGAACCTATACTGGATGGCTGAGCCTGGATTATTAAGATTTGTTTGGTTACCTTTTTTGGCTCACTCTGTACTAACTTGAATAATGGAGTTTAGTTCAAATTACTCTTTTATTTTTTTGTACATCATATCATATAAACGTCATTCTGTTGATTTAAATCAGAGAACGTCTGCCTTTATTCCCTGAATAAGTTATAGGGATTTGTACAATGTTTAACCGATCAAGCAATGGATGGAGATACACGGAATCCTCTCAGATTGTGTTCAAATTTCACATCTTCTAATTAGTTTAGCTTTCAAGAATGTGTCAGACATCTTTTTGCAAATCGTTTGTCGAGATGAAGGCGAGTTCGTGCCAAAAGCATGTCAATGTGCATTAGAATCAAAGCCAAAAACATGAGTGCAAACAACCTTGTAGGTTGATTTGACTATTTGCTTTCAATGAACAAACAGTATATTGAACAAGTTCATCTTTGATACCGTTGGGTAATTTCGCAAGTTTTAGATAGGTTTATCAGGCTAAATCGAGACACAATTTCTTCTTTTGGGATACCGCGAAGACAAGAACTAGATATATCAAAGATAATCAATCTAGAATCGATAACTTCTGAACTTGATGGTTTTTTAGATTAATTGCTGTCACTTCTATCAGTTTCTTTACAACAGACTTATTGTTTGCTGCACGGATAATATAATGTTTCGTGCCCTTATCGTTTCACTGCCATTCCAATCTGTGCTCATTTTGGGGGCCATTAGCAAGTTGTCGACCAATATAAAGGCTACACTGTCATCAGCATTAATATAAATGTCATTATGATTAATTATGCCTTCAACAATAAAACAGTTACCATTTATCAATATTAGAACTGTTGTAGTATGCGACCATATTTTGAATTTTGAAGGCCTTTTTTTAGCTTTGCATGTATACTTGAAGATTTGACGATAATGGAAACTAATTATAAGACAAATGCATTTAATTTTATTAAAGAACAATAAACTTAGCTATCATATAAAACAAGTCAAAAAACAAGGCGCATTTTTTCCTTTGCGTAAAGAGGTTTCGGATTGCATTTCAATATTGTAAATAAGCTTAGTAGCCAGGACAGAACAAGCCATTCTTCACTTTTTCTCGATAACTTTTTCAATTCTCTTTTTTTCAAAGCATTCATAATACAAAGAAATCCCGGCTGCTATATATACAGTTACAGTAGGTGAGATCAAGAAACGTGCACACCTGCATAAATGATTTAAATATACTCCCAACGAGGGTATGAATTAGATAAGGAAGTCATCAATCAATCATTTGAAGTAAATAAGAGCGTAGATTACAAGGTATATCGTTTTAAGAGCATGTTCAAAAGTAAAATATTTATTATGATATTTTAGTGTTTTATCATACAGTATTTAAACACTGTTTCCGATATAGCTTAACCTCGACAAGACCCCATTAAAGAAGAAATAAAAATAAGTAGGTCCTTTTAATTTCATTCTAATTTGTTTACAAACAGTTGGATTTGATGCCTGAAATGTAAATAATCTGTCAAATTCTTCGATCCCCGGTTTAGGCAATGCTTAATTTGCTTGTTTGCCTAAATTACCTCAAGATGTATGACAGTTTGACTGAGTGGTCAATAACTTGTACAAAATGCTAAGTTGTGTACTTGTATGTCTTTGAATGAGTGTACATAAAAAACACAGGGCTCCTCTGGGGAGGGGTTTCTGGGTCTGTCTTCCAGGGTCCAACGTACCTGTACATATAATTAATATACGGAAAATACACAAGAGGTATTGCTCACCTTAATTGGCGAGTGGTTTTGGTCGAAAGGTTTTTTATGTTGTAATTAATATCCCTGTTGCAGAGCCAAGCCTTTTTTCAAAATATCATAAACGGACAAAATGCATGGAGGGGAATCATCGAACAGTGTTTGGCAAGAAAATTCAACAAATCTGTAAGATTTATTTTTTATGAAAAAGAGTAACATTAAATCGTTTACTTATAAATATTTATTATCGCAGTTCATGTAGACCCCGACTGGAATTTCACTTAAAATTGCATAATGGCGAAGTTGCGCTTTTACAATTGCTTTCTCAGTAGCAGATGAAAAATCAAAGACGAAGTTTTTAAATCGCCCAACTCAAACAGGCTTTAATGCGATCCAGAGGGGCCTTCCAGTAGTTAACTTCTAGTTGCCAAACTTATGAAGGGGGTTGTTCAAACTTTTACAATTCAACCTTTTCATCTTTGCTGATTTTTGGTTTATATTCTAAAAAGTGAAGACCATGCTTGTGATTCTAAATGAGAAAAGAAGTGCTTGACTACGATAACCATTGGCGATAGACAGGCTTTAACATGTGATCCAGAGGGATCTTCCAATCGTTTACTTCAACAGTAGTTGCCAAACTTATGAAGGGGGGTTGTACAAACTTTTACAATTCAACCTTTTCATCTTTGCTGATTTTTGGTACATATTCTAAAAAGTGAAGACCCGTATTGTGCTTTTCTGATTGTAGCCGAGAAAAAGAAGTGCTCGACTACGATAACCATTGGCGATAGAAAAGGTTTAGAGCAAGTTTATTAACAGAATGGATAACCAATTATGTCTATTTTCTACTGTCTAGGAAAATCATCCTTCACAATTAAACCGTTTCAGAACGCTATAATTTTATTTATCTCTGCAATTAAATCGTTTCAGAGTATAATAATTTATTTATTTCAACGAGGTCAAAAATAAATCGTTTAGGAAATTGTCTGATCGATGCTGTGTTATGTTACATCCGATGATTCGATATTTCAACGAGCTGTTATTATCTAGCTCTGGCCATGAAAGATGGTTGAATTATTTTGCATCTTCCACTTTCAAGGTTAACAAACTAGCTTTGGAGATCAAGGTGACATCATTGAGATGATAACTTTTTCTAGGATTATTCACATAGTCAATACTATATCTAGTCGATGTCGATACCCTATTATGTAGTGGTTGTCTATATAAAATTAAACCACACTTAGATAGCAACACAATAGCATGAACTGTGTATTTTTAGAATACCCGGCTATAACAAAGAGGAGTGCATTATTTTTCTATTGTTTTTTAAGAATGTACACTTGGCATTAGCTATCCAAAACCAGTTTAACTAAATATACCCTATTCACTCTTTCAATAGTTGAACCGTAAAAACAATGAATAGCGCAACAGACAATGACTTTCTAAAGCTAGTAACCATTGTTCAGTATTATTGTATGTATCCGGATAAGAGCCGGATAACTACTAATAATCGCCTTAATTTTATGGCCGATGGTCAAAGATCATTGCGAATAGTATAAATACTATATACAGGGTGTCAAATAAATCCCACCCCCTCTCTCTACAGCCAAAACCAAGATATTTGGTACCAAGTATAATATACCATTGGAAAGGTCTTCCAAAGCTATGTTGATTGGCATATATCTGACACATGTCAATCAATCTCACAAATTTTTACATTGTATCAATTGAGGAGACCATAGGCCTAGAAACATGGCAATTTGGCGTATTTGGCAGGATTTTTAGAATCACATATAAGAAAGGTCAAAGGACCGAACGTTGATTAAACATGTTTATGGCAATGGATTTAACCAATTTCTGGATAGGGTTAGATGTGTAGAAAATAGAGGTGTAAGGAAAGTGGTGAAAACCTTTTTGTAACAAGTGGAATGCGAAAAAGATTAACTTTTTGACGCATTTCTGAAGTCATATCCTTGTCATTTTGACGCAAAAAAGCTACTTGACACCCTGTACATATTCATAAAGAACCATCCAATTATACGGTATTTATGTAGAACTATTATTCAAAACTACGAGTAAGATTTTTACGAGTTGATACTTACAAATTCTAGCCATCCAAATGTCTTCAAAACTTGGTTTTTCTCATCCTAAAAATAAATTCAAAAGTCAACTGTTAACATGAGGTTTTGGCTTAAGTATTCCTTTTGCTAGCTCTCAGATTATTTTTGATTAGTATTACAATTTCTAAAACTGAAAAAAAGAAAATGCAATGCTAAGATGAGAGAGTGACGATCTCGAATCATTCATTCCAGAGTGTGTTGAGGTTTAAAAGACGTGGTCAGTCACAAGACATATGCCTTATGGGAATCAAAAGATGGGACGCAATGTGTAATTCTGCACAAAGCATGAATCGTGTTATTTTATTTTTTATTTATTTATTTATTTAACAGACGCGTTAGAATCGGCAGCACATTAAAATAGGTGTGTCACATTTGAAACAGTAATATAAACTAAAAACATTTATACAAGATTCATTCACTTCTAGGTTTGAATCTGAAATATCACACTAAATACAATGTCTTAACTATAAAAGTTGAATTGAATAAAGCTTTTTATGTCAACTATCATATGAAATGTGCACATACTGTACCATTACCAATTCTTTTATCTGCCATAACGAGAACGAGACTGTGACGTCGACAGGTTTCTTCCATTCCTTTCTAGGGCGTATTAATTTATGGTAATTCGTCATTAGTGATTTATAGAGTCGATATTCTTCCGCACTTAGACTTGAAGGTGCAGATGCATGATCCCTGGCCATGATATTACCAGCTTAAATAAAGATACAAGGTGTGTAAAAACATTGAACATGGTCGAAATGGCAGTTTCGAAGGCTTACATTTATAATGTACAGACGTAACATCGAGGAACATTATTCGTGAAAGATGTACTGTTATCCCCTTTACCTCCAAAGTTTATAGATAGAAATATTTTCCTTGTGTGATATAGTTTTATTTGTCAAATACTATATTTTGGAAAGACTGGGTATTAACCCTAATGTCTGCAGCCTTTTTGTACGACTAAATAGGGATATGAGTTTCGTATTGACGAAAGGCACTGCTACCCACCTAATTACACAGACGTATCGTCGGTGTATCATGGCGGAACTTCCTCCGGGACTAGGTTTCGGTAAGATTTTTTATTTCCCGATTTACACCTACTTATAAGTCACGTTGTGGAAAATAATTTGGCTCGAAGTTAAGGAAGATAGTCTAGTTTGAGAATGTGTCGATGGTTTTAGGTTTTATATGTTAACAAAGACACAATTCATGTATTTAGTCCCTCGCTTTTCTTACACTGACGAACGACCAATGTCAGTGTAATATTGGCAATATTAATGCCGATCGTCAGTGTAAGAAAAGCGAGGGACTAAAACGTGAATTGTGTCTTTGTTAACATATAAAACCTAAAACCATCGACACATTCTCAAACTAGACTATCTTCCTTAACTTCGAGCCAAATTATTATCCACAACGTGACTTATAAGTAGGTGTAAATCGGGAAATAAAAAAATCTTACCGAAACCTAGTCCCGGAGGAAGTTCCGCCATGATACACCGACGATACGTCTGTGTAATTAGGTGGGTAGCAGTGAAAGGGCAACCCTTGGGAAATATACCGCATAAAAGGTGAATGCATACAATAATGAGCGGTGTATTCAATAGAAAATCTTTAAAGTTTCGGAAAAACTGGAAGTATGTACTTCCGAATCTAAGTCCTGGATTCAATGCATTGTGGGTTGATTATCATTCCTTTAAGGTGTTGTTTCAAAGTATGCACGAGATGCGTAGCAGTTTAGGAAAAACGCCCGAGTGGAATGAATCAGCCACAGTGCATTGAGTCTTGGGCTTTAATTCTTTTCACAAGTTGCAAAATATAATACGATATCACTTGAACCAAACGAAATGACTCAAAAGAATGTATTTTCAAGGGATTTTATTGCAAGGGTCAAGTTGTCACCTTGACAACCATTCAAAACATTCCATTTGACTGCATTTGGCTTGTTCTTTCCTTTGATTCTATTATTTATTAATTTTTACTCAATTACGAAACTGATCAGCTTCTTGGTTTCATTAGTTTTAGGTGACACTATATGAAATAGCGTGTTCTGATTGGCTGGAATTTGAAACATCTTGCCTGTGCCTCGCTAATTGTGTGACTATACATTCACACATAGCTAGGCAAGATGTGTCCAATTCCAGTCAATCCGAACACAGTATTTCATGTAACCGAAGTGCATAAGCTAATCATCGCACCCAAGGTCATTTATTGAATGGTTGTCAATGTGACAATTGGATTCTACAGATTGAAATTGATGCTTTATGCCAACTTGACTCTTGCAAAAAGTTTCATTGAAACAATGATCTTTTAGTGATTTCGTATCTTTTAGGTGATTTCGTCGAAAATATTTTGCAATTTTTGAAAGGAATTAAGCCCAAGACTCGATGCATTGTGGCTGTATCATTCCGCACTCAGCTGCGAGGTCATGCAAAGGTTTGAGAACAACTCCTTCAGGAGGAACGATTCAGCACGTAATGCACTGAGTTCAGGGCTTAAATCCTTAATTTAATTTGCATCATTGTTTTATTTTTGACAGTGATTTATACCAAGTCGTTAAATAACTTATCTTTCTATGTTTCTAGTTGAGACTTTCACAGAAAATTGAAATATACCTATGCATTAAAATAGTTAATCTTCTCTAATTTTACTAAAGTTCTGGTTGCTATGGTACCTCGTTTTTTGTGTTTTTTTGGTGCAATTCATGTCATGGATGTCACTTCGTGAAATGCTAAACGTTCCCGTTATATTGGATTATCTAGTGTTTTAGTGAGACGTGAAACCTCAAGGGAATTCAGACAAAAACACAGCTACAACTAGAAAACAGCAACTCCACGGAGTAGCAAATCCCAACGAACACTAATATTAATGAATCTGTATATGTCACAATGTAATATTAACCATCTATTCTACCCTTGATAAAATTTGAGGATATTAAAAGACATACAATAGAGAAATATCAGATTCTCCACCGATTAAAGCATTTGGGTGACCAATTATTAGTTTCGTCAAAGGCACAAATCATAGACATCACAATATTTGAGATCTAATAGACTTAATAAGTATAATTTAATCATACTTTGAAGAGATAAGTAATAGTACTGTACATTCCTGCTCTAGGCAGCCATTTTGAATTTTCCGAGGCACGGAGAAGAAAAACAATACCCTAATTGTGATCAACTCTAAAATTCCTTCAATTTGAGTATAATATATATAGCCATACTTTGAAGAGATCCTACATATTGCCTATCCTACTTATTGCGAAATCCTACATAAGGCGGCCATCTTGAAAAACAAATTTCGAAAAACTATTTACCAATATACATCTTTCCAACAAATATGAAGAAAATTCATCTACAAGTATTCGAATTATCTTCCGTTATTTTGTCAAATTGTCATTCAAGATGGTTGCCGATATTCTTTCGTTTTCGATAAACCTCCGATTTCAGCTAAACTAAGTTGAATTTTTGATTCCAAAAGTTTCACCATGCAAATTAATAAAACTACGGTTGTATTCGACCTTCACAAATAAATGCCCAAACACCCGCAATATTAGAGAATTTTAAAGAAAACGGCTTCACTTAGAATCATTCTAAGTGAAGCCATTTTTTGGAAAATTCTACAATTTCGTCGCGGTTTTTGAGCATTTATTTGTGGTTATTTACCACCGTAGCTTTATTAATTTACATGGCGAAACATTTGGAATGTAGATTCAACTTAGTTTAGCTGAAATCAGAGGTTTGTCGAAAATGAAAGGATCTCGGCAACCATCTCAATAAAGCTAACTGCAGTTAGAGTCATCCAGCTGTGGAACAGCGAGCATGATACTGAAGGCAACATATGAATAATTTAGAGTTATGTTCCATACTGATGGAGAAAATGTCATAGATGAGTTAGAAATAATTAATTTATATTTGGCATGAATAGTTGTTGAAACGTCATAGTCACAGATAGTAACTCTCTTCGTTATTTGGACAATTTAGATATTTTCCATCACGGCTTGAGATTAGACAGAAGGCACTTCTGAAACTAATATGCAATTGTGTGAAGTTCCCTTTTCCTATAATATTCATTTCTAAATTAATACTTTTTCTTGTGTCCATTGCAAAATAGACTCTGTTCAAATACTTGTGTATAAAAAATATCAATTAAGAGATCCCACGAGGCCAATAAATTGATATTTCTCGCTACAATTACAATTAAGCTTTTCCCTGGGAGTTAACGGCATGGCAAAGTATTAAAACCAGAAACAATGTAAAAATACATTCATTTTTTAACTACTAGGTTATTATACCCGATGACAATAGTATCTAATTCAGCGTATTAAACATTGAATTGTATACCAGAAACGCATCGAGTCCAAAGATATGCATCGGGTTTTTGAGCGCTTTTACACCCCCTCCACAAGTTTGGCAACTGGAAGTCACTTTGGATCATTATTTTTACTAAACGTGAAAAAAGCTAAGGAAAATAATAATTAACATGCCAATTGCCTGTACAAAACCATCTAATATAAACACGTCAAATAGAATTTGGTTATACCATGATAGAAAATATGTTTATAGCTATTTTTACGAAATCATACACGTAATTCTCTCTTTCATATTCCCTGTCCTCTAACATGTTAAACTCGTGGCCAATACATTATATCTGTTTTCCATACTTTTGGGGGAGTGTAACTTGACTATTTCAATAGTGATTACCAGAACACTGCACGGATTATTCACCAAGTTACAAGAACCATAGGTTATTACCTTCACTAATTGCTCTGGCTATTTAAAACTCATTACTTGTCACTTCGCGTTCTCGGGGAACACATATTTTTTACAATTAAGTGTTTTCAAATAGACTAAGGGACATACTTACCTTAATTGGATTATAATAAAAGGGTAATATGTACACTCCCCTCCATAAGTTTGGCAATCTTAGCTCCCCCATTGACTTTCGTGTTAAACCCCCTTCCGTCAATATTATAAGGTATTTCATCGCAGGTTAAGTAAATAAAAATTCAAACGTAAAGAGGCTTTAACACGTAGTTCAATGGGGGGGGGGCTAAGGTTGCCAAACTTATGGAGGGGAGTGTACACCCCCTTCTAAAGTTCGGAAATCTGTTTTCCTCAATGAACTACATGTAAATTGGTGCTCATGTTTGGATTTGTATTCTAAAACCAGTAAAAATCAAGGTTTGGAGGAGTGTATTTTCTTTATACAGTATACATTTAGAGTAAGATATGACAAGCAAATTTCCCATTATATATGGCCTAATTTCACTTCATTACAAATACGACCTTATTTGTCTGACCTTCAAAAGTCAAGGAAGTGGCAGTTTGGCCCAAGAGAATAATTTTATGAACAAATGAATGTAAGTGTTTTTGATTTTTTATCTTAGTGAAGTAACCTTGGGAATGAACCTGATTGTACATCTCTTCTTATCAATAAGAACCAGTTCTTCACATCATTGGTTTCTAAAGAGGCTTAATGAAATGATACCTATACTGACAAGTCTTGGAATCCAATGATCTTCTGTTATGATTTTTATGATATTGAATTGATACTGGCTAACATGTATAGACATAAAATGGAATGTTGAGCAATAAAGGATAATAACGTGAAGTTCCAATTTTTTGTTCCATTCAAAACAGATAAGCAATTCTAAAAGAAACAAAATATAAATATAGGGTGGGCCAAAAAACGCCACTTTTTTCAAAATGCTATAACTTTTTGAATTTTTTATATTAAATCATAATATGCATACCAAATGAAACTTGAGGTTGTTATCTAGCCATTGATCATGAATTATACACTTCTACTTGAATAAAATATGTCACCAGCGTCTTACTTAAACATGTGGTGTGCCATGAGAAATAAGCATAATTTGCAAAATGTTCCTGAACTGATACGGCCTGATCGCCAAACTGATAGCCTTGATGCAAGCCCCAGTGAGTATAAGGTATGGGAAGGTCTTGATACTGATATATAAGCAAGGCGACTAAAACTAAAATATATCATCAATTAGGGTGGCGGACCAATTGAACTCCCCTTTTAGATCAAATATAATCCAAGTTGAAGGACTTGTTACATTATATTATTACTAAGAAGTGGCGTTTTTTGGCCAACCCTGTAGAACCACAAATGCGAAAAGAGAAAAATCAAAGGGCATACAGAACACAATTGGAAAATGAAATATCTAAGGCCACAACGATACATAACAGAATAAGATATCCCCAACAAACTAACAAGAATAATTACAGGGTGATACAAAAAATGCCATCCACATAATTTTTGTTTGTACTTTCAGGTAATATCAATTAATCACAAAATGATATTGTTCTCATTGGTAAAAATCATTATAACTTATTTCCAAAATTATGTTCCAAAAGGTGGGTGTCATTTTTTCAGGCACAAAGGAATAGACGACACATCTTGTAACGCTTTAAAACCTAAATTTAGTCGTGTTAGTCATCTGAAAACTACTTGTGGAATTGCACCATGGATGCTAGTTTTAAAGTGCAAAACAAGTCAGAATTTTACTCACAAGAAAGTTATGCAACTTTATGTGGGTGGTTGGCTTTTTTTACGCGAGTTTTTTTTTTTTTTTACGCGAGTATTACTTAGTACAATCCAAAACCAAAAAACCACGGAACACTTCATTCAAAATGAAATCATTGTAGCCAGGATTTCCCAAGGGAAATTCGCTTTTTGAAAAATTCCGGGGGAGGTTCATTTGTGATAGTTTTGGTCCAAAAATGGCCAAATCACTTAAAAAGTGCTCAGAATGGTGGAAGACTACATGAACCCATCGACCCCCCGCCCCCCCCCTGGCTACGGGCCTGCAGTTCATTACAATACAATAATAACATATAATGTTAATGTAATAAAATCATTAAAAAATATCTAACCATACGTTATCATGGAAAATTGTAAAAAGAGCAAACACGACTTTTTGTTAGGCCTTAGTAGTGCTATAGGATTGAGAGAACTGGTTGAGCTCTGGGTAAACCTCTTTAATTGGTGTCTCACATTGACGCTTTTTAATTCTCATTAATACCACTTACCAGAGTTGTCTATATACTCGGCATAAGTAAAAGAGACTGAACTTATGAGATCAAGCAACGAAATCATCACTAAAAACCGCTCCATAACGCATTTTCCTGTTGCCGTGACAATCAATTCCATCGCTGCTAAATATTCCTAAAATTCCTGAATCTCTCACAGATATTTTCATGTTAATTGCAAAAAATGCAAAAAACGTGCTATGCTACATCTCGTCCCAAGAAACGTTCATCTTTCTGGTAAATGGCAAAACATCCAAGAAATGTGCTAATGCTACGTCTCGTTCCAAAAGCCGCCAACTAACATTTTGTCTTGATACTTCAGTTTATTTAGGATGCTGTAACCGTTATATTGCTAGGATTTTAAATGCTAATGTGTACTGGTGCATGTGTAAACGTAATCCTGTAGTATTTATTCTCATGTTCTGACATTCTTTAATGAGTGGCATAGACGTTTAGAGACCACTGGTAGCCGATTCATCAATCTAAAATAATTGCAGAACACCGGGGAAATGGCTGAAATCATAAACAAGCGTTATCGTAACAAAATGGATTCATGGATATTAATGAAATTCAGTTAATTGTTACGACTTACAAGTGCGTTAATGAAATGCACTGAATCTAATAATGGTCTTCGGTGTTCAAACGTAAACTTTAACTAACATGAATAACTGAGGTAACCTTTGCCAATATTTGGCATTATTTGGAATAACCAATGTTAACTTTTTACCAATGAAGTTTATCGACAATCAAGGGATGTTGTCAGCTAATAACAAAAAAGATAGAAACAAAGAACTAAATCCCATTTTTCTCCAGTCTAGGCTATTGTAACATTATATGTTGCGCCATTGTGAATGTGACACACTAACGGGTGTCGTCGATTCGTCAGTAGGATCCGTTATAAAAAAAACTCTGAATATCTTAGAGATGATTGTGTTTATTAACTCAAGTTCATTCCCTTCAGAGACTAATATGATTTTTTGACGTTTCACCGGTTATCCTACCAGCTTTATCAGGAGGTAAATGGTAGAACTTGAGTTAATTAATTAATGCATTACCCGAGAGATAGATTTACACAATAAAGGTGATTGTGTTGTTTGTTGTCTACTAATGTACAAAATCGTTAATATTTCAGCTTTCTAATCTAAAAAGTCCATCACATGTATATCAGTATCAGAGGGTTCAAGAATCATTGGCATCTACCGATGATCCGAACCTTGTCAAGTAATTGAATCCATACGTTCTCGGACTTCGATTTTAACTGTTAATATAACTTTGCTCACATCCTTTTACTTCCTATCCGCTTGACTTGACTTCATAAATATCGGCTCGTCTTCGCTTCTTTATAGACTAATTAACATCTGTGGTCAGAGGGGGGGGGTATGTTGCTCCATATATCGTCCACCCTTTTTTAAACTATTTTTCTTTTGACTCTGATGGAAATGTCAAAATAGTTCAAGCAAAGAGCTCACATCTTGTTTAAACTATACCCGTGACATATTCTGTATGTGGACATGAGTTACAATTGTGCCAGGACTAACAAATATGATACTCGTGCTTAAAATCATCCTCAATTCATTGAACCCTGGGCTTAAAAATCTTTTAATATATTATACATGTATGCCAACAATATGTCAGCAAACCTGGAAAAATAAAAATAACACTCTTGTCTGGTATGTATGGGAATGTACTGGGAGGTTTTGGATACAGGATTAACCCTCGGAAAATATATGTAACTCCCGAGGGACCGCAGAACACCAGTAGGTATGAAATACAACAACATACTATTTAACCATTGTAATAAAAGAGTAGATATGGCTCTTTCTTGCAAACAATATCTCATGGCTTCGTAAAATTAACTTCATTCTGGATATGATAGTATGATGAATTTTCCATCATCAATATCTCGTTCTGAATCATAAATGAGGAGCATCAACTGTGTAACTTTTTAATCGTACCAAAGAAGGAAATTGCAAATTGTCAAATACGAAATTCATGCGAAATTCGAAACAATTATCTATTCTTTGAACAAATGTAATTTTATTTCAAGGTACTGATCAAGTGCCATGTTTGCCGTGCTTTAAACTCACAAATGTGGCTTAATATCATAAATATTCATCAATAAAAAAACAGTATATAGTATTTATCTATCATGTAATTAAAAGTAAACCTTTTGACATTTATAAAAGAAGAAATGAAGCCAATATTTATTGAAAAAATATGGGGAGAATTGTAGGGGTTTATAAGGAGACATGGTACATTTAAAGACAATGGCCTGGAATTTTTATCAGTATGCTGTCCACCGTTCTGTGCATTCTATTTCAGCGCATTGCTACATCAAGGGATTAGATAATGAACGCTAAATAACAACTTACTACTTTTTGCTATTAATAAGACGTGTACACCTGTCTTCGGCACTAGTTTGATCAAAGTAAAACGCTCTCTTACTACTTATTTTACACACCAGGGAAATGGATTCACAACCGTGTTTCGAGAAAGCTATTACAGGGTGACCCGAAAAATGCAACCCCCCTTTTTGTAATAACATTTTATTCACTACCACAGGTGTTGGCATATTGTTATAGTCTCGAACTTTTTTTGAACAACGGTTGATGTTCGGCGTTTGTAACACGTGGTCTGTAACATGGCGTCTGGAAGAAATGGCAGGTTGTGACATTTTGCGATTGTTAATGTCTTGTATAAATGATAATGGAATAATCTTGATTTTTTGAGTTATTAAGAAAATGCATTTTCCATTAAAGGAAAAGTAATATTTGAACAATTTGACTATTTTCAAACTTTGCATGGGGCCTTTAAGGCATATTTTTGCATCAGTTTGTTCAAAAATAGTGGCTTTGAAGTTTGGTTCATTTCTTTCGCTATTACAATTGATTCTATCCAAACAGGAATGAACTGGACTCACTTCTGCTGATAAAGGACTAATTGCATTTTGGGATCACCCTTGACAATGTTCAAGACTGTATTTTTGTTTGCCCGCGTTGCAAGTGAATTGCGTAATATTTCAATGGGTTTCTCTCCAGCTATCACTAAAAAGAAAAATAAGCCCTATAGTGCAGAATACTTGCTCACGTGTTTTCAACAAAAATAGCTCAGCCAAGCGCACTTACACTTCTGTGGTGCACTTGCAACTAGCCAACGCGGTTGACACACGCGATTAGCCGACAAGATTGACACATCGTAATTAGCGTTGTAAGTGCGCTTGGATGAGCTGTTTTTGTTGAAAACGTGAAACGATTGACTTGCACCGCGAGCAGTTCAAAAACACAGCCATAAACTTTATGGAACCTGATATGCATGGTATTAAAGGATTTGGAATATTAGAGAAATGACGCTCAATCATTGGATCAAATAACTTGTATCAAAGTGAATCTAACGAAATGTTATTAGTTCATAGCTCTTACCAAAGTGCCTCGTTTATTGGAAATCAACTACAAGCTAGGTTAAATGGTTCGATTTGATGGGCATCGCTATTAAAGCGAAGCGTGTATAGCTTTTTATACGTGGTAAACTATTTATTTTCCCATAAATTGCACATTTACCTCCAATGGCTTGCCAATCGCCTAACGACATTATAGACAAACATGATGTGTTATTTTAAAAAATAGCATTTTGTGCATGCTTGCTGTACTTGGGGAGTCTGGTTAAAAATGAGAGAAGTCAATCGTGTCATTAGCCCTATTTACACCATACACAGCATTCCAAGACGGCTTTAATAAGAGCTCCTACAAAAATTCATGTGAGTTTACTCTCTTAAAAATAGCAGGATGAAGTGGCACGTTTATTTACGATATACTGTTTTAATAGTCTATTCTGCTTCAATTACCTAATTGGTATTTGATGATCCATTTATCGCCATTTTCTGACTAATAAATAACTTAAAGCCAGTGACATATGGTAGAAATGAAATATTCATGAACTGTTTTGATACAAAATTGATAAATACATATGTAGAATAAAAAATGGCGCTTTATTATTGTTTTTTTGTATTTAGATTAAATCGTATTCTGCATTTACAATATTCATTATCAGCGATCAAAGATGAACTATTCAAGTCATAATAATGGCACTTGAATGATTCCTGCAGCTGTGAATCTTGAACGTAGATAAACGCGCTGGTTCCCGCATTTTTACGTTAAGCGTATTTTGGAAACGCGCGCCATCCCAATTTATTCTCGCGCCCCTCCATGCATATCAGCGGCGATTCGTACCCCCAAGCCAAATGTAAATGTTACGTGTTTAATGTGAACCAAACGTCCGTCTTCGATGATTTGAACAATATGCTGTATAAACATCTTACGTACCTCGCATGATAACATTGCCAGATAACATTGCCACAACGTACCCATTAAGGACGCATTAAATCAGAGAAAGGACAATCGTAATCAAAAAAAGTTAGAAAATCAACAATTAACAATAGTCCCAGTGTCAGTATATATTAAGTACATGCCCAGATTCAACATTCAATGTCATGAATTGATTATATCCCAAGTACGTTTTGATTCGTATTATTAGATGCATTCGGACGTCACCCATTTTTGAATCGCCACCAGAAGTGGTGACATATTGCTTTGGTTTCCAACTTTTGTATATCACCACCAGAAGTGGTGGCATTATTATGAGTTCCAACCTTTTGTGACGGCGGTTCGTAGTTCGGCGTCTTTAACAAATAGCAGGCGGTGACATTGTGCATGCGAATGACTTGTTATACGATGTCACTGAAACCGTGTTATTTCGCATAGTCAACACACACGACTTCATCTGTAGTTGGTTTCATTTAAGGTTAACATCATAATAATTTGGATTCTATTAAAACACAGTGCCTTTATTGCATAGTATACTTAGCACGTCATCCTCATAATTTAGTCGATTTATTTATACATGTACAATATAATTTACATTGGCATGCTGTGAAGATGACATCCTCCAAACGAGTTCTGAAGGCCTGTGTTCGGAAGATGTGAGATTGACTGAATATAGTCTACTTTTTATCCGTAGATTATCTTGCAGTAATGTTTCTATTTCTTAATTTTCATTATTTATAGGCCATATGAACAATAGGATTGTTACCCATATACAGTATGTTAATATTTTTGGATAAGTTTTAGCCAATAAATAACTCACACGTGGATACTAAAATTGTATTTAACAAATATATTAGATTCTGCTATTTTTAAACTCCAAGAATCAACTTTACATGTACAAAAATTAATTGTGTGATAATAAACAGCACACGTTTCACAGATACTAATGTCACTATAGCTACCGTTAACCTTTCAATACGTTCTAATACTAAGGTTTCGTCTCTTGCTCGTGGTACTAAGGACAATTACAATAGGTCGAAAATGGATGATTTTGATGATTTTTTGAAAATCGACATTCCCATGTTAAACAATCGGAAATGGTAGGAATGGGGCTAGGGTTGCCAAACTTATGGAGGGGAGTGTACATAAACTATAGAATTTACATTGGCATGCTGTGAAGATGACATCCTCCGAGTGATTCCTGCTATTTATAGGCCATATGAACAATAGGATTGTTACCCATATACAGTATGTTATTATTTTTGGATAAGTTTTAGCCAATAAATAACTCACACGTGTATACTAAAATTGTATTTAACAAACATATTAGATCTGCTATTTTTAAACTCCAAGAACCAACTTTACATGTACAAAAAGTAATTGTGTAATAATAATAGAATACGTTTCACATATACTAATGCCACTATAGCTACCGTTAACCTTTCAATACGTTCTAATACTAAGGTTTCGTCTTTAACTCGAAGTACTAAGGACAATTCGTTGAGAGCTCTTAAACGCCCAACGAATCCAATAGTCCATTTGTCAGCCCTATACATACTATAGTGAACCTATGAATTGTTAAAAACACGATGTTTTATGGTTAATTTATAATAACAAGGGTTTTCTGAAGTGATTTAACTGGGTTGGACAAAAAGTTAGTTTGGGGAAAAAAGTATATCGGCTAATTAGGGAGGGGTGCATTGGCTTAACATGGCGTTGACTATTGACTTAGCGTCGGGATACCACCATGTACCTGGTATGTTACCATGGTGATAGATAAACAAATTTTCCCCAACGTTAATTTTTTGGCAACCCAGCTAAATCACTCCAATAAACCCTAATGATAGTATTTGCACAGAAAAACATCATGTTTTTAAATATTCATACGTTAAGAAAATGACAAATGGACTACAACTGCATTTCAATAAAACGGTTTCTAAGCCTAAACTCAGTTAAGGATTTAAGCCCTGGACTCAGTGCATTGTTTGCTGAATCATACCACGAAGGTGTTGTTTCCAAACCTTTGCATGACCGCGCAGCGGAAATGCAAAGTTTAGGAAACAACGCCTGAGTCTTGGGTTTAAATTCTTTTCACACATTGCAATTTTTTCTACAAAATCATCCAAAAGGAACGAAATCACTAAAAGAACACATTTTTCATTTTGCAAGGGTCAAGTTGGCATGTCATCAAATCCAATGTGAAAAGTCCATTCATCACCATGACAAATGTTTATCTAGTGACCTTGCATGTGTTATTGATATTTCACACACTGTTCATTATGTGAATACTCTGTTCCGATTGGCTGGAATCGGACACACCTTGCCTAGCTATGTAAGTATCAACTTGTTTAACTGAAGTAAATCTTCTGATTGGTGCGCTTGTGAACCCGAATTAATCAACTCTACTCGTATTTCAATATGTACAAATATGGAATAATAAGCATTGTTCTCCAGTCTATATACATCATTGTCCACAACTATGCATCTTAACTGATATAGCCTGTCAGGGTATTTACAACTACACAAGCTTAGCAGTCTCAGCATCCTTCGAAGTCCGGCCATTTTGACCATTTTCTTTGCTAATATCTGTGCGTCCATTTGACTCCTGTTCTTCAGGCTTCCATATGGATTTTTTGAGCATTGGATCTTTGCAATTGTCTTCATTATCTTGTACCCTATATGTGACCTGATTGCCTGTTGCTATACCTTTGTGGGCGCTGTACTTCTTTTGTCTCCTGAAGCAGGTGATTAACATTTTGAAGCCACTCGTTGAAATTCAAGTTATTCGAAAAGATTTTTCCAAAAATTGTTGTGTTAACATTAATTAATCGCCACAAAAAAAGAAGACAATCAGAGAGAACGCAACGAAAATGTAAAAAATGTATCACTTCATTCTTCCTTCTTTGAAATAAATACTTACCACAACAAGTTATACCCTAGCTCAAAATCTTAGATGAGATATCCGAAAATATATTTCAAAAACAATTAAAGAAATCTAAACGGTAATGTATCATTTACATTTTTTAATTGACGCGACCTTTTATACTTTAATTTAAATTCCATTAGATATAAGCTATATGACTTACTTTCTCCAGTAGCACACAATGAGCAAAACTATAATACAGATAAGAATAAACGCTGCCACTCCACATACAGCACCAATGTGCCAGCCTAACAGGCACCCTGGAGCTGAAAAAATCAAATAAGTTATCTATCATATTTTCTGAAACAAAGTATTGACGTCGGTTATAAAAATGGTTAACTGTAATAGAATATAATTAATGTCTGGCCTATTGATAACCCCTCATTCTGCATTTTAATATCATCTAAATCACGTACTGTAAGTCCATTGTGTTGTGTCAATTTTCGGATTACATCCGTAACACTCCTTATATGGCAACCAGGTGCCTGCTTCGAAACACTCTCCACCGATCAGACATGAGTTTAGCTGGAATGTAGAATGAAGGATCTAGATATACGCCGAGAAGCAATATGACCACTAATTCGTCAATGTGATAAGCACATGTATGATTATCGCAAGAGCCAAATATTTGAGAAGTAAATGTGATAGTTCCCTGGTATGTTTGATGAAGATGACGAGTATACTGGAACATTTTTGATTGGAATTAATAATTGAAGTTTTTATTTATTATTCAGAAAACAAACAGCATGAACAGGGGAATTTTATCCAGCTATCAGACAATTGTCAAGGCCCATACTTCACAACCGGAAGTCAGCTGGATATGGCGTCCATAACTAGACCACTGAAACGTCAAAGTTAAGTTCGATTTTCGGGTATTGTAGGTCTGAACAGTTTGTAAAATCTGAACAATTTCACTTATGTACTCGAAATAACAGAAATTTAAACTATAATTATATCATAAAATATATCATATAATAAAATAAAATGGCCGAACCTTTTTCACACAAACGTCTGATCCTGACCCTTGGCATGCCTGGCAGTAAGAGTCATATGTTATATACATAAGCTGCTCCCCTACTATCTCACCATCGTTGCTGATCATAACAAGGTACCTATCAAAAATATATTGTAATGACTAAGTCATTCTTTGTACTCCCAAAATGCCAACAGTTGAGCCTCGAATAAACATGAATAATTCCAATATAGTTGTGTTAGAACATATTATGATTTATATTGATCGAAATGTAAATTTTCACATACTTTGATAACGTTTCGGGATGTAACTCCAAATATTCAGTGCCTCTTTTCTTACGTCGGTTTTTTATTGATGCAATAGGACAGAGAACCTCTTCAAACGTTAAAAATGTTGCTGCAACCGTTACATTTTCACCATGTTGAGTCCCATCTGTAGATTCCTTAGAATAAAAAATAATCAAACATACATTACAAAAGTGATTTAAATTATTTTAAAAACATGTTTAAAATGCACATTAAGGTGAATATTTGAAAATCATATTTGAAACGTAAATGCGTCGTCAAAAATCGTAAAAGAAGTGAAGTGTCCCTTATTAAGAACAATTTAATAGGGTTAGATTTATTTTTCATTCCATATTGTCAATTGGAACCAGGTTTAACAAGAATCGTGAAAATATATGTCAATTGTACCTCTAGTATTTGGATATGGCAAGTAAGAGAATCTGAATCAACAAAATGTTTCCCAACAATTCGTGGTCCGTGACAAGGCCTAGCTCTTGTATCACAGATTCCTTTGTTTGTTATGTACCACACTTCCGGTGCCTGGTTCTTCATGACAGAGCAATCAGCGCCGATGTATTTATCATTACAGTGGCAAATCCCGTTCATGCAACGTCCTTTTTCACTGCAGTCGTTTGGGCATAGATAGGACTTGATTCTTGAAGGGGGTTTGATTGCATTAGGACCCTCCCTTGGCTCGGGTTCCCATAGGGTTAGATTTTTCTTTATTTCTTGTGAACATTTTTCTTTATACGAGTCTAATGCATCATTAGCCCATTTTGGACCATCTGCTAGCTAAAAAGCAAGTATGTGTGTTGTACAATATAGAATGCAGTACTATGAATGGGCAAAGTATGAGAAATATAGAACATTTGAGCCTTTTTGAAATAGGTTGTCTACATGTCCAAGTTGATGTAGTTCACACAGTCTTCACATCAGTCATGCTTCAACTTACTTATGTTAACATTGTTCGCTTGTCTTGAGAAATCTGTTCTTTTATTGTATTTTATAAAACATATCATTTATTCAGATAATAATAGTATCGTGAATTTTCATTCTCCAAAAAGTAATGGTACTGTTGAGTTGCCTCATTCAGTACAAGTTCAGCCACACCTTTAAAATGAATAACTGCCCTTTTCTGTGTCAATGTACCATGTTAAACAGTAGTGTTTCTAAAGTACCTGAATATCGGCAATACACCCAGGTACATCATCAAACGGCACTGTCCTTATGCCATCACATCCACTTCTACCAGCGAAACTACCAGAGAGAAGACGTTCACAGTGAGAAACTGCTCTTTCTAATGTCCAACCACTTGGCGTCGGCCACGTTTGTGTCTGAAAGAGGATTAAAACTGAAATCATTCAGTGTACAATCAATTTCAAATGTTGGTATCGAGCAATAAAAGAGAGTGAAAAGGGTAACATAAACAGCTCTTGCGAACAATGTTTCATTTATAGTTAATCGTAGGTAAGGTTACTGGCTAAAATTATGAACCAAACAACCAGCTAATTAAACCGTACACAACATTATTTTTCCCTGACTTTGTCAGAGTTTGTGTGAAGACAAGATATGTAATACCTTTATTAACGAACATTGTCTTTGTAAATATCGCTCTTGGTTACTGTAATAGCTACCGTCATATAAAATGTATCTGAAACTTAACGTGAGATAATATACACTGTACATACTGGTTGATGGTCCTTTAATTCAAAGTCAAATGGAAACTCATCAGCATCGTCATCTTGCTCCAAACCAAAGTCATCAGTCACATAACCATCTCCATCAGCCGATCTTTTCTTTCTATGTATACGTGGTTGCATGTGATTTATGATGTCATAACCTTCGGTGCATACTTCCTGTGGGTCTACGGGTGTACATGTAACAAACTCTGCAGGACCGTTGTCTGGGTCCATGCATCTGCAGTATTTCTTTGGGTACATCATTTCAGCCTGCTTGTTTTGGAATGTGCCGTTGTAGAGACTGTTTGCCGAACTGTTGATCCTTTAGGGCACAAGGGTGATATTTGTTTTAACAAAGTCAAACAAGAAAAATATTAACATGCTAAAACTCAAAATGAGAATCTACATAGCTTCAAATATTTATATATGAACCGACCAGTAGTAAATATTTATCAACATTTTGCACAATCTTTTTGTTGTTAGATTGAGGCGATATCTATAATAAAAATTTCAGGCATGCATTGTTTCGTTAAATGTCGTGTGAGCAATTTTGGGAGCCAACTCTAATGGCGTTTAGGTTACCTCCAATCCATCAAGAATGGAGTTGGCTGTAGGTAATCTTTAAATTCTCCAGCATAATCACTCCCGTCCCTCATTTTGAGATCCTTTTTACATCCTGGCTCAACCCACATTCTATCCCAATCAAAGCAGTTCCTTTCCCTGCCCCTACAGCTAGGGTAGTTATCAAGCTTGCCGCAAAGGCCTTCAGTGAGTCCATAATCTGCTGATGATGGGTAGATATGGGCGTTTACGAAACCGAAGTCGCTTGCAACGACTACAACGTATGTTCCTGTTGGAAAATGTATCTGAAATAGCATAAGACCTTCACTGTCAATAAAATGTCTGGATACAATTATAAATACATGTTTCAAAATGTATACCAAAGGACGACCAGTGGTATAAAGAGTGACTCAAAGAAATAAAGTACCATTAATTTTAGATATTCTCACCTCATATCGCTTTCCATCATTGGATTGGATTAATTTTGTACCACTTGCAAGTTCTCCATTTTGGAAAAGAGTCCTCTTTAATCGTTTTGACTCAAATGATCTATCACCCCAGACAACAACGTCTTCCTTCTTGCCGCATCTAAAGTCAATAAAGATGTCAGCATTTGAATAACAAACACACATTAAGATATAAATCACTTATTCCACACGTTTTTGCAACCAGGATTTCCCAGTTGATAGTGTGTTAAGTATGTTTACAATTGAATAATGTTTACAAAAAGGCAAATGTATTACTTTCTAAAATTCACATTAACTAGCATGAACAAGCGTTGATAATGTTCTTTGACAAAAAGGTCAATTATGAGGTAGGGTCTGAACTCTAGGAGTTTCCCTCATCCATTGGTAATCCTCATACCTGTCAATGACAATGACGTCATCAGTGACCTTAACTGCAACGGCACAATTACAACTGGCTCCCTGACACTCTTTATAGATGGCGTGTACTTCAAACGGCATGGTCTTGTGTTTGTACAAAACATACTCTCCCAGAAAGTAGTTGTTGTAAAAGCTGAAAAAATATATTCTTCTCTTCAGTTATTGAAATTCTTGCTTTACTCTCAAAATCAAAATAAGTTTGAAATAGTCCCTCCTCTAACTACAAACAGCAGATAACTAAAACACGGCATTATTTTCCTTCTGTATTTTTACTACTTTGTATTCGTTTGACCTCGCTTCTTCAATCTTCGAACACAGACCTCCAGAGCTCATAACTCCTTCTTCTGGAAAAAGGAGGTACGAATCCTGGATGCCTGTGTTCGTAAGATGCGCTTCTTAAAAGAGAGCTTCGCCTTCAGTAGTTTATAACTAAACTCTGCGCGCAGGGTATGATTTTACATACCATCCATCGAATGTTGTGAGATGTGGGTCGTTGATGGATTTGCATACAGCGCCTTCTATGTTCATAGGTTCTGTCTTTACCATTATCTAACAAATAAAAAATGCTATACTGATAATCAGATTATGTTTTCTACAGAGAAGATACTCTCTGTGATGTGTTGTCTGGTAAAATGGTGGAAGGTATCCAACTAATATCAGACATATTTCCAGATTGAACAATAGTACATCATATTTACAAGTGCACACGAATGTAATAAAATCACTCATGATCAAAAGAATGACATATATAGAACGTATAATACAATCCTTAAATTGGCTGCTTCTTTTACATGAAATATGTACACTTACTGTAATATCAGGTACTGTGTATTCCTGCCAAAAGCTTGGTGTCATGTCCTTCATCCCAACCTAATTGAAAAAATGAATGACAAATATAGATAAAATACTTGAGACCCAAAATATGCAAATGACTTATATCCTTTGATATTTAAACATTTATTTATCCGTATTTTGTTGAACTCCTAATCTTAATTTTACCCAGCTGGTATTTTGGGCTCATTATCAGAAACTTCATTTAAATATGTACTCTAGATGTTTATCTTTTTTTAAAGTATTGAACTCAATTTCTGATAATGAGCCCAAATTAACACCAGTCTCTATTGTCTCTATACCTCTTCTTCGACCATCATCATCATTCCTTTGTTCGATGTCCCTGCGTCTTGGTATGTGCTATCACCCATGGCTTTCACTTCAATCTCATGAATCTCGTCCCATGTACTCGCCTTTATCCTATAAAGTAAAACATCTTCTTGACTCCTTCACACTCACTTCATGCATGTATGTTCATATTGTATGTTTTCAATAATTTTGGTATCTAAACAGTATGGTATTTATACCTGTACGTGCAATCGCCAGCCATCAGTAATTTATCTTCCCTGGGAACCACTTCTTTACCACACCACATTTTCCGCTGATTGTATGGGTCAACCCTATCATTGATTTCTTTCATCGACACCCTTAGTTCACAATCGGGGTCTTCGCAAGATGGCGGCACCGTCATCCTGAACTTGACCTTTCCACCTTGTGTCTTGCCCTTTGTAACGTTCACTGCTAAACCGCTGTTTAATATCTAAAATAATTCATTTTGATGAAAGAAATTATGGGATTGGGCCATGCCTTTCAATTATGGTTTCTCTTGAACTATTGTGCTGGCCCTGTAATGTTACGTATTAATCTTTGCTTGCAGCCAATCCCAGTCTAATTTTGATTTCCTGCATGCATACGTGTTTATCAAGTACTTACTTGTATGCCAGCAAAATATCCATTACTTTCTACCCATGGACCAAACTCTGTATCACCATGGAATATGGATCGCACTTTGCATGATAACTACAATAAAAATGCAAACGGAACAAATCATTAAGAATCAGGTCAAAATTCAAAAGTATTCTTTAATTTTATTTTGTTACTCTCTTCTCTGTTACTATGGAAACCGATGTTAACCAATCTCACCTTTGTTCCTATGTATTGTCTCCAGGTTTCTTGTGGCAATGTGCCAACAGTTATACCATCTAAAGTCTCTGGAATTGAAGTGATCTTTTTGTCGTTTGAGAACCAGTTCACTTCGTATTTGATAGGAGTGTTATCGTCTTGTTTAGCTGGGATTATGACACACTTGAAATTCACCTTGCCGCCTTCTCTTTTCCATTGTACAAACGGGTGTGCTGTTACGTGTGGATATGCTGTGAAAAGAAATACCAATTGTAGAAATATAATGAATATAGGAAAAATTGTTGTAAAAATAGATCCATGGTTGATAGAAAGATGTCAGTAGTAGAAGTTGATTGCCTTAGTATAGACGATAGAGATGGAACCTGAACCTGAAGATGCTGTCTTTTTTCTACCTATAATGCTTATGTTTTTTTTACAAACGGTACAAAATATGCATCTGTCTCTTAGGTAAACGTACTCATCTTAGTCTACATCTTAATTGAAATGCGACTTGGACAGAAGGCGGCCAAGGTGACAACTATAATCACTGAGCTTGTTGTTAGTCGAGGCACTGGTCATGGGTCAAAATGATTGTGCTAGTTATGAATTGTTTTTAAATTATTACCTAGGTCGTACAGGCGAATGTCATCAATTCCTATTTCTCCCGTCCATGCTTTGTTTGTAGCGTTAATTATTCGACCCTCAAAAACCACTCTATACTCCCCAGTTGGGAGAACCACTTCTGCCTTTTGCCACTGGTCGCCTTGGTTACCTGAAAAGAAACATACGGAGTATAAAATGAAAGTTAACATAAGAATAAAAAGAGCGATAAACCAAATTTGAAAAACAAAGTGTGCAAATTCGAATTACTAAAGGTTGCTACACTGGAAAGGGACGTCATTATGACGTTGTTTGTATTGGTATACTTCAAATCTGCTTGTGAAATGTGGTTGTTTCTGGACGTAGCCCCTAGATGAAATGCCATCTTTGTAAGTGTATAGAAAAAAACATTTGAACTAACCGGAGAGTGCCCAGTATGGTTTCTCAGTGTGCACAGCAGGCCCCCGAGTGTATACACTTAACGTTCCCCAGTCTTGCCCATAAAGTCGGTACCAGAATACCAGTTTCCTTCTATAGAACCCGGATAAGATATCTGTGGCGAGTCTTGTTTCCCACTTCGGACCAGGCGTGATTTGACCATCAGCATTCAAATATACATAGTGTCCTGAAACAAGGTAAACACATATGAGTAACTGTTGTACAGGGTGTCCAAAAACAGGACCGAAGAAAAGGCTAATTATCTTGATTCACAAGGTTTCAATTGCTCCAACTTCCCTTTGGAAGTCGAAGATACCCATTATCAGCGTTTAACTGTACATTTAAAGAAATGAACATATTCCTGAATTAGATTTTGGTTTCATTTCTGACTTCATTTGTTTTATCAATCTCTAGCTTTAAAGAGGAGACGTAGAATATCTGGATTGTGGTTCGCAACTGAACTTTTTAGTTATCTCAAATGTGGTTGCATTCATTGCACATACTGTCTTTGACTGACAGTCTGCATGTATTTGAAAACCACAATATTTGATCATCTAAAAAAATTAAAGCCACAAATTTTCGTATGCGTTATATTTTCGATGAAGTGTAGTGTTAAGTGTAAGTGAAGAGAGTGCATTCAATATCCTAAATTAAGTCGTATTTGCAGTCTTTATTCAAGATGTAATATTTGAAAATTAATTTAAGTTTTAATAAGTTTGTACAAATATTCTAATGGCAACTTGAAATCTAATGAGATTTTTGGCATTGGAAACTAAAAACCAAGACTAGTATTCATAACAATTCAAACAATGGGTGTTCAATTTTGGATATTGCAATATAAGACGCTTGATAAAATCAAAATTTAAAACTGCAAGTACCATTCATCAATTAATTATAAAATAACATATTGCAACTACAATCATTGCCCCTTATATGGTTCATTTAATTTGTGAATTAACAAATCGGAAAATAAAATGACAGTTGGTCGGATTTTAATAAATTAGTTGAGAGATATGGGTGAAAGTCAGTCTCTATGCTGCTCTATATAGTTTTTTAGAAATTCCAGAAAGAAGAGTACCTCGGAATCGTAACAAAGTAGTTTGGATTAACATTCCTTAATTTCCAAATTATTACAATGCAATTACATATGATACGCAAACGCATTCAAATGCATAAATATGTTTTTATGCTACATATACAGATATCCATAAAAATCTCAATGAAGTTTTAGTAAAGTATATGTTTTGTTATTCAGTAATGTAACGATGTATGGCATAAACAGTACTTATTCCATGTGAGGTGAGGTTTCGGGTACATTACAGCGGGATCTCGGTAAGATATCTGTATTTCCCTCGGGATATACCCCATATCGAAACCTTCCATTACATAACCCATATCCAGCAATTGTAACTACAATACCTTCTTAACATAACCCATATTCATCAATTGTATACCTTCAGGGGACCTCCTACTGTGATCCATGAGTGGCATATTCTCGACATCTCTGTCAGCAGCCTTCACTCTTTTCCAAGTGACCTCGTCGGTTAGTGTGTACGTAGTTAGTCCGCATAGTTGGGGAATCTCATCGGACTCAAATGAACAGCCAAATCGTTGTATTTCTAAAATCATCAAAATCGACAATGTATGACGAACTGCACATGACAATGGGAGCACGAAGAAAGCAATGAATACATTATGGTCCTAGTGTATATTGTTTTATACATATACAGTCTAGTACACCTATGGAGACAAAAAATATGTTCACCTTAGGTGGATGTTCAATACAGAATGGCAAATCTATACAGAACTCAGTGGAGTATGTGCTGAGAAGAGGTGTTCACTAGACCCAGATGTTCACTAGAGAGAGTTGTTAAATTTACTAGTTCACGGGTTTTACTGTACATCAAATAACAAGGCTATAATTGATATATTCAATGCTTTATTGTACTAAAAATCCCTTTCAAGTGAGTGTACAGCAAATAAACATGATAAAATAAAACTAAAACTATAAATTCTCTGATTAGAGAATCTCTCAAAAATCAACAATAGCTCTTCGATAATGGATTTTTGTACAACCACTACCAATCAGTTTGTTAAAAGTGAGGAAAAGTCAAAAAAGTATTTAATCTAACCTAAAACAAAATAAATATCTAACACCATCCTATTGTGATAAGTGTACCTCCTCATTCTGATGGTTCAAGATGAGGCAATTTGTCTCATTTAGATCAGAGAATATTGCATTACAATCTGATGTTGACCAGATCGTTTTGTTGTGGTATTACGCACAAGGTCTCGACAACCACATAGCATCACTCTAAACACACAAGCTCATAAATCGTAAATAGCTGTTGTACTAAGTAAAATGAGGTATACCTTTAGCCTGCATCAAAGGTAGAACCAGGAATAAAATCCCCCACTTCATATCTGTTTCTTGTTCTCCTCGCTTATGCGGTGCCCTGAAAAGACAAAATCGAAACAAATTAGGAATTCGTATTCAGGTATTTGATACTTGAACTCTCGAGTCTTTCTCTTTTGACTAAATGGTAGTGTCTTAACATATACTTCCCCATATGTTTATTTTACATGTTTATTGGAATGAGATGGTTAGGTAGTATTTGGGTTATTGTGTGTACACCTACAGGAGTGTGTTATGTAACGTGAATAAGTGTTATGTAACACATATGCAAGGTACTGATTGATTGATGTAGTTTATTTAGTGTCTGTTGGTCTGTTGTTTTTCTACATTATTTGTGTGTGCCTCTTATTGTAACTAAGTAAATAAAGCGTTAAAGAGGTAAACTTGAAATCAATTGAAATTGATTCAAAGTACAGTTTCGTTCACTATATTATCGGGATGACCTCATATCAGGTCATACAGTCTAGAAATCTATAATAACCAACTCTGTGAGCTAAACCATTAACGTACAGGAAGAACATGTACTGAAACATGTACATGTACAGTAGTTATCAGGATTTTGAACCTTTTCATGTATAAGGTTGCGACTCTGGGACCTTGAGCTTAAAATGATTAGTAGTTGGCACTGGCTAAAGGTAAACTGAATAAATCATCTCAAATGTTCTAAATCAAGCTGGTGAGGATCCTGATAATTTAGAAACGTGATTTATGAGTTATAGCATGGAAACGGAATTTGATACAGAGTTGGATAAAATAAGGAAAATCTGTGTGTGTACAATTTGCAGTGAGCCTCTAAAGGCACCTGTGACATTTCCATGTTTGCATATGTACTGTCAGGAGTGTGTTCATGATTCAAAATCAAACACAACAAGTGAATGTCCTCAATGCACAAATGAGGACACAACTGAAGCAATTACGATGACGCCAAGTGTAACAATGGGTCGTATACACGACGTACTACATCCAAAGGCTCCAAAGACAAAGACTGGTGAATATGAGTGTAGTGTTTGCGTTATAGTCGACAGTGATTCCAAGACAAAAGCGGTTGCAAAATGCATTGAATGTGATCAAAAACTCTGTGAAAATTGTGTCAAAATGCACGGTGCAATAAAACTATTGAAAGATCATAATCTTATCGACCTACCAGGTGATAATAGTGTGAATGCTAAAGCAGAGCTAGATGCTATTAAAGCAAGCCATGCATTCTGTTTAAAGCACACCGATAAGCCACTCGAATACGTCTGTGAAATAGACAAAACTGTACTTTGTCCAACATGTTGTATTGTCAATCACCCTGGTCATATATGTACAAGTGTTACAGATGCTGCTGAATCCGTTCGTGAGTCCTTAAAACTCCTTCTTGATAATGGAAATGAACGAATTGGTGGTTACACAGAGGCACTAGAAAATGCAGGTGAATTTGAGAAGGATCTGAAACACAGTGCAGACGAAGGAAGGACTAGTATCGAAAATGATAGAGCTGCGTGTATAGCAGCAATAAATAAGACATTTGATGAGATGAAAGCTTCATTAGACAAAGTGGAGAAAACTTGTCTTGAAGCTAACGATCGCCATGTGATAGAATTAAAGCAATCAATGTCACAAATCGAACATCAAATGAGTCAAATAACTATACTAAAAGCATATGGTCATCCTTCGGAACTTGTGACGCTTTCTTCAGCATTTGAAAAGAAATCGAGGGATTGGGCAATTCCACCATCTCCGAGGACAGATTACAGAGTAAGTGTTAATGTCACTTCTTCCGGTATATTTGACAATCGTATTGAATTTGGTAATGTGACAACTTCATCCATCAAAAGACAGACGACACTTCTTGCAAAATCAGTTGTCGTCCAGTGCAAACTTTTGACTGAATCTGTCCTCAACGATCTTGATGTTCTCGATAGTAAAGATGTTGTTGCTACTACGGGGAATGTGGCGATGTTATACGATTCTAATTTTAAGCTTAAAAAGAAGATCGAGGGCCAGAATATGTGGTCAGTGACATCTATGTCAAGGGGAAATATCGCATTCACCCATAACTCTGACGTCATCAGTATTTACGACAAAGATGGCGACCATATCCATGATCTTCAAATTGAAAACGCAAAGTATCTTCGTGGTATAGCAACCGATGTACATGGCAATCTTGTCGTTTCTGACCTTGGAAGCAAAGTTGTGTCACATATCGATATTGGTACAGGCGAAACACTGTCCAAAACAGAGAATGCCTCATTCCTTTGGCCAGGCTATGTAACAAAGAACAGCAAGGATGTAACGATAGTGTCTGATTATGATGCGGATTGTATCATTGCAATTGATCGTAACACTGATCAAGAACTCTTTCGTTATGGCAAACGTGGAGCTGGTGACAATGAAATGAACAACCCTAGAGATGTCTGTACCGACTGTGATGACAACATCATTGTAGCGGATTCAGCAAACTACAGGGTGGTCCTCCTGAGTCCCGAGGGGAAGCTCATAAGATATCTTCTGACTGAGAAAGACGGTCTACAATACCCCTGGGGTCTGGCAATAGACAGCGATGAAAATCTTCTTGTTGGTGACAGTCAAGGAAAAGTATTTGTCGTAAAATACAGAGGATGAGATAGATACAATGATACTGAACAAAAGGAGATACATATTATGTCCGAAACAAAATTTTGGCTTCATACCCCAAAATTAGAAAAAACAACTCCGACAAACGTACCATTTTAGTTTTAAAAAAATCAAAACTTGCAATGAGTTATCGTAATCACATTATAAATCGTCGCCTATTGCGAAATCTCTCTAATAAATATATAGAATTGATTAATATATGAGAATTCAAATAAAACTGTATCTTGGACTAATTAAAAATCACTTACAAGCATACGTTTACATTTAGATAATCTTTGGCAATTGGAGTATAAATGGTGTTTAAAAATGCAATAAACATGTTCTCGCAACACTGCGGGTCGTGGCTTTTAACCCCCATTTGTTATAGTTACTGCGCATAAATTACAAGATAATTAGATCTACGCCCAAAAATAACTATATTTTTTAACTTGAAGCAGAATTCTTCCCAAACTCCCAATGATTCACTGCTGATTCAGAACATCGTTTTTCATCTTGTACATTTCTGGATCACGATTTTAACCTTCAGTGTAGTGATTAACCCATTTTAGGCAAGGAAGAACAATTTGATGAATCGACTAAACAAAACTGGCGATGTCAACGATTCTTGAAGCATCATCACTATTTATAGCATGAAGTCCTCATGTTTTTGTCATTATTTGTTTTTTGTTAAGCCCCAAATGGCTTGCTCTATTGACCAACTAACAATTTTGCAATGACGGGATGAATTACTGGATTTATTTATGTTGATGGCTCGTTTTATATTAATTTGGGACTGGACCGTCGGCTAAAAAAAGTTGATAGCTTTTCTGAAAATTGCACAATCTATCACGAAATGCCATGGAACCATTTTTAGGCGCCATGGTGTTTTTGCCAAAGCTTTGTTTGTTTTCCATTTTCCCAGCCCTTACACTGTGATTAAATAAATTATAGTACTAATTCATAGATTGATCTAAGATTACAAAATTATCTTGAACGTTTTAGGACTTTTCTTTTTTGCTAATTGTAAAATACGATACAAACATCAAAGGGCTAAACTGCGTTTTTTTCTTTTGAGAGAATGTTGAAATTGTGGACTGGTTTGGACTCAAGGAACAGTTGTTTTCTCCCTAATAAATGATTACCATGGAAACAAATCTGGTATAACCCTGCGTAAACAAGCTCGTTTTAGAAAACGATATAGGCTAACACCCAATCACTACGTAAACGAAGTATCATGGAAACATTATATAAAAACAATATCCGATATTCCGCATTATGTAAGTAAACGAAGTGGAATTCTACTCCCCATAGTTTAATTACCCGGCGAGCACCTATTGTAGCTTATATAGAACTTGTACTTTTCATTTGTAGGTATTACATGATTTCTGTCGAGAATTATTTTGACACTTCAAATCTATCAACAAAAGTCACTTGTGCCAAGTGTCAAGACGAAATTTTCAACGGAATAGAAGATGTTGACTTTTAAGGAAACCAAATAACGATTGTTGTGTAATTTCAACAATGTGTTGTTGCCAAGAAAACTCTGATCTGTACAACGTTTTGAACGTTTTTATGGACGCAAAAATAAAATAGATAAGCAGGCAAATCATTAGACATTAATGTAGTTAACATGTATCGAGGATCGTCAAAACCTTCCTTGTCAAACCTTTACTTGAATTTTTAGGATTACTTTTGTCGTTTTTCCCATTTTAGAGTAAATTAGAAATATGTTCAATTGCCTCTTTAAAAACACATTCACATTTGCGAATTCAATTGCTGGATGACGGCTGAGGGACTAAATATTTGAATATGAACAGAATCTGCCACTTTTCCATCAATGTTTAAATCAGTTAGCCATAAAACATAGGTTAAGCCGTCAGTCGGCAGTTGAATTTGCGAATACTACCCAAGCCTTGCGTATTACCTGCATTTAGTAGGTGTACCTTACATGTTAACATTCTTGCTCCGTCAGTGATGAAGTACTAGACCTCAATTAGAAATATTAGAAAAGCAGCTGTTCTACCGATTACCAAGAACCACTGACTGAGAAATCTATACCGTACAGAAATCACTACCATAACATGGTAATACTTAAACAATCATTAATTGTGAGATGTGGAACAAGGTATTATTGTGATTTCTGTTGTAAGCTCATGATAGTGCTTAATGCAATTATAAAAAAAACTTGTTCAGCTTATTATGAAAAGAAGTGAAATGTCCTTGGACGAAGAATGCAAGAATTCATGTTTCAAACTAATTCTACAAGCTAAAATTGAGTCACATTCCTAACAGAACAAACACATAAGATAAACTTAGTAGGCCTGTGTTGTTTATCATTGTCATAGTTTCTACTCAATGTCCAGTCTCATTGAGATGTGGCACAGGGTATCCGACCACATACCACATAATACACAAAACAGAACAATAATAGTGTATTCTAGTCAAGTAGGTTTTTTGACACGTTCTTTGACCCTTTTACAACTCTCATTATCATAGTTTTATCCATACCCAATAATCAAGTATCTAAAGCAAGCCACAATATCCAAAAAGTTAAGACTGTAATGTCATTATTCAGGGACAAATTCCATCTACATCTATCATTATACTAATTGAAGCTCTTTATAGAGCAACACAATTAGTTATCATATTCAAAGAATGCAGTGAAATATCTAAATTCAAAACAAATTATTGTATTTTACGAATATCCTGTGGTTAGGAAACTCAAGGAAATGGTGTTGATACGACTGTTCACCCCACGTGTCCTTGTACATACGATGAAATATTACCTACCAAGTTCAAAGTTCTGAACTAGACATGGTAATGTTTTACCTTACAAATTGTGCAAGCGTTTTTACTCCAGTATACATAATTGACAAACTATGAACCAGGGTCGATCGACTCAAGAAATGATGAACTTTTATAAACTTCTTTTGTTTTGTATCGTAGATGACGAAGGGGGGGGGGCATTGCTTCGAAATCAGTATAATTTTGTCTGTTACGCTCGATCGTAGATTTGGATGATATGTTTTCCTTGTTATCAGTTGTGTTTTTCGGGGTAACGTTTCCTACATAATTTAGGTTTTTCGCTTTAGCCATTAGGCTTTTTGTTCTTTTATTCTTGAAATTAAAGAAATACTCGGAAATTGGCCATGGTTTATCAAATCCTCAATACTGGTTTTCACTCCTCGTACTCAGAAAAAAGCATTCGATCTTTTATTCGTTATCAGATTATTTAGTACTGGGTATAAGCCAGGAGCCACATGGGTCATCTCATGAGGTTCGTCTCAAAGAAGCATCTCCCACCAGATAGCCCCGGGGACGATATCGAAAATGATAAATTTAAAGATAACAATCTCGCTAATACACACGAGGAAACGAGCGGCGATATTCATCATTGATCCGAACGGAATGGTTTTTCAGAATATCCATGAAGACGGTATAAATACTAAATGCCACGATTGATAATAATTTAGCAATTTGGATTGGATTAGATGTAATTACACTTGCAATATTCCCAATTCAGCTGTCATAGAAACTGACTGGGACGCGTCAAAGTCTGAGTTTACCATTCAGACATCCACAGAGACAAATTCGAAACCAAAGAGGGAAATAAAGTCAGATGGAAATTGATATTTCACCAAACACAAGAAACGAACCTAGTCAGACGTTAAATATTTCTCCAGAACGAGATAGCTCTAGACGAATACATGTCACGCCGACATAAATCATCCTTTGCCAGTTGAATGTTATGATCGTGTTTTGGTATGAGAATAGAGTGAGACTTGATGACTAAAGTAGGGATGTTTAAGTCACTTGAAGTCCAATTTGTAAAATAATGTACTGATTTTGCTTTTTTAAAATAGCGCTTACAATACAATTCAATACAATATAATATAATTACAATTACAATAATATAATATACGATACAATACAATTACAATGCAATACAATACAATACAACACAATACAATACAATTACAATAATATAATAATATACGATACAATACAATATAATACAATGCAATGCAGTACAATGCATTGCAATACACTAAAGTGCAATACAATTATAAACATAATAAGGGACAAACCTGTAAACCTTACGTGAAACAACAGACCCCACATACACCAACCAATGCCTCACCATTAGATCATGTTAACCCTAATTACTAATTTACAAAACCACCAATTGAGAATAATTAGTAAAGTGGGCGACAATCATGTTCACACTTGTATCATAGTTTACAAATTTAGTCTACATTTCCTGAGGAAATGTAATCCTTTTCAACTTTAGTACCTTATCAGGTAATAAACTATTAAGAACTACCTGTTCGAAATAAACTAATAGTGCTTGTGTGTAGTGTTTACTTACCCTCAACTGTCTGACTGATCGAGGGCTATTTTTATGTAGAGTCGACAGTGATTGTGTTTTAAAGAGATCTAGTTCATTGCTTTGAATCAAATACTGTAGTAGGGCAGCCCCTTTCCTCTCCCTACCCCCATCCCATCCGGACATTGCCATCAAACTTCTTGTAGATATGACGTTTAGATTCTGCATATATACGAATGTTGAATGACGGTTTCTTATTGATTTAAAGTTGAATGTAATAGTTGATGTAATTCAATGATCATTGAGCGATTATGCCCATTATAGTCATAATAAATTTTGCGTGATAAGATGTTTATCTATGGATGGATATGCGGGTGGATATGATATCTGCACGAGTGAGTGTACCTCTATTACGATGGGAAGGAATGAGGCCTTTCCAGGATTTACTTATAAACACGAACTCCTCACAATGATGATGCTAGTGTTAACATACACGTAGTGGGCCAAAAACGTAGATAGTGTGACGAATTTGTGATTTTCACTTTTGTTTTATTTTGAACTTTTATATGTGGAGTCAGTCGACTCTTTCAGAGAGTTTGATGGCTCAAATGTGTACATGCAGAATGTCACGTAAGCACTGGGATGTTTACTGATCAGCAGACTGTAGTGGAATAAATTAGAATAATTAAGTACCCAGCAACCGGTGATCAGCCAATCAGATTCTTTTATTTGAATTTCCCTCCAACTTAAGTTGTAGTTTTCCCATGATGCAACTCGAGGTGTCTGGATTTTATTGTATGCAATTAACCACGTGAATCAGAGTAAACCAAGATCTTGAAGATATAAGACCTCGTCAGTTTGGATTTATTTATGTGCAAGCGTGTTTTATTTAATCTGTGGACTTATTGGAGCATTATTTTGGATATATTGGATTAGTTGCAGTAATCGTTAGATGCAGATTGTATTTGGTGCGACTATTGAAGAAAATACAAGACAACAGCCAGTGTTTTGGTGAGTTAGCCATTTTTCTTGATTGAGGTTGGCA